ATAACAAACTTTCATCTTTGTCTAATATAACTGTGGTGGCAATTTTTCCAAATCTTTGCTTATGGCGACGTAGTTTATGCTCAAACTTGGGAGGTATTGACCCAGAAAAACTGTATCGAGCCACCTTGAAACGTGAGTTTTAGACTGCAATATTTCCGCATTGAGGTCGTACTAGTCATGCTCTGTCGTCAGTTTAACGGGCCCAAGAAAAACCATACTACTAAGCCAATTTTGCTGCTGCTTTTTTACTCTTTCTCGTGCGTGCACATCATTTTAACAACCTGAATGTTAAAAAATCATCACGTGATGATACAAAGACCAGTCATTCAGATTGAGCGTGCTCGCGGTCATCTATAGCGCCTGTTCAAGAGGCCGCTCTTCTATTTGCAGCGTAACTATTTGATAATATTCACAATAACAACAAACTATTTGAGAAGCCAAGGAAACGAAATCCTAGACTCAAGTTGGACAAATATGCCATCATTTGAATTACTCCCTTTTGTCTTACCGATGTCATCACTGAGTGTCATCACAGTAAGGTTTTGCTGGACATCTCCTTGCTCGTCCAAAAATACGTCATACCCAAGAATACCTGAAAAAAAGAGGGAGAGAGACCGACATCTCTGAATAAGGGAGAAACTTGATCTGATGAAAGAACGTGACAAGAATAAGCAACTAGTTAAAATTAAACTCTAACCAATCTAATCAAAGTTTTCACGTACTGGAAAACTGGCGTCCAAATAAATTCTTCATAACCGCTCGACCATTTGTAGCGTTCCCTCCTTGGGCGAGTGTACGGTTGACTCCAATGGCGTACAGGTATGTTGCATCATACAGGTAGCCTGTTACGATCGGGGCCTAGGGAAGAACTTTGTTTCATTAAGAGACCTAAATATAATGTTACTCATGGATACTTTTGAGGGATTCGGTAAACTTGGGGGCCGAGTTGTTCAAAGCTGGGTTAAGATGACCCAGGGTTAGTGCGAAATTTGAATTCATATTTGAAAGCTTAAGAAGCATTTCAGTTTTAATTCTTTTTGTCTACTAGTTGATGATTGGAAGCTTTAAAATTAACAGAGAAAATTATCCGAGGAAATGCTTTTGAGCACAAGAAAAAAATAACCAGGGTTAAATTTAACCCTTGGTTAAGCGCTAATCGGCCTTCGAACAACTGGGCCAAGGGCTCGGCTGATAACACTTACCTAGACCTTGATTATTCCGGATATCACAAAAACCTCATCCAATACTTGTTTGTAAGCTTTCACTAAATTTTGGACGAACTAATCACAGGTTAAAACCAAATTTCGCGCTATTTGCCGGCCGCAGGCATCTGCATTAAATTCTGATTGATTCCTTGAATTCAGGTCTGCGCCGTTAATGATAAAAGTTTCACTCAAGAGGCTGAAAATGCTAGAACTACTAATGCTAAGCAAATTCTTTTGGATAACTTCGTACAAGATAGTTAAATCGTAATGAACTATGTAACACGATAATTAGGAGATCGTTTTGAACGAACAATTCAGAAGTTGCAAAACCTCAACCAAGTTTTCTTTAATAATAATAATTATAAAAGTAAATTATAATTATCATAAAAATTATCCCAGAATCCTTTGAGGCAATTTTTTTTGAAAGCTTTATAACTTTGACAAGTTTATACGTAGAAGAATTTCAGACCACAGAAAGATAACATTTGTCCACAGGTAGCCCAAGCTCGAAATATGAGCATCGGCGAGCATCGGCATTGTTTCGTAACATTCAAAATATAAGGATTTGTATGGGAAAGAAACCTACCGTTTCTGTAACCTACGAAAATGAAAGGATTTCAATAAAAAACAGCTGTATGGGAAAGAAACCTACCGTTTCTGTAACCTACGAAAATGAAAGGATTTCAATAAAAAACAGCTTACCTTACTATATAGAGAGAAAACCGTTTACATAAAAACCCATAAAACGGCCATAAATCGGCCCGTGGACCACAAAGGAGAGACGTAACACACATTTTAAGTAAGGTAAGCTGTTTTTTATTAAAATCCTTTCATTTTCGTAGGTTACAGAAACGGTAGGTTTTTTTCCCATACAAATCCTTATATTTTGAATGTTACGCAACAATGCCGATGCTCGCCGATGCTCATATTTCGAGCTTGGGCTACCTGTGAATTGCCATAAAATATCTTCTCATGTCACATCTAGGGTGATGAAGTCATCAGTCACGTGACCATTGCTGAATTAGGGTTTTTTGTTGCTGTGACAAGATTTCGTCATACGGTTAAAATAAAATAGCATATTTGAGGTTTTGATTGTGTGGAGCATTTAAAAATAACCAGTTTACTTCAGGAATTTAAAATTTAAGGGGCAATGAACATGAGCGAAAAAGTCGGGAAACGCAGGCCGAGGGCTGTAGAGAGTTGACGTTTCATTACACGGCAGAGAAAATTTGCAGGAAAGTAATGGTCTACCTGACAATTTTTTTCGTTACCAAAAGAGGGACGTGACGTCATCAGTCACGTGATCAGAGCGTTTTGAATATTTTAGTTCGTTTTTAAAGTACATTTTTCGCCATAAATCTGCAAGTTTTTGTAATTGTTTTTCACCACAAATCTTTACACTGTATTAACCCCTGAGTAATTATTATTCCATTTTCAACGCAGAAGCAAACGAAAACTGAGCCAGAAGTTTAAAAGTTGCGTAAATCGACCGATATTGCAAATTAAAATCGAAAAGGAGACCTACTTTTGAGACTTTTGTAAAATCCTTTTTCAACTTAACTGTTTGTTTGCGGAAATAAATGTAAATTTTGCTTTCAATTTACCACGTTATGTTACTAGCTATATGCACCACATAGGTAAGAAGAAATAAATGTTTAACGTTTGTTAATAAAGGAGAACTTTCAAAGCTAAAAGGATGTATTTGGCCGCCATATTGTTTTTCTTTCTAGCGTATCTACCAGTATTTATAGTAACACTAGACACTGTTACCATTCCCCAATTCAAACATCGAATTTCACATGTGCCTAATTTAATTCGAGAGGTAACTGCTTTGAGATGCGACGTCTACAACAAACGGATTTAAATTCGGGACCTTTATATCCGACGTCTGAATCAACTGCCGTATTTAATTATATTCTTCGACTAAAATAGGTGTTCGGCACTCATAAGAAATTCCACGCTTGATACGGGCCTAGCATGACATAAGTTTCAGCTTAGTGGTTTGCAGGCTGTTCGTTATTAAGCCAGTTGTTTTTTTCTTTTCAGTAAGAAAGACCAATTCCTATCTCTTTGTAAATCCATTCTACTAATCGGCTTGTGCTACGACTTAAGAATCAGCTGTACTAGTTGATTTTGTATGTCACTGGACATGATTTGTATATAAAAAAGAGCGATCAATTTTCATCCACTCATTTCAATAAAAGCAAATGGCATCACTTCCCACTACAACGGACAACATCGAACCGTGACTTCGCCGTATAAATTTGCAGCACCGAAGAAAGACGAAAAAGCTAACCCTTTTTGATCAAATTATTTTAAGGTTTAAACTCGAAACTTTATATGGTGTAAAATATTTATAATTTACTTTTACCGGTATCAATAATAATAATAATAACAATAATAATAATAATAATAATAATAAATCCAGCAAGCGGTGAGGGCGGGACGTGAACTCGGGGCTTCCGAACTGCAATTGCAGCGCTCTAACCGCTCGACCACGTTGCCTCCTACAGGTAGGAGGTTGGTAAAAAGCATCGATACGTTTATATGCTTTGAACAGTCATATACTCACCGTCCGGTTGAAGTTATAGACTGTTAAATTTTGAAATTTCCTTGAGCCCACGTAGGTTTTGCTACAGAAAGGGGGATCCGACATCTTGTGTTTCACTTCGTTCACAAACGTGTAGTACTTATCAATCTGCTGCGTGTTGACTGTCAATAACAACACAGATTTAAAAGCGTCGTAAAATTCCCTTTCCTCGTCTTTGTTTAAATCGCGGGTGGCTTTGAATTCACCGATAAACCACCGTTCAGGTCGTCGAAAAAATTTTTGAACCAAAAGGGGATCCAACTGGAACGCGATGAACGCATAATCTCCATTGTTCATGCCCAGTTTACTGGCATAGTACATCCCCTCACGTATGAGACGGCGCTCCAAGGAAAGAATGATAACTACAATATAAAAAAAGAAACTACTATGAGAAAAGGGGCGGGAAAAACTTATGAACGGTTTAACTTTTTACTGATTTTCTTGCAATAGACCACACTTTCTATGGGTTTCCGGCGTGATAACCCACTTGGGATGTTGGGAGAACACTCGAAAAGCTTGCAAATCACTCGCCTTGGGTTTGTGATTTACAAGCTTTTCAAGTTTTCTCCCAACATCCCAAGTGGGTTATCACGCCGGTAAACCCGCAGACAGCGTGGTCTATTACTTAATATATGGACTATGTCACGAGGATATTGCTGCCTTAGAACAATTTCGTGCTGAAGGCCTCACTTAGGGACTGTTTACATGGAGGTGGGTGACCCCAGACAGGTGAGGTAACATACGGCGGGTCACCCCACCTATCATGTAAACGTGATCGAATCAAAATGAGAGACTGTGGACAGGCGGGTTACCCACCAAGGTGGGTTACCTCACATACCTGGGGTCCCCCACCTCCATGTAAACAGGCCCTCAGTGTCTATGCTTAAGTATACACAAAATGCTCTTGTGGAGTTATAAAGAAGAACTCAAACAAATTTCATCAGGAAGAACTAACCATTAACATTAAACATTGGAATTCCTTGTTTTCACGTTACAAACCTGTTTCGTGATGAAATTTGTTAAATTTGACTTTTTATGTGGAAAAAGGCCAATTTGAAACAATTTGGTAACTTTCTTTAATAGTATTTTTTGGTGATTTTTGCAAACATAGACTTAAAACTTGAAAAAAGTTGGTTTCAATCCATGTCTATCCTTACCATCCCTTGCCACAAACGATGGGATACAGTATTAATGCTGAACATTAACCCATTCGCTCCTGGAGATTTTGCCGAAAAACGCGTTCTGAAGCTAGTCGAGTGGTTTTCTGGTCACTGTCGTGCTATAAAGAGCTAAAACTTACCACAAACCGGTTTACAGGTCGTACACTTGGCGGCCTTCTGATCCAGATGCAAAATATGAGCTTGCGAAGTTCGGGCATGCGCAGAAAGCAAAATTTCGACATTTACTTTTCGCTTTCTCTCCTCCCTTCTTTTTTCGCTTTTCTTGCCTCATTTTTTTTTTCTCTTGCTGGGCATTTAGTAGGCTTCATTTTGGTGGGAAGAGTTTTTAGGAAAGCTTTTAGGATCTTAGGATTAGGTGAAAGGAAAGGTAGGTGGGTAATGGAACAAGATTTTCATGGAGATTTTCAGGTCCTTGTCACGTGGTTTTTTGCTTCTTTCTCCGGTGTCCTTGACTCAATTGTGCTCATTCTGGTATGCTTTGAAAGATCTCTTCACTCTGCACAAGTTAGCGAAGAAAGTTGTCCTTGACCGTTAAAACTAATGACGTCACAAAGGGTAGAAAGGACCTGGATCCGCACGGGCGGTTACGGGCGGTTCAGGGGCGAATGGGTTAAGAAGCCTCAAATACCAAAACTGGACAATTATTTTTGGAATTCAACTGATGCAAAAAAAAGTTTTAGCTATTTTAAAAAAGATAGCAAATAGCGTGAAATGGTCCCTATAAAGTGGATTTTCACTGTGGCGTAATTTTGCATGCGTTAACGCACGTAAATTTTAGGCGCGTAAAGAAAATAGAAAAACTATTTGAAAGGCCGCGTGCAAAAGTAAAAGTTTAGGAAGCTCAACTTTTACGCGTACGCACAACCTTCCATACATTTGCCTCTATTTTATTCCCGCACGTAAAAATTACGCGACAATGGAAATCTGCTATTAAGGCTGGAACATCCATTATGGAAGGTCACAAGAATACCTTGACTGTATATATTTTTGCAACGAAAATATATTTTTGGTACTTTTGCTAGTTTACCGTTGGTGCTGGTCAAGCGTTAATAAAGATACCATTTTGGCTCTTTTAAGACTACAATTATCATTGTCAAAAATGTTGGGAAGGATACTAGTTTTATCTCTTTTTCGTTCCTTTCCCGGCCCCCTGACCCCCCTAATGAGGGGTATTCAGCAAAAAGGAAAACCACTTTTTTAAAAAACATCAAAAGGAACTGCTGCTGAGTCCCCAAGTACAGTTTGTCCGGGATTGTAGTTGATCGGAGCACATAAGAGAGATAGGTATAGGGAATGTTAATTTGCCATCTTTTTACAGGCTTTATCGATCAAAGAAAATAAATCACTACCATTTTATCAACTGATTTTTAGTGCGATCAGTGGTTCGCAATATAACACTAACGCCTAGGCCAAACTTCGAACTTTTCATGAGAAGAACCAAACTCTAATTTCGGTCGACCTAAATCAATTTAAGATCTTCTGTTGGGTCAGACGACGAACTTAGGACGCGTCAAACCAATCAACTGAATCCGACCAAAAAGCAGTATTCTCCAAGAGAGATAAAATATATATTATCATACTTAACCTAATTTTAAAACTATCAGTTATGTTGCCCCGCAGACGATCTGAAGCAGACGGATAGAAGGTGTTTGACGATCCAAACTCTTTCAGACGATGTTAACTGAGCCAGTCGTCGAATTTTTAAAGGGAACCTCCACTTCAACAAAAAGATAACTTTAAATCACAGGAAATAACTGTTACAGTCAAGTCAATCTAAAATATTTTTAAAGAAAGCGTTTGTATCCGAAAGAAATAACTCTTAGATTCGCCTATTTTTGTTTTCAAATTTTGCGGGCGTCGCCATCTTGAATAATTGTGAGGTGTAATGGTTGCCCTATTGTTATTAAACAAAAGCTCTTTGTGTCAGAACAATAGAGCAACCGTAACACGTCACAATGATTCAAGATGGCGCGCCCGCGAAATTTGAAAGTGAAAATAAGCGATTTTAAAATTCACTTTTCCTGATTTAAACACTTTTTTTAAGACAAATTTCGAACAAATTTGTTCATCAACATAATTTTATTCGATTTAAACTTATTCTGTAGTAAGAGTGGAGGTTCCCTTTAATGAAATTAACTCACTAAGTTTAGTTCGTCTCATGAAAAGTTCAACGTTTGGCCTAGATTTTGTCATGAACATACTTCTTGCTTTGGTCTTCATTTTCATCAAAACTTGCTGAAAATGCTCTCCATCAGTCTCTGGTTTGTATAACCAGTGAAACTTAACTTTCTCCTGCAGAGACACAATCTTCCCTTGAGACTTCAAATAAGACACCAGAAAGTCTCCCCTTGATTCCCAGGTATCCGCATCTTCGCTGATAATCCCCACCCGGTTCCAGTTGAAGTACTTCAAAATAGCCAGTACAGAAGGGCTGATGCTGTTGTCACCGAAGATAGTTCGTGCAAAAGTCGGATAGAGCTCTTTGTCGGAAACAGCGTTGGACGTGCACATCTGTATATGGCAGATAAAATGACAACAAATTAAGAATCGAACAACAGAACGACATGTAAGTAACAGGGCAGGGTTATGAACTTGATGGGTGACAACAGCTTCTATATATTTTCGACAAAAAGCAGGGGAACGAAGGGCGCCGAGTAAAGCAGCGCAAAGGGGTGGCCACCGCCTTCCCCGTCTACCGGTGCTTAACCTAACAATTCATGCCACTTCGCCAAGCGTTCATCAAATAAAGTACAAACGAGAAAACAGAAGTCTGTGAACCGTCTATTCTTTGTTGTAAAAAATGACCGGCGATGATTTTAGATTTGTCACCTAGTATACGTTGACTTACAAGAGGAAAATATATTCCAAAATATCCCATAGGCATTTTAAAAAATTGTTGAACAGGAAATAGCGAATACTAAATTTAATTGAGATTTTTGTTTTGTTTTGTTTTTGTTTTAGTTTCCCTAGCGAGACCAAAATGCAAATTACCCACAGAAGGTGCACGTATTTCGGACCCAAGCAACAACATACAAAAACCCCGGACTGTAAGTTGGTGGTTTCAAGAAAAAATTTCATGGATGACAAATCGTTAATTTCATGCAACACTGTGGAAGTTTGCACGAAAATAAATTGATTGATGCTGTATGACGTAGCAGGTGCAAGTGAATCAAAACAAGAAACAAAAAATCTTTTTTTTTTTCGGAAATAGTACTAGCGGCCCCTTGTAGGTTTATTCAGTGCTGATGGTAACAGACTGGATTTTTTATTTATTAGTTTGCGAAATGCTCAGTTTAAATAAGTGGAAGCTGAAGTAGTATTATTACTACTAACAGTTCCTGTACTGTTTGTTTTTCATCTTTTCATGGTGCAAATGTTTAACCAAACCTGTCAAGTGGCTGACTGACGTTTTGTGTCGAGTCTTCTCATTTCCTGATCATATAAATGCTTCAAAAGAAATCGAAGGAAGGGCAATTGTCGATTTTAGAATTTTAAAAGTTTTTACCCTATAAAACGAGCTTAAGCAAATAAGCAAGGCAGTCATAACTCTGCAGCATAAAAAAATAAATGCGTTGTATGACGTTTCTACCGTTAAAATTTGAGAAGTTTAGTTTTTTTAAGATCGAATTTCAAGACCGACTACATCTTGTGGTGTCTCGACCTCTATTGACAAATTTACATGACTGTGCACTGTGTACTTGTACTTACATGAGAAATGACTGGCAAATTCAACGCAGCAGCCATGCGTGCCTGGGTTGAACATGCACAACCAAACCCAATAAAACCATCCACTCTCTTCTCCCACTGTTCAATAAGAGCTTGGATTGACAATTCCTCCAAACACTCGGAATCGTCCCAAATGAAGCTGAGTGTTATTCCGGGTAAAAGAGTCGGATCTCTGTTGATTCTATCCACCGCTATTTTCAAGGCGGACGCATAACGGTTGCCGGGAGGGACGTCAGGCGACCCAACTTTGTACGGCAGGATCAGTCCGATCGTTAGATTGCCATCTGATGGTGCAGAGAAGGTACGTTTTATTAGAATTGTAACAGCGAAGAACATCAAACTTGCTCTAAACATGAAAGAGCTCGTCATGTTTAAGGAGGATCATTAAAATTCTGTCAATTATATTGACAATTTGGATTGAACTCATAGTGTACTCATAGCAAATGACAGGTATGTATCTAGTCACAAATAACAAGTATTCACGGCCTCGGCAAAATCCCTCCACTAACGTTGTTACCAATTTTTATGATTAATCAGTAGAAAATACACAACACATTCGAACTAACGCTTGGGGGTAACAGGAAGGTATTCAATAAAACGAGTAAATTAAAATTTCGTGCTGGTTTAAGTTTTAGTGGCAGCTGAGCAAGAGAACTATGAACTTTGGCACGTCATAAACGTGTAAAACACAATGTCATTCTTTTAAGTTATGAAATAGTTTCTTGGCAGCAGAAACGGTACATTAATTACAAACAAAATTATTGCTAATTTCAAGAGCAATATTTCACAGCCAAATGAAGCTGAAATAACAGAAATTCAAATAATGCGCTATTGGGAATAATTTTGTTTTTAAATTATATAATTTCATTTTATTATAGCAGAGGAACAAAACTTTTTAAATTAAAATGTAATACATGTAAGTAGGAGCATTCAGATTATAATAAAGTACATTTCATTTTCCATTGTCAAGGCAGAAAACGATTTAAACTACTGTTTTCGGCGGATTAGTTTTTCCGGAACCAATAATTAAACGAGCGCTATTACTGTTCAAGTTTGTTTTCTTTTTAAAATGTTCTTCATTTCTTTGCCATGGATCTGAAATAAAGTTATGCAATCCTGCTCTTATGAAGCGGATTACGACGTAATCCCCTTAAAACCTGTTAAACGTGGACAAAACTTGTAAGAACAATTTAAGATGTTTATGTGCAAAAGCTGGTACAAAGAAATCGTGGTGATACATTTACATATTTTAAGAAATTTTTTATTGATGCAGCTGAAGGACGCAAAAAAGTCTAATACCTTCGGCCTTTATCGCCACATTTAGACCGTCAAATACTCACTTCTGCCAGAAACGTTATATAAGCCAAACCCTGGTATCCTATCCGTAAAGAAACGTGATGTGGAGACCGTCACTACAGGCACCATAGTGTCACGTGCAATATTGTAAATTGTGTAAGACAATTACTCTACTAAAATAAATTAGTTGCTTTTTATGCAATGATTCATATAAAAGCGAAAGTAATTACTATTCCATGCTCTGCCCCAATACATATTCTCCATAATTTTGAACGTTTTGAAATTTCTATACTGAGAAGGCGCTAATATACAGAGAGCAGGTTTACGAAACAATTTGTCATTTATTCCCATTTTGAAAGAATTTTTTCATTTGTTTTGAAAACTTTCAACCAGTCATAAAAGTTGGAAGCAACGAATGAGAGAAACTCATAGTTGACCGTCTTAGGTGCAAGTTAGATTCAAAGATCAATTTGGTTATCAGGAATTTATTAATTAACAAAACTCAAGGTTATATTCCTGCCACTATAAATTTTGCTGTTTAATAAAAGTGATCAGGGGCACAGTACAGACAGTGGCAAAGTGAGTAGCTATTTATAAATCCCTTAAATTTGATCGTTTCTGGACATTTGATTAACAGCAACCGACATAAGTTTACCTAAAGCTTCGGTAAAAAGGGCAACAAATACTTTCAATAACTTTTTTTTCCTTTTTCACATCTTTTATTTTTGTTATGAAAGCATTGAATTGTAAATACTACCAATATTCTGTATGAGTTAAATAAAAGTTGACTCGACTTGATTTTGGAAACATCCCAGAATTAGCAAATTTGTCCACATTAAGTCCAGTCTTTACTTCACGAATAATTTTAATGCTCTCTTTTTGTCGAAATTCTAAGATACCTCGAAATTCCTCTTTTTGTGAAAGTTTCTACAGCAAACGGCAAGCACCCGAAATACGTGTACGTAACGAACAGCATTTCCAAAGAAAAGGCGGATAAGGGCTGATTCAGAAATACCATCTAGAGCTAAAACAGTTGTGAGGTCACTATCACGTGATATCCATTCCCATGGGGGAAAATAATAACATATTATTAAGATAAGTCTTTGTTTAATCCATGTGTTATACTGAATGGGTTTACAATAAAGACCAAGCTGTTTATAATAAGACGAGGTTCAAAGATGTAAGTTGTGCCCACCAAAAAAAAACAAGGAAGAGCCACCTTAAATTCTGTTCGCCCTATCAAAGTTGAATAACAAACTTCTTATCGTACGGTTTAGTCATGTTGTATCACGGAATATTTCAAATCATCTCTTGTATTTCGACCCCCCCACTGTCTCGACAAAATACGACTTGATTTGTATAATATCCCATGATATTATGCTATAGACCGTTCAAAAGTCTGATTGGTTCAGTTGTTGAGAAAATTTCTTACCGTTATAGCAGCGGTCTTTGCAAGATCTGCATTTCCGTAGTTCCGACGACGGTGCCGTTGAATTATCGGGCCAAATGATCAATTTATTGCTCAAAACAAGCTTCTGTTTCCCTAAACTGTCTATGATAAACTCTCCAACTTCCTGGAATATTCCTTGAAACAGAAATTGAGATAGATGGACCAAGTTTATTATCTTTAACAGCCTAGATACTCAAGGCAGAGTGGCACAAAGCAAAGTCCTATTTGACACACGAAAGGACGGGGGAACTAGTAAGCCATTTCCGAGTTCCCCCGGACCTCTGTATCAAAACGAGGTTAAGTGCTCAACCTTTAGTATGGAAATGATTTTTCATTCTCATGCAAACAAACCTCATTTTCACAAGAAAGGTTCTGCACTTGGCCTTCTTTGGAACATTAGGGTTTTTGGAACTCGGAAGTGGCCTGTTGGCTTAGAGTAACTCTGACTTCCTCCTCATCCTTACCCTACAAGTCAAGAGTTATTTCAATTTTCATAAATCATAATTTGTTAAGCAAAATTTTGGTAATAAAAGAAGGCATACCCCCCTAGAGTAGCAGTGTCACCCCGCCCGCATTTCTTAATCGTTCATTCATTCGCGCGTACTTTTTTTTAATAAATCATCAAAGTGGAGGAAAATATCCACTTTTTTACAATAGCTGAGGGAATCCTCGCACGCTGATTGGTCGAGAGCTATGGTCTATGAGAGTATAGACCAAAGAAATGACTTAACATGTCACAAAGTGCTGGTTGTTTTTGTTTTTGGTTTTTCGTAAAAAAATAAATGTTATTGTAAAAAACAAATGGACCATAATTTTCCATGACATGCACTCTTATAGACCATAGAAATGACGCCATAAAATGTTCAAAACTTTGTGGTTCCACTTGAGTTTTGAACATTTTATGACGTCATTTCTATGGTCTATAACAGTGTAAACCATGAAAAATTGTGGTCGATTTATTAACTCAGCTCACCAACACTGAGGTGAATAACTGTTTTTGTATTTACCACAGAAGCTGAATACGTAGCAGACCAAAACATTAGTGAAACGCTGCTATAATAATTATAGTTTCAAAAACTGTCCATCGATAACTCAATAATAATTGGGCATGTGTTTGATACCATTATTTTGCGGTAAAATGAAACAGTTTTCTAGTATTGATCTAATTTGTGAAAGTCATAATAATTCCAGTAACCGTTGTGAGCCATCTTAAGGTCGTGGGTTACCAAGTGGCCTCAGACAGATGACTTTGCACACATGGTGTCTACTCGTCCCACATTCACTTCTATTTGCCCGCTTCTCTTATTTTTGGTGTGAATCTTACCGTCATTGTTTGCACGATAGTCCATCAGAATCAAATTGAATTCTGCATTGCCATCTGAGTTGATGAACCGATCGTAACCTAGAATACCTGGCATACAGAAACGTAACAAAATATGTAAGCGATTCAATTGCTCAAAGTGAGGTATTCCACACGAAACACTGACAAAATTTTTTACAATGACAACTTACTACGAAATTGTCTTCCCATCAGATACTGAACGATTTCCCTGCCATCAGAATTAACTGGCCTTCCCGTTTTGTTTAAAGCCATGGCGTACTGAAATACCGCGTCAAACAAATACGCCGCATAAATAGAAGACTGAAAGCAAGAAACGATATGTTAATACCAGCAGAGGATCAAGCTGACGGTGAAGTTATTATGACTACTACTTGTGCCATTGTCTCCCACACTACCCTGCTAACAGTTGGCTGACGCAAGGTAACCCTGGCCACCTACAGCTGTGACAAGGCCTTTCTTTTCCTTGGCTTAGCGAAGGTGAGGTCTCTCACCCTTGGCCATGGCATGGCGGAAGCAGGGACTCAAGCCACATGTGGCCTTGTTACTATCTTTTTACCCTTGCTATAAGAAGCCTATGAAGCAGGGGAAAGGACTCTGTGGCAACATATGGAGGAAGCAAAGCCTTTCAACCCTAACCAAATATAGTAGAGGTAAGCAAGGGCTCTTAAATAAATGATGAAGGTAAGGGCTAACCCGTCCATAGTTATATGGCGGAGATGCTTGCTCTGTTCTCCTTAATGGCCGGGAAATTGTAGTAATGGACAACACTTGCCCAAAAAACTATAGTATTGGGATAGTAGCAGCTCCGAAACCACACCTAGCTTAAATTATCGCTATACAGCACCGGAGGCAGGCTCGACTTGAGCCCCAATCCTGACCCATTTAGCTCGTTCTCGTGACACCTGCGCCTGTAGTGAGGTTGGATTGACGGTCTGATTTTCACAGGCAAAGCTGAGTCTCTAATTAAGAGTTTATAACTAGCTTGTTATACATCTCAGACGATAATAATTATAATTCCGATTTGCTTGAATACTTAACATATGTATTCCATTTTCTCGACACTTATAAAGGCGATGATAATGTTAACTAAGAAATAAACAACAATATTTAAAACGTCCTTAGAAGTGTAAGGGAATACCTAAAGGAAGAAAAACAGGATCGTGAAGCAAGAGACTGGCATGATATTCAGACTGAGAAATTTGAGGGGAAAACATAAAAAAGAAAAATGAGTCATTTTTGTACCTACCGCGTGTGCTTGACTCAAAGAACCGGTCCTGTTTCTTTTCACATCTTCCACAAAGGTCAAGTATTCTTTGCTTACATTGTTATTGACTGAAAGAAGCAGAGTTGATTGAAAGGCTCTCTCGTCCCAGTCTTTACTCCATGTTGCAGAAAGATTTTTCTTCGTGTTCCCCGTGAGGTCCAAATCTAGATCAAACATGATGAACGCGAACCCCTGATTCAAACCCAGTTTCCCTGCGTAGTTGACGGCCTGACATGCTAAGGCGTAATTCATGGCAAGAATGACAACTGTAAAAGAAATTTCAACGAATTATTCAAGATTGTACCAAGAACGTTTTATTTTGAAGAATGAAAATGGTATTTGATGATGATCTGCTGATGATGATGAAGTGACGAATACGATCATGATGATGATAATGATGATGATGATGAAAAGCTTCTAAACAGCATTTATTTAGTAAATACTATGAGGAATGTCCTTCAGTTAAGGTCCTGTGAAAATGAATTAAACATACTGATACAAAGGCAAAGGTTCAACTTTCGTGCAATATTTCGATTGGAAACGCTTGCTATCCAGGCTATCAAGCACCTTAAAATTTGAAAACGTTATTGCATGCTCAAGAAATTTAAATCTTAGTTCACCTAACTCAACGCTACCGATCCAAATGCAGTAGCTCTCTATTGTGGCCTGGTGTGGGTCGTGAGTTCTGGGTAATGAGCTCCTGGTTTCCAGTAAAGGAAGGTATACGTAAGTTAGCACTTCGATGCTAGCTACTATTACTGCAACAACCAGTAATGACAGTGTATACAGTTTCTGAAAGACTTTTAATCCCGTCACACATAGCACGAATCGTTCATTCAATCATGTGACCGAAACCAGGACATTGTATCACTAAGTAGAGTCAACCTCGCCTTTAACCCTTTAAGCCCCAATATCCACATACAAATTCTCGATACTGGTCTCTATATATATCCTTAAAGAATGAGTTGAGAGAATTTGACAAAAAATCAAAGCATTTTCTCGTAGGTGATCATTTTATTAATTCCCATGGATATCATTGGATATCATTGGGAGAAAATTGATGTTGGTCACTATTGGGACTTAAAGGGTTAATATTAACAAAATACTTCCACAACTAAGCTCACCTCGAGATTCTTTCGCTGCAGTCTGAAGCAGTTTTTCAAAGCTGAGAGTCAAGCCAGACTCATCATAATGAACACCAAACACCATCGTCTGAACAGTGCTTACTACCAGATTCTCTCCTCTTAAATTGTTAACTAAAACATACGATTGAGACCATGGATGGGTATTTTGACTAAATATTCCAACACGAGTCCAATTGAAATGTTTCATCAGAGCACGCACCGGTGAAGCAAGTCTGCTGATGGGTGGTATCGTCCGTACAAATGTAGGAAAAAGTTTCTTGTCCGATAGCCTTTCATCTGTGCACATCTGTTTAAAAGAATTAATTTAACAAAATGTACGTTAATGTTTCGTTTCTAGTAGAGAGCCAGACACATTGAGTTACTCTTGCAGTCCACACACGACCCTAGCATCGGCTCTATTATTGATGAACTAATGGTCGTAACTAATCGAGCCCGCTGTACCAACCGCACATCTATTAGACCTGGGTTCGAAACTGTATCCTAACAACATGCAGCGCATGCTCAACAAAGATCTCAATCGATTTATACACGTCAGTCTTTCTCGAGCATGCCAAAATTGAGCAAGGGGTAGAAAGACACTGTTGGCAGAGTTCCTACTCACATAATTGCAAACAAATAATCCAAAATATAAATAAACTATTACGTTAAGTGAACAGCGAAAAGACCCTTTCAAGCATAAATTACAAGTTACTCGTCAAGGTTTTGGAGAGTGAGGAGGAGTTTGTTAATATGAGCCCCATTACCAGTTTCTACCTCAACTCCTTATTCAGTTAAAGTGTTCTCTTCCTTATATCCATGGTTAAATTTAGTATGATCGTACTTGTTACAGTTTTGATGTTTACCACTATTATTCTGCTACCTTTTATTTATTTATTTATTTATTTTATTTTGTTTTTGCTTTCTCTTTATTTACTTTCTCTTTTTCCCGACTTTTGAACCTTGAACTTAGCAGTTACTTGTAGGAGACAATTCTTGTATTGTTGCCCACCTAGAATAGCTGCTAATTGTGGGTAACCTAGTCCTAAATTATTTACAGACCGGACTTCTCTTCGTAAAAGACCTCTTACTACCGGAAAAACACTCAAAACCTTTAAACGATTAGATTGTGCATGCACATGAACAATAGGGCCATTTATAAGAGGAAAAATAAGACGCGTCTTACATAAGACGCGTCTTAAAAAAGACGCGAACTGTACCATTTATACGAGCATGTCTTATCTAATAAGACGCGTCTTAGCTAAGCCGCGTCTTATTTTAGACGAAATGTGCCGTTTATACGGAAAGTTCGCGTCTTATTTAAGACGCGTCTTATTTTTCCTCGTATAAATGGCCCTAATGTGTATGTTGTAGTTAATTTTTTATCTCAGGTAATTTTTGTTTTTCTTTTGTTTTTGGGTATGTTAATGTATGCTAATGAAGTTAAAACAAAAGGAAAAATAAAAATTACCTGAGATAAAAAATTAACCACAGCATATACATGATGTCTTTCAGTTTTATCCCTGATTCATATGTTATTCCTCTTTTCTTGAAACCCATTACTACACATATAAAATTAAACCGCAACAAGCACAACGCGCGTTAAAGCATAGCAACGTTAAAGCCCTCAACAACCTTGTTTTTTTTGTTCGTTTTCTAACGTCACTCCCAGAGGACGGTAAACGAAACACCTGACATTGTGGAACAGTAAAAGAGTGTATTTGAGGGGAAACAATATTTAGGGGACTCTGATTGTCCGCAACAAAAATGAAAACTTCCCAATAGAAAGTTTTTCTGCTATATAACTTTTTGCTCAAGCTGCTTTGTAAAAATGAAAAAGGGCTTGCTTTTTTTGTTTGTTTTTTTTTTGTCTAAAAACACGTCAGGAAACAAGGTAACTGTCAAATTTTGTCAATCACAGGCGGATATATCCTGATAATTTTTTTTTCAAATAAGAATTTTTGTATTATTGGCACCGGTAAAATCAATGATATAATTTTTTTATGAATTGCATTTTAATTTATGGCCAGCTAAAAGCAAATGTATACGTCACTGTTCATGATTAAAAGATTTATCGGGCGTAATTAAAATTTGCAGTTCAATTTGCCTCCATGTCTTAGGCTGCAGTTTCTTTTTAAAATTAAGAACCACCGTCATTTTTTTTGAAGAGTTCTTATCGAAATAAGCCTAGTCATTAACACGCGGATGTAATAATTTTTTTGGTCCTTTATCATTTAAATCCATGCTTTCAAGCTTCTGATAAAGTTTACAATTACAGAAATATCGGAAAATAAATTCAGTTTATAATTATTACAAAACAGGTGGGCAATGAAAAATACATGTAGTGAAGTATTATTCATGGACTGTGGAGACTGCATGGTTGTTTCGATTCGTCTATAAATCATACCTTTACTGATTATCCTTCTAAAAGAATAGTGTAATATATTACTATACCGTAACTATTTGACTTATGACAACGTTGCAATTGTTATCTTGTTGCAGCCATCTCTAAGATCATGTCCAAAGATTTTTGTATAACAATATTAAGAGATTTCTGACTAGAAAGGGCGCTTTCCATCAAGCTATAGCTGAAGGCTTAAAAAACGGATTAACTGTCTGGGTCTGTTAATTGAAATCCAAATCGCAGGACTATCTGTGCAGCAAAACATCTTTCGATATAAATTCACTAACGAAGACCGAATTTTCCAATTAGTTGGAAGTTCCCTAAAGTTAACGGCTCATTCCCTCAACAGCGGCTGGTAATGGCGCATACCTGAAGCTACAAGACCTACGGCGACAATTGTTTTAAACATGTTCCGATGTTTTCGTTCCTTTCTTTCCCCTTTTTCGTTCTTTGTTTCATGTTTACGTGTTTATTTTATTAATATGATTTATTTTTTTCCCGAGAGCATGACAACCGATTTGTCAGAATAACTAAACTTGGCGTTTTAAATGCTTTATATATCTTTTCGCGACAAAACTTTCTTTCAGTAATTAAAAAAGTGATTTCTTATCTTGCCTTGGAATCAAGTCATTAAGACGTTTTTACTATGGTTGACGTGAAAGGTGTCTGTTCGAAATATTAATAAGAAAGGTTTTGATATCGAACGACGTGACAGTTCGCAAAATGATTCCTCGAATAAAAAGTGGAAACGAATATCGTTCGAATGAATTAATTTTTGTTTAATTTACAATTCGGCATCTCAAAGTTTAGTATAATATCCCGCCAATATCCCATGGTGTTAAAAAGCATTTTATTAAAATAATTAATTACCTCTTTACGGTCCCATCTGACACACAGTAATGGCCGGGTTAAAATAAATCCTTCAAATAAAGCCGACGCTTAAAACGAAAAAGCTCAAAATTATCCCTAATTCGTGGGTAAACCTTTCAATACACATTTCATACGAATTTGTCATTTAATACAAAATCAGTTGAATTGTGACATGTTATCTCTCCCTGGATAATTTAAAAGGTATCTGATTATGAGTCAAAGTCTAAACGTGTGCCGCCACATGTGAAAGTGTTATTCAGGTTGTCAGTTTTTACCTTAATCATTTCAATATACGTTAAATAACAAAAAACGAACTTGAAAGGTATAATCAATGCCTCCAAGCCCTAAATTGAAGCGAACTTCTGTGGTTCCGAGGGATTAATCCTAGAGTGAAAATTGGAAAATGCCCAATGCAAATTGTGAAAATTATTCACCAAAAAATTCTAATATGATATTTCTATAAAATCCTAAGAAATAAACAACACCATCACTACAGTCGCTCCCCTCCCATCACCGTCCCCGATTTTTTCTGAGGGGAGGGGGGCGTCCTCAGGCTAAAAAAAGGCCTACGGCTAACAAAGAGGTATCGTTTGAAGAGTATTACGGATTTTGAATCAAAACCCCTCTCATCTTGGTCTAGGAATTTTAATAAAAGAAAGGTTCAAGCCTAAATTTCAGTTGCAAGATTTTTGATGTCTTCAATGACAAACTTAACTTTCTCTTCGTTGTGGTAAAGCGTAATGGTGTTATTAGTTTTCGTTTGAGTTCGATCTTTAGTTGGTTTTTGCTGTCTTGCTTGTTTGTTTGTTTGCTTCTGAAGAGCCTGATATTAATTTCTAGGTGACAGCACTAAGTGCATAAGAGTTTCCAATAGGAATTTATTTCAATTTATGAAGCAGGATTTTACCTAACATCCTTAAAATGCGCAAGTAAACTTATTTCAACATTTAATTTTTTTTCTATCAGTGATTGATTTCGCCTGTGTTATTGTTTTTCTTGCTAATGGCATGACATTTACATACTTCATCAAATATTATAGTATTTTTAATATTCCCCAATAAAGGCTTTATTTTTGCCTAACTCTTTAAAAGTATCACCTTAAAATTGGTAACTAAAGGATCAAACGCAAACGTAAATATTTTGCAAGTATAAAATACCGTCGTGTTGCTTCCAAAATTATTCACAGTTTCTCATTTTCGTGGAATAAAGTAGGGGTATACTAATGCCACAAACAATAGCATTATCAGAGTAACGCCAGTTTAATACCAGCATTAAGGATCAGTGATATGCTCATAACCAGAGATAGTATATCAATCTGTCGCGGTGAAAGTGATCGATTTCTCACATCAGTTTGTCACATTTTAAATCTTAAGTACAAACTCCATGGAGACGGCATGCAAACGTTTAATTTGTGCTTGCAAAGTCGCTGTTTTCAGCTTTGGCACCACTTAAAATAAAAAGTTCATATGGTAACCATTTTCAACCTTGGTGAGCAAAAACCGAAAGCCATCAATACAAAACATAATACGAAACACCAAAAGGAAAATTACTTCTGAATCATTTCCCTTTTTATGCTACGGGAGAATTATTACTATAATTTTCGAATACATTTATAAATAGTTACAGTGAAAAAGGCACTTTCTCAACCGCCAGGGCTCACAGGTGAGGTTCGAATACGCGTCCACTTTTATATTAACTGTTCTCACTCATTACCCCGTGTAAATTAATTTGCGGTTTTTTCGTAACAAACCTTTCTTTGTTTAAAGAGTTCACCCTGAAAATCAAAGTTTGCTTTCACTTGAAATCGGGTTTTCGTCCTTCAGAGCTCTTGTCAATTCAGGGGCCAGCGACGGCTTCACAATAATATACGATTTTTATGTGAACTCTAATAGGAAATAATTGACTGTTTTGCCGACAAAAGGGGAACATTAAAGTTCTATAGATGAAAGTGGGCGCAACCCTTAGTTAAATAGGCACTAGTTCTAAATTGAAATTTGCAGCCTTGACAATGTCGCCGTGAAGAGAGCACACAACTGATGAAGTGTTTTTGTCTGTACTTTCCCAAAGGACTAGCATTTGTGCGATAAACTTTGGTTTGTAAACTGCATGGTCAACCAAGCGAAAATCGTCGGTCGACGATAAGCTGATGACATTGAAATCTACTCGCTACTTGAATTTAGAAGTGAGTGAATGAAACGCAGTATCTGAAATTTTAGCTATAAATTTAGGTCCTAAAATGAAATCGTTCGAACCAAGTCACTTTTAACACTGAGAATAAAGAAGCACAATTAAATCTACTGTGATAAAGCTTAGAATGGAGCTTAAATCAGGGGTGGGGAAGTAAAGATTTCTTCAAAATAAAACTACTGTAACATTTTTGACAATGGCGGTCGCGACATGCCGAACTGCAATAAACTATTAACTCTTAGCCATTAATTCATTTTGTTTTCATGTTGTACTTACATAGGAAATCATTGGGATATTGATAGCCGCCGCCAGCTTTGCTTGCGTCTCACAAGTACACGCTGGACCAATAAAAGCCTGTACTCCTTTGCCCAGCTGGCTCAGCATCGCATTCACTGAAACCTTCTCGTTACACTGAGTATCACTACGAATAAATGTTACATGTTCCCCAGGAAATAGCGAAGAACTACTGTTTATCGCTTCAACGGCCAAAAGCATCGCCGACTCGTAATCGTTCCCCGTTACGGAAGAGCCACCGGACATATTCGCTGATACGTTGTACGGTAGTAGAAATCCCAACTTAATTTCACTAGCTCCTGGTTGTAAAGTTAACAGACTCAAAGCAAACAAAGCCTGAAGCCATAACTTGTTGCTTTTGCCGCCATTCGGTGTTTTGGTTGCCAGGATCATTTCTTCGGCCGTACACCGAGGCACCAAGGCCGCAGTATTACACTAAAATGTCTCGCTTGTAAAATCCCAGAAGGGTGCTATCCGTGAGGCGGACCATACCCTGAAAATGATATCGAAAAATACGTAAACAACTGTTCATCTTAGTCCATACCGTTTTAGCTTCTCTATGAATAATTTATAGATGGTTTAATCTCGGCAAATGCAATTTATTTGCAGAGTAAACTGTGTCCTTGGCGACCAATGGAAAAGAGCATTCGGAACTTTTCATTTAAGTGAAGTATTTAGCGTTGAGTTGATCTTTCCATTGTTCCGTTCTTCCAGCAATGTGTTTGTAAAAGCAAAGAGGTGGATAGTGCAAGCTCAATTTGACGTCGATTAGAAACGCTTTTGAAGTTTAGGCAAACAGATGTTCTAATTAAAGGGATCGAATGTCAAGTGATAGTGGTGGAAAGAAGGCGCGATGAAAAGATGTGCACCGGAAATTAAACCACAATTATCTTATAGTTTGTTTTTCCCGTAATTTTTAAAAACAGTCTTCAAATCTGCAATCGGCAGAAGCTAAAAAAGAATATTGTATGTTTGGATGCCAGGTACACTCGCAGGTAGTTCCGTTTGCAAAATTCCAAACAGTTCAAAGACTGAATTCAGGGGCACCCAACGAGTATATAGTTCAAAACCACTTAAAAATAGCATTTTTGTATTTAAACGGTAGATATATGGGCTTATTTTTATCCCCTAAAAATTTTTCATCTGTTCGGATTTCCTAGCGGAAAGTCTAGTGATCCGAAAATTATAGGGATTAAAACTTACCTTTTCGAAAATTTCAGCCAGAAAAAGGCTCCCGAAAATTCTAGGTGGCCTTTTTAGGGTAAAAATCCGTTAAAAATGGGCAATTATACTATTTTGGGGGGGTTCGAAACTCCTAGGAGAGGCAGGCAAGCAAGAAATTTGACAACAAATGTTCCGAAAATTCTAGATCTCAAATTGTCTTCCGAACAGATATTTTCCAAAAATTGTCGTTGAGTGCCCCTGTGAATTAAAACTATTCAGGTCTGCAACGAGAGTAGAAAACACAAGAAGAAGAAGACTGAATAAAGGAGACTAAGAAAAGGCGGAAAGCTCGGCGCGCTTTCATATTGCCGAATCAAGTTCAAAAATTATAAAAGCCAATGAAAAAGTTACCCTTCGTTGTATGATAAATAAAAATAAAAGAAAACTGTCGGGAATGCCACTTAGTTGGCGTAAACACTAACTGACTCAAAAAATGCTCTTTTCTGGCGACAGCAAAGTGAATTTTTTTTTATGATTTACATAAAATTGATATGTAACTAAGCTCTTGGAACGCTCAAAAGATTTCAGTGAGCTCCTAAGAGGAACAACAATTGAACCGATGATTGTAGTCCTCGTTTCGGCAACAGCGTTTTTTAGAAGTCAGAGTCAGTTCAACCGTTTTTGCTCTTTATTGTTGTCTTTATTGTTGGGGGAAGAGGCGGGGGGGGGGGAGATGAGGTAATTGGATACATTTTACCAACTGTTTCTTGTTAGCGGACGTTCGCAAAGTACGGAGACTCTGGTATTGTTGTCCTGCATTTTAATCTGATTTACTGCTTTGTTTGGTAATTTTTCAATCAACAAAGCCAGGAGCCTATCTCCTGACAAAGCGCGTTTCCCCAGAATCAGACCCTTCTTGCAACCAGTTCACATGTCCAAATGTATTTATCATTGGTTATGCGCCCCTTTTTTCTGAGGGTGTTGCAGGGTACATACGTTGTAACCAAGAGATAATCTCTTTTGGTTGTAACTTTGTTTCATCAGCAAAGCGGACTCTAGCCTGCTGATTTTCTCTATTGCTTATTGGTTTTTACCTTGTGCCCGGTGAGAGGTTGTTATTGTTTTTCTTGCTAATGATTATTGATTATCATCCTTAACTTCTTAAACTAGGTGCAAACCAGGTCATACGGAAAATGAGGTAGTCACTCATCGTTTTAGAGTCAGGTGAATGCCAACATGATTTCCTATCTGAGACAAAGCGCGCAAAATAGCTTTACTATCACCAGCATTTTCATGCAGTTCCATCTCAAGCGAAGGAAAAATTTGCCTTCTTTTTAAGAAGGTAACACTTTTTATAGTCTTACACATCCAAAACAAGCACAGAAGGGCCGATAGTTTTGACAAGGGATAAGAAAAACAAAACGAGTGACCCTCAAAGGGCCAAAGCAGAAAAAGATTAAACATTGTTTATGGAGCCAACAAAAACCCATTAACAAGGCTTAGAATGTTAGTTTTAGCCTGGAATGATCAGTTTTCTCTGTCGCGATTAGCCAACTCCAAAACCGTAAGCAAGTGAGCTAAATTAGCCACTTAAAAGTCAGGTAAACGTGTCACCATCCTTGGAGACCCGAGGGCGATCAGTCGGGTCAGGATAAACGGTGACGAAAGTTTTCAAGAACGGATGAGAGCCCCTGAGCTGCTTCTTAACCTGAAACGGTTCCACGACTTATTCGAATGCTTGTCTCTTTTTGCACCCAATCAGAGGCCAGCATCTATGGCGCTGCTTTCGTGGTCTTCTTAAGCTTATACGAAGGAATTTAACTGCATTGTCGACTGCCGTACCAGTCTGGCTCCTGCTGGAGTGCTTTCGTCGAGAATAGTTTTCAGTGAAAATGGGGCCAACAAAACAGAAGATATCCCATAACTTAGCATGTTAACAAAACAAAACAAAACGAAAAGTAAGATTTCCGAAAAACCCCATACATTTATTATGCATTCATGTTTCGACTCTATACGCCACTTGCACATCTCCCATAATGCACCTTATTTGCCCCCCCCAAAAAAAAAAAAAAATTGCAACAGAATTGTTTTCAATAACAAAGGTTATGCAAAATTTCGGAGGGCAAAAAATTTGCAGTATGGGAGATGTGCATGCAAGTGGCGTATTCAAACTAGTAACGCCATTTGTGAGAAAAAGTATGAAATAGCTGCATGCGTAATAAATTTGTGGGGTTGAATGGAAATCTTACCAATCGAAAAATGCACCAACTGAAGAAATCAGAGCTACGTTAGGAGTACATACTAGTCTGAATGACAGTTTTAAGTCTTTGAAGCTTTGAAGACTTACAAAAGATAAAATCCCCTGGCAAACATTGCTTAAAGTGCCACGGGAAAGCAGTGTTTATCAACAGGTTTATTTATTTGCGACTTTCGATAATTCAACTCTAACAACATTTAGTTTCTACCTCTCGGGAAGAACAAACGATTTTAGAATGAAAACATTGATTGAATACGCCATGAACGACGAACTTTGATAAAAGAATGCAAGGAGGATATGTGACTGCGTGGTTAGCTCGCATACTCGCAATCCTGAGAGTCCCGTGTTCGATTCCTGCGCTGACCTCTGGATCTGTTTCTAGGTGGTCTTCAGTAAAGAGCATCTATAGATTAACTGTTTGAGCGTTTCTCGATCTTTCTCTGGTGAATTTCAGAGAGGGTAAGAATATGGGAAATGGTTGCTCTCTTACAATTGTCAATCTGCGGTTCTATGCTTTCAAATATCAGTTACAGTAAGTGGAAAATGGGCAAGGATGTTTCAACAAGTAGTAAACTTAACTTTTTGTCTTCATTTTTCGCAAAATATTGAACTAACCTCTTTATGTTAAAACGTTTGGCGCCGAAAACAACACCAGTTTAACTTTTCAAGCACTTAGGACAGTGAAAGCAGCAACCTCATGCAGCCTTAAAGTACTTCGATTTTTAGCTTATGCAATTTCTCCTCTAAGTGAAACCCGGCAATGATCATCAGTAAGTGTTCGAAAGCTCGCCATTCAGTTAATTCGTTCAAATTTGTTTCAGTTCTTGTGCATGACAAAGAGGCAAAGCAGCTGGTCACGGTTGAAATAACCAAAACTGAACTACAAGATAATCGTTTAAGTGACAAACTTTCTTTACTGTCAAATTATAATTAATGATTACTTTAATACTTATGATTAGGGTTACCTTACCCTTGTAGGCAAATCGAACATTTGTTGGTCGGTAAACGTTTAATAGCCTAAGTTTCGCGTTTAGGGTTAAAATGTGTTTAAGATACTGCAATGTCTGATAAATATACCCAGGGATAACGGATTGAATACTTCGTCCTCATACCCAAACATGAAGTGAAAATAGGAGCGGAGAAATAGCTGGCGGGGAAGACGTAAAACTGATTGTTACCTTTAACTGAGGTGTAATCTGTCCTTCAAAGCCAAGTGTTGGTTTAGCACGGAAAACGAATCAAACAATCATTGTCATATTATGAGGACTGTTTGCACCAACCCGGGGCGAAACAAAAGGGAAGCTGAAGACTCCTGGGGTTGCCAACGTAAACCATTACATGAGATAACAAGTTATTTGCGGATGAAGCACCGTCTCACGAACCAATTTAGGCGCTTGATCAAAAGGCAACTATGAATCATCATTTGCATCTCAAAACGGAAATGTACTTGACTAAATCCGCGGTGTTTGATGTTCAAATGGAGCCCCAGGAAATCTTTAGCAATCTTAATGCAAAATTAATGGGTAAATTAATATAAAAACGGTAAGGATATGAAAAAGAAGCTTAACATGAATTAATCATGTTCAAGAAAACCTTAATAATAAACTGTTTTTTGATTAGGCAAATCCGGTTTATTTTTACCTATATTTTTTAAGGCTAAACCTTACTGAATATTTAGGGATTGCCTTTTTCAAATACAGTCTACTATGAAACTTAAAAAAATTAATAAGAAAAGAAATGTGAATAGTTATTAAGCAAATTGATTCCGCATTGAAGTGGTATTACGTACGTTTTTAGGACACAAGAAACAGAATAATAATGCTAATGCATCGATATCCTGAAGACAAAATATGACGCCAACCATGGCTCTCTAACACCTGCAGTACTCAAAATATTCGATTCGTATACATTTGGCCAGGACTAGCCTGAATTTCATACATTACTTCGAGTCGCTTTTACTGCCTCAGTTACTGAGAGAGTAAAAGCCGCTAGAGGTAATGTCTGAAATTCAAGCTAGGCCATAAAAATCTGGCCTGCATGCCAGGCGCTTTATGAAAACCTCAAAGTGAACTGATGACCTGAATCGAGAATCACGTTGAATTCAGTTTGAGTTTCCAAAAAAGAAACCTATGCTAATGCTTCCAAACGACAAAATTACTCCAGTAGAAGGCTACTGACTGACTGGCTTCGAATTTTAACAAGTGGTAAACCCTGGTAAACTAGCTTAAATAAGACTGAAGTGACACGAGATCATACTTATGGCCAGGAGTGCCTTTGACATTTAATTTGGATCGATCGCTTTTTTCGTCAGTCTGGCGGACGCAACAATAGAACTTAATATGTTTCTAAAACAACATATTTCAATGCACTTAATTATAACAACGATGTTTACTTAGTATTTTGGAAAGCTACTTCTAGAGTTTAGTATAGTTAAAGATCTCACCAATCGAAGAAATGGGGAAATTAATGACAAAAACCATAGATATCAGTATTTCCAAACATTTTTGCGTTGCATGATTTGTATGAAATTTGCCCCACATCAAAGCATTCCTCAGCTGGAAAATTGACGTGCATAATAGTACATAAAAAGAAGGTCATAAATTAAGGACTTCTGAGTTCCATAAGTAAAACGAGTAGCGGAAATATTTTTAGCCTGTTCCAGGCTCCGAGATATTCACGGGGTCCGCTGAATTATGAAAAAAAAGACGGTAGGAAATCTATGCCTTCATTTTTCCTTTTTCCCGCCCCACCAATTTTTCGCGTACCTCTCACTTTAGCGTCTTCCCCACCACCTGAGAGCCGGGGACAGGCTAAAACATTTTACACAGAAGAGTATACAATCTCAGTGTCAGTTAAAAGCCGTGATCTTATTGGCTATCAAAGATTCTAAATGTGGTTGGTGTGTTTCTATCTATCTTTTGTCACAGTTATAACGGTAGTTTTATTGTTAGTCAAATTGTTGGTTGTCCAGTCATTCTTATCTTTATCAGTTTTGCTTGAGTTTGTTGCTTGAGGGCCGTTGTGATTGTAGGTATAGTCAAGAGATCCTCTCTTGCTTTTTAATGCAAGTTGACTAGTTATGTTATTTTATGGCTTCATTGTCTAAGCGCCTAAAAACAAATTGCTTATAGCTTTGGTGTCGTTTTAGCATCACAGTTTTCCCTTGAAGTTTGTTATTTAAACGGCTCACTGGAATGAAAATTGTTAATGAATTCGAGGTGATACAGTAACAAAGCTTCGAAAAAAAGGGTCTAGACTTTGTAGGGTGATCATCATGCGAAGTCCCATTGACTGACGCAAATTGTTTTGGAATCAACGATGAGTTTCATCTTCATTTCGCTTGATACGAGAGAAAACTAATTGTGATTTTAAGTAGGCAGAAGTGCTTTTACACCACGTGACTGACGCCATCGCAAATACACTAATCTTGCTTCTTTTTCACGAACCTGTGTGTTTATGTTTCGTTGTTTTCCAGTCCTCAAATATTGACGTTTTTTCTCGGAAACAACGACCAAAACTGAACAAGAAAAGTAAAATATAATTAAACTTTTATACTATCTGTAAAGACAATGGACCATATGAAACCACTCTCTTTAATATATTTTGCCATCTTTAATAACTGTTTTCTTTTACACCTCAAAGAAGACTTCTGCCTATTTAGATAGCTTCAGATAATTCTATAAATAATATTTGAAATCCTTATGCTTTTTTGTGTGGTTTTCGCTCCATCACGTCCCTACCCGGCAGTATTTTTTGCCCGGGGGGGGGTACTCCCTTATAAGGGCTTAATGGGAACGTGCGGCCAGCCAGGGTATGTTTTTCGGGATTTTTGTCTTAAACAGGGCATCGATTTTATCATTTTTTGTCTTAATCAGGATATCAATTTTATCAATTTTTGTCTTAAACAGCTGTAAATTGTTTTGTGATTGCCAATGGATTAAATAAGAAAGAGTTTCGATATTATTAATTGTCTCACGAAAAATCGGAATTCTGCCTTAAACAGGATAGGAAAATCAGCTATTTTTGTCTTAAACAGGCTCAGGGTATGAGGGGCCGGGCCGCACCTCCCCATCCGAGGATATATCGAGTACCCCCCCCCCCCCCCGGGATTTTTTGCACCGTCTAAGAAATTGCTTCCCACCATCGTGATCAGTTCGCACATGGAGGAAACACGTTCGTTTGAAGAGTTAAAAAGAAAATACACTTTCTTTGTGAGCGTCGGTTAAGGCAGAAAGGCCTAGATAATAGACAAACTCTGTGAGATATTTGAAAGCTAATAATTATAAACTTCGTGTATTGTGCGATCAATGTGAGTATCTTTTCGCTGACGAAACGTTGCCATCATTTTAAGCCCGTCGGTTGTTTGTTTATCATTCACTGTATCAAACATCTTCGAACGGTATTAATAAAATTCTATAGCTAGTTTATTATTATAACTACCGGGACCGATTTTCATGGGGCGCTTCACGCACGAGTTTGATCAAATTATTACTGATTTCCTATAAATATGGTATTTGCAGCTTATTTAATGGAAAATACAATATCTGGTGTCTTCCCGGGTGGAGCATTTGCACCCTATTTTGAAGCCCCATCGTGGGTTTTTTTTTTAACGCCCGGCCCCACCTTGGGGCATTTACAGCTTTTTCAGTAGAAAATGACAAATGCCCGGGCGGGGGACAGGCACGCCAGGAATTGGATGACTACGTTAACCAAAAGTTGTACTTCTTAATTTATCTTTCTTTTCTTTCAATTACAAAGACATCCTACCAACACAGAACAGAACACTTCCTCAAAGGTCTCTCCATGCTGTAATTATAATTAAAATTACGTCGAAAGGACTACAGTGAGTTCTCTCTGCCACTATATTTGTCTCACCTCAAGGTTAATTATTGAAACTTTCTCTTATGACGAAGCAATTAAGAGCAATGAAAGTTAATTGATTATGACATTTTTTCTCGCTTTGCAGGAATGAAATTTTTTTTAATATATATTTTTTTCATTCGAAGTAATTTAAAGCAACAACTACCTTAAAAGTATCTAAAGCGTGAATTCACAACAAGCTTCGCGTGACTAAAAAGTAGCTAAATAGCGTGACGTAGTGAAGCCTAACACAGACAGTAAACTTCGCGTGACTTCTATCAGGAGAAACGGGAAGTAACACTTACAAAATTGTTAAAACTCTCGTCATTCACACAATTAGCCACTGGACGTGACATAAGTCCTTCGCTGAAGGTATTCTTTTCCTTCGAACAACAAAGCCCTGACATATAGCCCAATAAGTATTTTGTATTGGGAGTAGGCTATATTAGTAACTGAGGTCTAATATTTCATATTTTCATTAACTCGAGAATAAATTAACATTTTTGGAGTTATCCATAATGCTACATTAAGAAGAGTAAATATTTATTTTTGAGATGGACATACTGTTTTGTTCAATTGAGTTTATGTCATGCATTCGAAGGTCAGCCAATTTGTCAATTTCCGTGTTTCAATTTAAGGTCTAAAATTTACAAACCTAATCTACATTTAGTTGTCTAAAGGAAGTTGACATGTCGAAAAAACTCGTTAAATTAGCAAACATTGCACTTTCCTAAACCCAGAGGAAAAATTGCACGAGTAGTATCGGGATAAACAAGGTGAAGTGAATGATTTATATACCGATGCGATGTGACAGCGATAAAAAGTTTGTGTATATTTCGCTTGAAAGTCGTGAGCCTTGATTATGGTAAATTGTCAGCTAAGCATGGTTATGTTTTCCTTTTGCTTTTATCACTTGAGTTTCCTTGTGCTAAGGGGTAGCTCTACGAAGCCAGATGTGCGCGTAGTTCTGCTTTATCCACTTAGTTCTTGTGATCAATTAATTACGGAAGTACCGTTCAACTCAGCCTTTGATGTAGCAGCTAAGGCGATCAACAGTTCGCAAGACTTTAGTTTTACAATGTCGATTGAATCGCACGACACCCGATGTAGTGAGTTGGTTGGAATCAAGGCAATGACGCAGCAATGGAATAGCGGAGTACATGCCTTCATTGGACCGGGTAATGACAGTTTTTGTGCAACATCAGCCAGGATCGCAGCTTCTTGGAATCTTCCTCTCATTTCTTACGTAAGTGCTTGTCGTTTTGTGTTATCACAAGGTAACAAAGAACTTATTCTACCTCAAAGGTTACTCAGTAAGCGAATGCATGCTTGACAATCGGCTGTCATCAGATTTTGAATGGTTTATACTATATACAAGCTGAAGTCAGCCCATTCCTGAGTCAATTCCTAGTGATTTCAAAATGATAGCTGGAGCCACCATACTCGCTATTCTCACAAAGCTCATAACGCAGGGTCAGGCATGCGAGAAACCCTTTTTAGTACGGTATAGCATGATGACGCTCATTTTCATGTTCAGCTTTGCATGTCGTCGAACTGGTTCCAAAATAAAGCTCTGGTCTCGCTTGGTTTCTGGCTAATTTCGAACCTAATAGAAGTTTGATACGACGAAACACAAGGGCCACCACTTTCGTCTTTCCGCGACAGGACGTTTTCAGTATGGTTATTAAATACGGTATCTCGATCCAGCCATTAATTAGGCTGCCGGTCTAGTGTTTGATACCCTTGGATAAAGTGTATTCATTAAAGCTATATGTATTTTGTGACTGTATCTTTTTAATTTGTAATTCAAGTCGTTTTTGAGTAAATATAACTGAAGAGGGCCACGTCTTCAGGAAAGCGATTTATTTAACAACATACTTGACCAAAGAAACACAGTTCTATGCCTGTCGGGCGGCTTAATTTCTTTATTGCGAACATTTTCAGTCTTTTTAAACTCTACTGAACCTTGCTTTAATTTAGAAGAAAGAAAGGTTTTTTGGCCTGATATATGGTGAAAGCAACACCCGAACTGTAATAAGTTAGTGGAAAAACCTTTAAGTTAGGCGATATCGTATCAAAACTTCTCTTGTACAGTACTAGTAAAGAGAGTAATTAGGGATAAAAAGGCAGAAAAGGGAGTAATTAGGACTGGGAAACTATACGAACACGTTCTGTACCGTTGAACAAGTAAAATTAAACTGAAATGAAAATTCTTCGAGTAGGTTGCGTACTATAACCTGTCAGAAGGAGAGGTTGCATCAAATTACAGGGAAAGAAAAGAGAAGATGGCAAAACAAAAGGCAAAACGAATCTAAAGACCTGGATCTGGCACTCAGGGTCAACATTTAATGACAGAGCAACTAAAAATGATAGGCAGCTTGTTATTTGCTTCTTCCCATCATTTCTAGTTCAGTAATTCTTGCCATAATCTGACGACACAGGAAAATGACGGTTCTCTTATGAGCTCAACATAGTACCATATAATGTATGAAATTAACACTCATGACCTCTCAAAGAAGAATCGGTTCTCGTAATATGTAGAGAAAGAAGAAAAAGACTGTTATTTGTTTGCCAAACAAAATTGTCAGTTGTGAATTCAAAAACGTGTTTGGTGCTTAAGTACCGTAACAATAAGTACATCACCAGTACGAAGTAAAAACAAGAGAAGGTAATCTTCTCCTAGTTATAACTAATTAGCATTGCATAAAAAAGAAAGCTGCAAGCCAATAGCCGGCCAACCGGGAAAAGGAGGGCTGCTTGACAAAATGCATACCCCCGCTGAAGTCTCATTCACATGACTGCGAGCTTGTGCAGTCTCCTATCTTTCTTCAGTTTCGCAGTTCACAGCAGGTAAGAGAGCACGCTAATACTAACGCCATCTATCGGGCGACCTTGCTACCCAGCTAACGTTTTATTATTCAATTTCTGCTTTAGTTCTGTGACGAAGATGTCGTATCAGACAAGAGACTCTACCCAACATTTGCGAGGACAAGGCCTCCCAACTCACAGTTGAGCAAGAGTGTCCTGGCGGTGTTAAACAGATTTTCGTGGAAAGTTGTCGCCATATTGTATTGTTCCAAAGAGAACTGTTTCGGTCAGCAGTCATGGGAGAAAACCAAGGATGATATGAGCAAAGTGTTCAAAGACAACAAAATTCATGTTTCTTATGAAGCTAAAATCACGCCTTGGGAACATGAGTTTGAGGAGATTGATCGAGTGTTGGAGGATATCAAAACAAAGGCTCGCGGTGAGTATAAATGTTTTCTACAATCGCCAGTGAAACAGATACGATTGTTCTTATGACAAGGCTATTAAAAGCAGCGTTTAAACGTTTATCGTATTAGTCAATATAGTATTCATTTGGTTATTCCTCTGATACACACGGAGACATTTACAGAGCTCGGGCAAGGCAGCACTTGAGGCGTTCGGTTCCAAGGGCAAGAAGAAAAAGAATAAACAACTGTTTCTTTTTCGGCCGGACGTCCTTGAAAGTTTTTAGTTTATTTCGTTTTAAGGCTATACTTCTGTTTTGAGCTTCTGCCAGTTTTTTCCAATAAGTTATATTCGTTTTCAGTAACTATCTACAAGAGAACTACTTCAGGGACATAAGTGTCGATCGAAAGACTCACTGTTAAATGAATAAAGGGATGACTAAGTCAATAGAACTTCTATTTGCCAGTTGAGCTGGCACTGCGTCAGTTGGAAAGAGTGAATTAAACTCGCAATGATGTCAGTACTCTTGTCTTACAACGTCAGTGATGCGCTGACGAAGCTAATGTTTTAATGGCAGCTAGCTTGTGACTAAAGCCGTCTCTGCCCGCTTCTCGCCGCTAGAGACGTTTCGCGGGAGAGAAATTATGGGCTTTAAGATCCGAAGACGAGACGGCAGCGAAAACGTAGCTTAAAAAGTGAATTTGCGTTTTTTTAGCCTTCATCGCGACTATTCCTAACCACTTACAATCAATTTTCAAAATGCAGGCGAACCCTCCTGGAGCTGAATTTCTAAGAACCTTGCCCTGTTTCAGAGAGAGAAATGAAATTTCGACGTCGCTTCGGCGCTTCTTTACGTCCCCATAAAACGTTCAAGTAGGCATTTTCACGTCGTAGTGGTGCACAAACGGCAACGAAATGTACAAACAAGCGTGATGCGCGTGTAAAGTTGTTGTTTTGCTTATCATGAATTAAAACCTATTGCTTTTTTTGACGTTCTCGTTGCCGTTGCGTCGTTGTATCTCAAAGTCCTAGCGGCGAGGGGCAAAGAGAGATGGCTCTATTCACAGCTAAACACCAATTTCTTCTATAAGGGGGCGTTCGATTGATCTTATTTCAGAAAAAGAATGCATGGGACAGCATACTCTAAAATGGACTTGTTTGGCTTCATTGTATGATACAGTCCAGAAATCTAGTAGACATAAAAAATTAAGATGATTGTAGCATTCAAATTGTCAAAAACTGAATGTGTGGTTGGAGAGGTTTGTCAACATTTTCTGTGTATTCTTATTAACTCAGAAATGCGATCAATCGTAAAGCACCCTAAAATTTTCGTCGAAAAACTTTAAGTTACTCGTGTGCAATTTACAATTCCACTGTTAGTCCCAACTCTCTTCTTTCCTTTCAGTCGTCATACTAGCCACAAATCCAGAGAATACACCATTTTTTATGACACGCGCAAGAAAAAAAGGCATGACCAACGGTGATTACGTGTATATCATGAGCACACTTTCTGACGTTCAGGATCAGGGTACGGATTACTGGTTGCAGGGAAAGGGCGGAATAGTGAATGAAAATGAATCAAAAAAAGCCTTGCAGTCGGTTCTTGCACTAGTTCCAAAGCCATTCAACCTCACTAAGTACAATGAGTTTAAAAGGCGACTCAATGGTGAAGCAAATGACGTAAACTATACCCTAGAGAGTGTAAGTATAGAATCACTTTGATTTTCAATGTATCTTCTTAATTTCCTAAAAGCCATGTATCTAAATCTAAAACTTCAGCGGGTCGTGAAGGGGTAAATTGGGAACTGGGATTTACCTTTATTTGTACGAAGTAAATGGGATTTACTTCACTGGGGCTGGGATTTAACCACTGGGAAAGAAAGGGATAAACAATTTCTCAAACTGGGAAAAGAATTTCTCTACTTTCACGATCTTCGACTATATTATTTGACACGATTACTCCATCAAATGTGCCTATTTTTTGCAATAAAAGAAATAACAATCTGTATCAACAGACCTCAGTAGACATGTGAGATTATTTCAGTTTTTTCCTTTGCACCTAACCCTCGCCGCAACCCAGCCTCATCAAGCTCGTCCCTGGGTACTCTTCTTTTCCAATATGGCTGCGGCAGGAAAGAAGCCACCATCAGTTCGAAAACGAGAAGACCCTTGTGACGAGGGTGGTTGTCGGGGAATGACACGCCCGCGTTGGCACGTGACAGAGATCAAAATGGCGCTCGATTTGGGATGTGTTCCACCCGAGGTCTCCTCACAGCTCCGGATCTGATAAACTTTCACACAAACTCATTCAAATATCAGTCCAAAGAATGTTATCTGCGGCGCACGTAAACAAAACCTACCTGGGGCGTGTTTCTAAAACGTTCCGGTAACTTTTCGGGCCCGTAAAGCTGTTTTGTGTTTGTTGTGTTTGCATTCAGCAAAAGCAAAGCAAAGTTTCAATCATTCTGAGAATAATAAAATGAAACTATCAGTTGACGAAGCAAACTTGACTGGTTTGTGGGCTAGAACTGAGCTTACTATTCAACCGGTTTGGATTTTGAAATTTGCCTTGGGGCCCGAAAAGTTTCCGGGCCTTTCGAGAAACGGGCCCCTGGTTTGATTGATGGATTGATCGCACATTAATCAACACTACCAGCACCGCACCAATCAGAAGCTGCGTTCCTCCCCCTTCATTCCTCTGTTATGCTGTTGTCCCAACTTTCTTGACAAACTCGGGTGGAAACGCTTGCTATGCAAACTACCTCCGAAGGTTCTCGCCTGCACTGATCAACGAGACGATTACAGCAGTAGTGAAAGTAAAGACAGTGATTTGTATGAGGACGGTGCAAATGACAGAAGTGGTTTTAATATGGTTATGCCAACAAAGGTTGGAAGGCAGAGAGTGTTCAACAGCAGAGGTACATTATCCAAACGGTATCACAATGCTTTTACTTCATTATGTGCATCATGCAGTTCGTAAACGAGCACTGGAAATGGGATTTCAGATTTGGTTACTGGGATTCGTTCCAAAAATTAATTTGGCTGGGAACTGTGATCTGGACCAAACTTGGGTAGGAACTGGGATTTGTTATCCCCCTTCAGGTTAAATAATATTCATTTATTTCGACTCCTGTTGGAAGTTTTCGGATCATTTTCCTAGCCGCCTGTGTCACTGACTGAGGAGACAGCTTTCTCACGTAACCATCATATTTGAAATTCACCATCACGTCTTTTTCACTCATTGCGCATGCGCATAAGTACATATCGACATTCCACTACTAGCAGTATGCAGGATGTGAAAGGTTTGAAGCCAGGAGTCATTTAGTAGGTTGAGTTTGATTGTCCGAGTGTTTTTCACATGAATCTAGTTTAGTGGCCTTAGCTCCCACAAGTCTCCTGTGGCTCAGTGGTAGAGCATCTGGGCTAGAATCAGAAGGCCATAGGTTCCACTCCTGTTGGGAGTACTCGCGGAATTTTTCTTCCGAGCCACCTGTGTCACTAAAAGATTTCTCGTTCATCCTAAATCTAATAACTGCTTTTAATCTTGTAGGTATGGCATTATGCCACTTATCTGTATGACGCGGTCTTTTTATACGCGTTGGCGCTTAATAAAACCCTTTCAAATGGCAAAGACCCACGTGACGGAACTGCAGTATTTCACAATTTGAAACAAACTAGTTTTGAAAGTAAGTCTGTTATCTCAGAATGAATAATAATGAAATATTTTTCCTTGTTATTTGCATATGTTATTTATACTGTAAGTAGTATGGTTTATAAAACTCGATCTTAACAGGCTACAATAGCGGTAGATCAGTGGCTGGAGCATCCTAACTAGAACTCGGAGGGTCGTGAGTTCGTGTCTTACCTAGAGCTCGGAATGTTTTCTGAGTTTTCTGGTGTTAGATTTCTCCTGTCTTTTTTCTTGGGTCGCAACAGAAACAAGGACTAAGATTTGTTTCCGTGTTATTAACACAAAAAAACTCCAAGATCCTCACAAGACAACGTTCAAAACGAACTCGATGTGGCCGCCCAAAATTCGATCACCATAGAGATAAAAACTGCACCTGCAGTTTACCTCCTTACCGAAGTTGTATAGAGTATTTTAGGAATTTTTTGTAGGAAACAAATGGCAGTCTACCCGACATCAGTCCTTTTTCGAGCTATACATGTAAGGGGGAGCTACTTGTGATCTGCACGAACGCGCGTAGTAACCAAGTCCATGATACTGGTGCAATCATTGTTAATACAGTCATGTAGTAAGGATGAATTCGAGAAATTGTGAGCTCTTATGTCCTTTCTTGATCGTTTGCAAGGAAATGGATTCCTTGTAACTCTTTTAATATCTCACTAGGTGTCACCGGATTTTATGTTCATGTCGATGATAACGGGGACTCAGAGTTCAACATGACACTTCTTGATTTTGTTCAAACGGCGGATGGCGAGCTAGGTGAGTTCTGTTTGAGCTTGAAAAATTTATATAAAGCTGGTAATCTCTAATGTACAAAAAAGTACGTCAGTCAGTCTCTGTTCAGCAAACTACAGTGGCGTCATGATACAAGTTGTATCTTGGCCAAGGCAAGTCTGTCTAAAGGGGATTGAATTGTTGTTGAAAAGTTGAACGTTTTTGGCGTTCAATCATCCCTCATTTATCCTGCTCCTCGCCACCTTACAAATTCAGAGATGTTTTGCCCTTGATCAGGTTGCGCACAATCTTAAACTCTTTAAACCAACCGACAGTCATCTGTGACTGTGGTATTAATAGTTTGTGGTGGTCGGTAACCTTGCCAAGCGATTTACGACTGATCGTTGAATAGTTCTTTATTTTAGAATGGAATAATTCTTTTAAAACAAGGTAAAATAAAAATTATAAATTATAAAATTAAATTATAAATAACGTAAACGTCCTAAACAAAATTCAAAACTAACTAAAGCTAATATAACTTTCATCCTCTTTTCATGAAAACCGTGTATCTTTATTACGAAAAAATAAGATTAACTAATATACAGGTTTTATAGCAGATTTACAGCAGAATTTCCTTCTAGGCATGGCAGACTGCCACTTAAGGCTAAATTATCTTTACTAAACCAGATCACTAGTTTGAGGATTCACACAGTTCAGATGGTGTGTCTGCCACAGGCTGTCAAGAGCCGATTGCCAATCGACTCCTGACGCCGTGTATCACGCATATCCCATAAGGAATTGTGGCGAATGAGAGTTCATGTCAACACTACCCTGAAATAAAAGCTTTAGGGCCTCCAACAAAAGAGCTTATTATCCATATACAGGTTTGGGTCACTCATCCTCTTATATGTTTCCTTAGAAACGAAAACAGTTGGTGAGTTTAAGCTAAATCAGTCAGGGAAGCAAATTCTGGAATTAATACCAGGGATTAATATCACGTGGTCTGAGGGTGGTCAGCAGACAACTCCACCAGGAGATACGCCACCTTGTGGATTTAATTTGGAGTTTTGCCAAACACCATCACCAAGTAAGTGCCGCCGAGACAATTGTATTTGTCTTTTTTAACAAAAGGCTGAATTCACACATAATCATGCAACAACAGTGCGAGCTATCGAAAAACGAAAACGAACATATACTTCTTACAGACACGTTACGTGAGACGTTACAAGACGTACATGCAGTATTTCCACATGCGACTGGGGGATCTTGCATTCGAATGCGAGAATAGGCAAGCTTTTTACCGGTTTGCAAACTTGTTAGAACGATGCAAAATTCGTTTCAAGTGGTTTCAAAACACCAGACAGTCTCTAACTTCACTGTGTTTTAATGCCAGTGTTCTGGCTTGATCTTTTTTTATTTCTTTTTTTGTTGTTGTTGTTGTTGGCTTAATTGTACTAACTATCTTCCCAGGTCCTACCACGTCCACTGACAAAGTGTACATCATAATCTCTGTCATCGGTTCTGCCCTTGTCATCGTTTGCACAGCCTTACTCGTCTTCTATGGCAGGTAACATCTAGCTGCCATCTCTTTTTTTACTCCGACCGATTTTGCTAAAGAAGTTAATAAGGTCATTTTCCCTTTTAAGCCTGATAAAATCAAAAGAAACACACTGACAGCCCCAATCTCCAAAGGTGGTCTTAACATGGTCAATTTCGCGGATGTAGAAAAATCTCTTAAAGCTGCCTGGGTAAATCGCTATTGTTCATCGGATGGTCATCATTGGTGTGCGCTTCTTGACTCTCATCTTGAAAAATTCGGTGGCTCTTTTTTGTTTCAGTGTAATTACGATTTGAAATTCTTAGATCTAGAAGGTCTCCCCCTCTTTTATAGGAACATTTTAACGGTCTGGCAGATCCTTCATTCCAAGGTACCCCTTAGTGTTAATGAAATTAAAGAGGAAATACTTTGGAATAACCGCTTTATTAAGATCGGCGGAAAGACGGTTTTTTATAAAGCATGGGTTAGTAAAGGCATTTTAAGAATCAAAGATATCCTCAATGTTCACGATAACTTCCTATCTTTCCAAGAGCTTAAAGATACTTTTCACATTCGTGGTACCTTTCTTGATTACGGTGGTCTTCTGGTCGCGATTCCTAAAGATTGGGAAAATGCTATCTTACATGGCAATCAGGAACACACCAACGAACCGAAGGTGACACAACTAAGCGTTGGAAATGTTTCATCAAAATATGCTCGACTAATGTTTGCTGAGAAATCTTTCTGCCCTCCATTAACTGAATCCTATTTACGAGAACAAACATTCACTCCTAGTGCCGTGTATGAGCTTTCATTCAAAATCACCATTGAAAATCAGCTAAGAAGTTTTCAATTCAAACTCATCCACAATATTCTTCCGACCAACCAACGCCTTTGGAAAATGAATGTCAAATCTTCGCCAAAATGCGAACAATGTGATGCTCCTTGTGAAACTATTAGCCATATGTTTTACGAGTGTCCTGCGGTAAAAAGTTTTTGGGAAAAAGTTATAGACTGGTGGAATCGTAAACGTTCTGAAAACATAAATCCCAATCCAACAGAAGTTCTTTATGGATACAAACCTGAATCTAACGGCTTTCATACTTTTAACCATTATCTCTTAATTGCTAGATATTACGTTTACTTGGCTAGAAACAAGTTTGAGACCCCAGAGCTGGAAGTTTTCATTGTTCTCCTGGAAATTAAAATCCAGTGCGAAAGAGAAATTGCAATGACAAAAGGAAATCTTAACAAATACAGAAATAAGTGGACCACGCTGTGCATTTCTGATTAGTGTTGGATTTATAGTAATTTAGCAAACATTTTTCTATTTGTTCTGCTTGTTGTCGTTAATCTGTTGAACCTTCGTATTTCGCTTTATTTGGCTTGTTTGTTTATTTATTTATTTATTTTACTGTTTCGCCTCCTTTTTATTTGCCGCCCTGTTATTGTAAAGTTTATTGTAATGTTATGTTAAATGATGTTTAATAAATAAATTATTTTTTAAAAACAAATCTCTTTTTTTACCACAGCAAAAAGAAAAAAAAACGATCCACCTATGATCTTTTAGGGTTTGGAAGACAGGATGGTTTCAAAATTTTATTGCAACTGTACTTCGAATTACAACGGGCCTTTATGCACATATAAGCATCTCGTCTGTTTAAGATTGAAATGTATTTTATGCCATTCTAGTAATAATAACAACAACAATAATAATAGTAACAGGTAGTAGCACTTTTAACCTTTTTTGCCAGCGAGTATGGCTCTGCCATAGGAACTCACGCTGAGCTCCTTTTTGGCTCCAAATTCTTGACTTCTTCGAACCAACCAAATGCTAAAAGGAGAGGGGCACAGAACGGATGAAAAAAAAATCCAAAGCTTAACAGCCAGAGTTCATGCACATGTAAGCGTTCCTTAAATAGTCCGAAATATCGTTAAGGGATACCGCTTTCAAAGCAGTCTTATCCCCTGCTATTGACGGTTTGTCGTTTCACAATTTCGGCTCTCTCTCCTAGCCCCTTTAAAATTTTAATCATTCCTCGATATCTTAGCTATAGCCGACTTATCTCAAAACATAGCTTTTAATTTTAATTTTATTTAACGATTAGGAAATACACATTTGAGAAAGAACTTGGGAATCAAATATGGAGAGTGAACTATAATGATATTGTCATTGGTTCTAATGCTGGCCTTTCAAGAACAACGTCAAGAATTTCAGACGTGAGTGAGGTCAGTAAGCCAGACAGTAAATTTACAAGATATTAACTGAATAATCTCTCTCGCACTTACTGGGAGAGAGCTGTAGTCTAAGAAGGCTTTTAAAATATGGACCCTTAATTAAATTAGAGTATATTAGGCTACTTAAGGTTATTGGCACTGAAACGTGTACTTTTAGTTTACACAGGTGAGCAGAACTCGGCGCGGTACATTGGGAACGTATAAGGTAAATTAAAGTCAACATTTTTCATAGTTAAACTATTCATATCCTTAGGAGCCTTTACACCGAATGAAATTTTCGTAATATTCTCTTTTCAGGGCTTCAACGGGATTCGAACCCGTGACCTCCGCATTACCGGTGCGTTGCTCTACCAACTGAGCTATGTAGCCATACACGTTGGGAGCGAGGTCGATTTATTGAGTTCATATCTCCCGTGAGGAGTGAAATGATGTGAATTATATATGAAATAATTCATTTTTGAACTGCGGTTGTAAATGAAAGTGAAGAATGATCATCGCAGTAAATTTTCCAATTTAAGCAATTGGAAAGAAGAAGCCTGAAAAAAATCAGGGCTTCAACGGGATTCGAACCCGTGACATCCGCGTTATCGGTGCGTTGCTCTACCAACTGAGCTACGAAGCCACACACATTGGGAGCGAGGTCATTTTATTGAGTTCATATCTCCCGCAGTTCAAAAATGAATTATTTCATATATACTTCACATCATTTCACTCCTCCTCGCTTTCCAGTCCCTTAAAAAGCCCACGACGCAGGAAAATTCCGCGTGAAGTGTTGGATAGATATCATCTGCACCTGACAGTTGACCATTTTGTAACAGGTCATTTAGAAAGTAGAGTGATTTGATAGTCAATTTTGTTGTTTTTAGGGAAATCAGGTGGTTATCAAGCGAATCGAGAAAGATAACATCGATTTAACGAGAACTGTGCTCCTGGAATTGAAACAGGTCAGCCAAAATACCCTTTCTCTGATACCTAGGGTCAATTAAGTAAATAAAACACAAGACAGTGTACGTAATTCATAGGTTTAGCGATTTTTTATAGAATCTAAAAACATTCGCTCTACTTGCAAATTAAAAAATTGACATACCCCAGCGTGATATTTCCAAAATCAATAATCACAGCAAAAATATTGATGACATCGTTCCGTGTATCCTGTTTCACAGATTCGTGACGTGCATCACCCAAATTTGACCAGGTTCTTTGGTGCATGTGTGGACGCTCCAAACATTTGCATTATCACTGAGTATTGCTCAAGAGGAAGTTTACAGGTAAATTAGGACCCAGTTCACACGGGTCCGGACAAATTTTTGAACGGACGAATTTTTTGTCAGTATAATCCAACCCGTTTACCCGGAACAGTTCAAATTCTGTTACAAAAACTTGCACAATTTGCCATGCGTTCAAAAACTTGCACGGTTAATGTTCTGCTGGATCTAGTATAAACGAAAGGCGGATCCGTACAAGATTTTGCCGGTTCAAAAATTTGTCCGGATCAGTGTAAACGGGGCCTAATATAACCTGAATTTAATAAAACGTTGTCTTTAAAATGAAATTTATCATGTTTAGGATGTAAATAACATGGATACAAGGGCACTTAATAGTCGAACCACTTCATCTTATTTGTTTTTGTTTTTACTTTTGTAAGTCATCTTCAAAAATAACGATGATGATGATGATGATGGTGATGCAAATCTTGAAATGTACAGATACTTTGGGTAAATAAATTTCTTCATCTTTTTTGTCCTTTTGCAGGAGATCATTTTGGATGAAGAGATTAAACTGGACATAATCTTCATTAATTCCTTTATTCTGGATATCACAATGGTAAAACATACTACGTACTTCAGTTGTCGATATTTTCCTAGTTAACAGCTCATCGAAGTTGATACATTCTAGAATTTCTTATCGTCCTTCCTGCTTTCCACTTCCTTCTTTGGCTTTACCTAAGGCATGAGTTTCTTTGTACCTGTAATGTCGTGCAGTACCCATACATGGCTCGGCCAGACGATGACAATAATAAGATCATTGGTTAGTTCCGTCTGCAATAGCCATGTTTCACACCGATCATACGCCAAACGCACGGATTGCTAGTGGCAGGCCGCCGCATCATCGACATTGCGAATAGTAGGAAAGACAAAGGCACTAGTGGTAACTTCAACGCCCCGGGCGGAGCAGACCTCATAGGCCGGATTAATCAGCAAAACAACAACTCTGCATGTGCATCACGGCTTTTAGTACATTCCATCCCTGTTACTACAAGTTTACCAGGGGAAACGTTCAAATACGACGTTTTATACAGGACGTAAATACACTAAGACCAATTTTTCTTTCTTTTTTTCGTACTTGAATACACCACCTAATAACACAATTCCAGGGATAACAGCACACCATTGACAAATTGCATGAGTGAGTTGGAATAATCAAGATTAAGTTTCAATGGAAGTGACCTGATTGCTGAAGACCACCTAGAAGATAATTGAACAAGTAATACTGATGCGGACAATGTTTAATTACTGCGTGGTCTTAAAGAAAGAGCCAAATGTCTCTTCTTCAACGGTGCAATGTAATAGCTCACTAATGGGCAGAATTGTGCATTCTGTTTATGATTGAACTGTAATACTCGACCCATTCATTATGTGGAAGTTTCCCTTTTAACATCTTCAGCTGATATGAAAACTGAAATTGTTTTCCCTACAGGGAATGGAATATCTACACAGTGTAGATATCAAGTATCATGGCCATCTCAGCTCCTCCAAGTGCGTGGTGGATAACCGCTGGATGTTAAAGATCACTGACTATGGGCTCAGAGAGTTCAGGGCTCTAAGAGGTGACTCTAACTCACTTCCCAGGGGACACAACTATCAAATGGATTACTCAAGTATGCTTCAGTTTAGTGACGATTGTCTATGTTAATTCTTGGTCAAACAGACAACAGAAACAGTCATCACAATAATTGGAGTTACTGTTGCAAAATCTCTAGAGAGAATAATCCTCGCTTGGAGGCATCGATCTGCATATGGCACTGAGGTCTTGAACTTGAGTCAACTTCGCAGGCATCTCGACGTTAAATACAGTGAATGCCTCGGTTGCCGGTGACTTCTGTTCTCATATAGGAGGAGTATCCTGGGTAGTACCAGTGCCTATGTAGCAAGTAGCTCGTCGGCATATGAGAAACAGACCATAATCAGTCTAGATCATTCATTAACTGTCGATGAAAGGGTTTATACATACATAAACGTATATTTTTCAAGTTGAGCTTTCCAGTTACAACACTGCACAATCAATGTGATCTATTATTTCAGAATTATTGTGGACTGCTCCAGAAATTTTACGTCAGACGGACAACATTTTAAAAGGAACACCAAAAGGAGATGTGTACAGCTTTGGAATTATAGTTCACGAGCTGGAAACTAGAGATCTGCCATTTGGAGCGTGCCATCTTGTGCCAGAAGGTAAGCAAAATAGGCAACTGTTAGAATACTCGATAACGAACGTAATGATGGCGATGATGATAAGGAGGGAGGAAGAAAGATGATGATTACGATGGGTGACGATAAAAAATGATTTTGGTGCAGAAGATAGTGATAATGATAATGATGATGATAACGAATATGATGATGATGGCGGTGGCGGTGGTGGCGGTGATGATGATGATTATGGAACAATTAAAGGTTGAGTTGAATAAAATAAGGGCATGTTGCCACTTAAAATACTCAACATGTACAAGCCTCTATCAGGTTCAGCCTTGCCTTAAAAAAGCAGTAAACAGAGTTAAGCTACACGACCTATGGTTTATCGAGCAGTCTGATCGATATATTTGGTGAGACGTCTTGACAAATTCTTTGTTGCTATGTTTTTAAGATGCAGATTTTTGTATTTCATTGTAGAAATAATCGGACGTGTTTTAGCTGGTACAAATCCTCCTTTTCGACCTCCACTTACCGCCAACGTGACAAATGAAGATCTTCACTTTATAATGAAACTGTGTTGGAAGGAAGACCCGAAAGACAGACCAGACTTTTTGGAGATACGAAAGATGCTGAGAAAACTCCACGGCAGAAAGTAAATTCGATTTCCTATCTCTAACTAATTCATCGTTTTGACATGACGTCACGGCGACCATATCGCTGCACCAAAACAACGAAACGGAGGTCATTTTAGTTTACCATGAAAAACACACCATAAAACCGCCAGCTACGCAGGCTAACTAACGAAGTATAGTGATTGAACTTTTTTTTCATGTAAAGACTTCATTTTGTTGCATGGAACGATTTATACAAAAGATTCCAATAATGTGAGCAAAAACTGGCTGTGCCCTAAAGGACAGCATTGATATGAAAAGTCCTTGAATCATGCCAAATTCATTCAATGAGAACTTAGTTTTTTTGTATTTTGTTTGGTTGTGTGTTTTTTTGACAAATAAGATTGAACATCATTGGAAGCTGTTGCCCCAGTTTTACAGACTTCTGGATCTTAAAAGGGAGTCTACGATATCATCTCTGGTTGCATTGAATTTTTAAAAACCGCAGTAAAAAATTAACACATGAAAACCTTCCATAATAAAAGCAGTGTCCATGTTCCAACTCCAGATTTTTTTTACAAGTACATGTTAAGTACATGTTAAATGCATAAATGGACTACGCTCTATATTTTTGTTTTTTGCAAAAAACGAAACGATGCTGGACTAACGATGTAATTCTAAAATCACCTAAGGCCAATTCGTCTATGGGTAGCTCAGCAGCTTAACTCGCCACAGTGCAGTGCTTTTCTTGGACAGATGTTTTAAACAGAGCTACTATTTACCTAGGCGTATATTGGTATGAGGAAACTCTTTACAGCTCAAGATTAGAAGAACGTTAATAAAGCATAGATTTTGGGAGAAAAAGAAACACCTTTTTACCTTTACACTAAGTATGCCACGAGTAAAAGCTGAATAGATTTCACTTTTTGTAGAAAGACTTTTGTTAACATTACAGTAGATTCCCGATAATTCGAACCTTCAAGGGAAACAGAAAAAAGTTCGAGTTATCGAGGGTAAAATGAAAATTGCTTCGAGTTAGCGAGAGGTTCGAGTTATAGAGGGTTCAAGTTATCGGGAGTCGACTGTATTACCATTTCTATTATGGCTGATTTTATTTCTTAGTGTTTTTAGTATGAAGGTATGATAACGTAAATACCTTTGCCACATTCAACTTGTGGATTCGTCACCCTTTAGGACCAATCTCGTCGACAAAATAATTTACATGTTAGAAGAGCATTCTCACAACCTCGAAAAACTAGTAGAAAAGAGAACGGAGCAGTGGATTGAGGAGAAGAAAAGAACTGAGGAATTGCTACACAGTATGCTACCAAAGTAAGCCCATTCATTTTTATATGCCTGTCATTAATCTAGTTGTAGTGGTAGTAGTGGTATTGGTAGTGGAGGTGCTGCTGGTGGTGGTGGTGGTGGTGGTGGTGGTGGTGATGGTGATGGTGGTGGTGGTAGTGCTGGTGGTGATATGGTGATGCTGGTGCCTGATGCTGGTGGTGGCGATGGTAGTGTTGATGGTGATGGTGATTGTGATGGTGGTGGTGATAGTGATGGTGCTGGTGTTGGTGGTGATGATGATGGTAGTGGTGATGGTGGTAGTTGTGTTGATGGTGGTGGTGTTGGTTTTGGTGATGGTGATGGTAGTGTTGATGGTGATGGTGATGGTGATGGTGGTGGTGATGATGGTGGTGGTGTTGATGGTGGTGATGGTGATGGTGATGATGATGGTGATGATGGTGGTGGTGATGATGGTGGTGGTGTTGATGGTGGTGATGGTGATGGTAGTATTGATGATGATGGTGATGGTGGTGGTGGTGGTGGTGATGGTAATGGTGATGGTGATGGTGGTGGTGGTGGTGATGGTAATGGTGGTGGTGATGGTAAAGGTGATGGTGGTAGTGGTGGTGGCGATGTTGGTGGTGATAGTGGTGATGACGAAGATGGTGATAGTGTTGATGGTGTTGGTGGTGATAGTGGTGATGATGAAGATGGTGATGGTGGTGGTGATGGTGTTGGTGGTGATAGTGGTGATGATGAAGATGGTGATGGTGGTGGCGTGTTAATGGTAATGTTGATGATGATGGTGATGGTGGTAGTGGTGGTGGTAGTGGTGGTGGAAGTTCTGGTGGTGATAGTGATTGTGGTGCTGATCCCTGGGGGTGGAGGAGGTGATGATGGTGGTGGTGGTGGTAGCTAAAGTGATATAAAGCTGAAGGTGGTGGTCGATAAGATGGTGATGGTGGTGGTGTTTTTAGTGATAGTAGTAGTTACTGTAGCAGTTAGAGGAAGAATTCAAAGATGTGTCTTCACACTGAGATCGCTCTCAATTATGTTTGTCAGGAGCGTCGCCGATCAGCTTAAAAGTGGTCGACCAGTTGAGGCCGAAAGCTTTGACGAAGTAACTTTATTCTTCAGTGACATCGTCGGCTTTACAGCACTTTCATCAGAAAGTACACCTCTGCAGGTAGAGTCACTGTTCTTCGGACAAAAAAAAGCTGGCATAAAACTTTACCATTATTTATATCTGTACCTGAAACCAAGAAAATACATTTTGGTTTTTTATTTGTCAGCTGCTATTCAGTCAAGTAATTACTCAGTTCCGAGTTTCGAACCGTGTTCAAGTTGCTTTATGTTTTTCCTTATAATTTTGTTGTAATATTGTTTCTTTTTAATCGTTTTTTGTCTCTTAACAGATCGTCACCTTACTTAATGATCTTTACTCTACGTTTGATGCTATAATTCAAGGTTATGATGTTTACAAGGTTTGCAGGTTCTTATATACACTTCACCTTCTTGTACATGTCTAGAGTTGAATTTCGAATTTTCTTCAAATTCATGGTTACCATGAGACCGGACAAAGATTATTTTCGAAAAGGCATCGTGTACACTGATAAACAGTTGCTTTCTTTTTCTTCGAAATTAACCGCTGCTCGTAACGGAAGAGGCGCCAAAGGCTAATCACATCTCAGAGTGTCTGTAAATTTAAGATTTTTTTATCATTTTATTTGGTGTTCAGGAGGGAAACCAATATTTTACTGCATAGCTTAGGGCTGTGCGTTTAGAAAATTAAGGGGAAAATAAGAATTTAAGGAATAAGAACCCGCCCCTAGCCACGGGGAATCACCCTCTCGCCGTATGAAAGAGACAAAATCGTATTTACAGTATCAACTAATTTCTTCACCTTTTTCCTAGACCTTCTTTTTTAGCTTTGACAACTGATCTCGGTCTTGGTTAATGAACAAACACGGCTTTTTTGTCGTTTACAAATCTAGGCTTCGTAAAACTGATAGAAACCATCTCAATATCATGCTATTTACGGTGTAAATAACTTTTAAGTTTTTAAAATATCTCCTAGGTAGAGACCATTGGCGATGCGTATATGGTAGTGTCAGGTCTACCAGTCAGAAACGGCCACCAGCATGCCTTGGAAATAGCTGATATGGCGCTTCATCTGTTGCAGTCAGTTCAACACTTTAAAATACAGCACCGGCCTGACGAGAAGCTAAAGCTAAGAATCGGCATTCACAGTGGTAAGGACAGGACCAAATTACTCACGGTTCAATCGATCTTCATAATTAAGCAACTCCAGGTTTTCCGTGATTTTTCCGATATTTCGGGCTCGGAAGCAAAAATGAAAAGATCCTGGGGTTACTTTCACGAGGTTTTTCAGAGAGTGAAGGGAGAACTATGGCTGGGAAAACTACAGCAGAATTCAACCGTCTTTTTGTTCCCCTGATGGAAAAAAAGCCAAATTACTGTAGATCATCATTATCACAGGGTTCTATGATAATGGACTAAGAAACTTAGTCCTTAGCAACCATCGACTACATAACCAAAAGCTTCCTTACAACGTTCTGCCCATATATAAACGGCTCAACCCGTGAATGGTGTTAAATTCAAGTTTGAAATTGGGAGGTATTTTTCCAGATATTCCAGTTTTCCTCGGTCCTGGTATAACAATATTTGCAAATTCCAACCCGATCTGAAATATTAAGCAAAGAAACACTTTCATTGTCGACACATGATTATACTAAATCATTAATGTTAATATTATTTATTTTTACTGTTTATGTCATGCTGTCGAATTGAAGGTCCCGTATGTGCAGGAGTAGTTGGCTTAAAAATGCCACGATACTGTCTTTTTGGTGATACAGTCAACACTGCCTCAAGAATGGAATCAAATGGAGAGGGTCTGTGCTTACTTAATATTTATTCTTAAAAACGTATCATTAAATGAATAATAAACGTTTTAAATAATGTAAAGATTATTTTAACTAAAGTTCCATTCACACCGAAGCTTAATCACGGTTAAAGGCTGTTTACTTCATTAAAGCTGCTTACTGATGTAAGTTGATAGCAGATTTAGTGCAAATTACAGAACATTTTGAATTTCCTTTGAATCCTGTGTATTAAAAAACCTGTGCCCGTTCCGGTTTTTCGTGTCTGTTTTTCATTTTTTTAAAACCTGGTTTATTTAAACAATGTTTGGTTGGTGTGAATGGGGCATAAATAAGCAAGCACACTTTTGTACCTGTAATCTTGTTATCCTTCGTGAACAGCTCTTAAGATACATATCAGTGGAGCCACTAAAGATTATCTAGAGAAAATTGGAGGATATGTGATGGAGGAACGAGGATCAATTGCTATCAAGGTGAGAATGGCCTTTTTCTATTTTTTCGCGGTTAGGATACTGATGAATTTTATATAATTATTCTCTTTCTTGTCAGCTACTTGTAGAGTATGACCTGTAAGACCGGGGGTTACTTAGTCGTGTAGGATATAACACAAAGATTTAGCCAAGGCTAAAAGCGTAGCTCCATTTGATACAATGATACTGATTATTTTCTTCAAACAATAAATTTGGAAAAATTACAAAGAAGGGAGGACCAAATGCCTTTTGAAGTAGCAGTTCCGCGAGGGCTACTACTTCATGTATTACAAGGCGGTATGTCAAAGGGTATGGTTTTTGTCCCAATTTGGTTTGAAATTGGTTACAGTTCTCGGGTCAAAGATGGGATATGTCTTACTGTAATTTCTTGGGTGAATCCATAACGGCCATGACATAAGCATATTGAAGTACAATCACGCCTATGCTTTTTCTTCATTGCTAGTGAGGACCAAGCTTAAAGGAATCAAGAGTTCAGAAATGTCTTGACTTCTTTGATCATATGATTTATTCTATTTATTTTCCTTTATAGGGTAAAGGAACACAAGTAACCTACTGGCTGCAAGCAAGACGTCCATTTCCTCAATTATTAGATGCCAACCAAGTTCACCAAACGGACTCCCAGTCAAGCAAATTTTCCTCCTCGGCAATAGAGGTGGAGCTGGAACACGATAAAAACGCGACTGCAAAGATATGTCACAAATACAACAACGAAGATTCAGAATATGACTCGTACATGAAGAAAAATAAGATTGATCAGTTCAAATATGTATAAAAGTATGTTTGCCACACTGGTTACTGCACATCCGCATTCTAAAGAAATAAAAATGTATTAACATTGTAAAGCAAATTAATTCGCCTCTATGCAGAAATTAAATCTTTCACTGACGACAACTGTACGGTTTTTAAAAAAACAGTAACATTTCCTCCCATTCCATTTGACTTGTGACTCGTCACGTGATTCTTATAAAATATTTGACATGCCACACTGTTGCCAAACTGGAATTTTCGTGTATATGCAGGATTTTGTAAAGTAGGCATATGCTTCGTACTTTGATATTTGGGAAGCTGTTATTTACATCAGTGTCAATCGAGACCTGGTATAAGTCATAACATATTGTCTTACAGTCCTTTTGAAAATATTATTTAAGGGTGATATCGGGTGGTGGTAGTGAACACGTTGCCGGTGAAATAATAAAACAGTCAAATTTAAAACTGAAAAGGAAAACCAAGTAATAAAAAAGCGTGAAGTAATTTCACAACATTTGCTTTGGAAAGTCTTCAATCGTAATATTCGGAGATATTTGATTTCGCTTTAAATAAAGTTTATGAATGAATGAAATGTCGAAAGAAAAGAAATAAAATGATGAACAATGCATAAGTTGCTGTCGGCTTTTCGTTCTTCTTCATCATTGCCTTCTTGGATTGAGCTGACACAGTCTTCGATCAAGAAGAAAACCCACAGGTAACCCAGGCTCTGTGATAGCACCACAGTACGGTTCCAGTAAAATTACAGTCAGTGTTTGTATGGGGTAAAAGTACGATCCTAAAATTTGTAGGAAATGCTAAATAGAGGTCAATGAAACTTACTCTGCAGTTAGTTGTTGTCCTTAATGCTCAAACGAATTTTCGTGATAATTTGCTCAAATTTACCCTCCATACAATATAATACACAAGGTAGGAAGCATCACAGGCAGCCCAGACGTAATGTGTGTCAATAACATGGACAAAATGGGATGAATCGTCGAATCTCCCATCTGACACTTTTACGAGCCGCTACATTTAATAACCCTATTATCGAACTAAAATAGCCCAGAAGTCAAAATTTAACAAAACAAAGCTAACATACCTTTAACTGAACCTCTCCTTGTCGGTCCTGGCAGGTTAAAGTAGCATTTTGTCGAGTTTTGCACTCGTAGGTACTATCCACTAGAGAAGAATTAAAGGCTTGCTACCAGAAAAACGGACCATCTCCATGCGAAGCGCTATGAATTTGACAATAATCAACGAATCTACTCCAAATTGCTGTCGGCTAATCTGCAGGAAAGTGTGCTCCGGCTTCTTGCTCTCTGACTCCCCAAACCCATTGCAACTGCACGATAATCGCCCGCTAAAATCATCAAACACTTGACCTTTACGCTCCGCCTTGACTCGCAAACGGGTAGGATTACTACGCGATTTGAATATTCAAGCCAGCGACCACAGAGCCCGGGTTACCCGTGTGGCAGAATTATTGATGATTTGACTGTTTGCGTGCAAACACTGTTTTTTTTTTTAATTGCTATATTCCTTGTTTTTAAATTCCTAAGTGCTGCTCAGTGCATACCAGTATCGATGGAAAGTCAGGGAAAACTAATTTGTTTTCAATTAGGAGATTGTTTTTGTGACGCTGGTTATAAATATCTCAACATCATTCCAGTTTGAGCTAGCCAAATATATAGCGTTGCCTTTTCTTAGAATGTACACCATAAAATGCAATCGTAGATCTTCAAATTTTTTTTAGAAAAAAGAAATTGTTCCAGGACGTGTTACATTATTGTCTATTGTTGAGTTGTGCCCATGACAGAGCAACTAGTGGGGGCAAACATGATTAACCGAACACCCGAGAAATTGTCTGCAATTCCTAACCTAGCAGGACTACGTTTATGTAAACAGTGAGTGAAGCTATAAACAAAGCACACTGCAAACCTTCTAGAACTTTGAGAACTTCGGCCGGTCAGTGTGATTAGACCTATGGTTTGGTCACACCTTTAATTTTTCCTAGATTCTTACTGGCTTAGATTTGTACCTTTTGCTAGGGACTGCAAATTAAAGTTTTAGAAACTGAGAGCTTCGACTACAATTTCGTGCTTCCTTCAGAATTGTCAGATGCAGAGTTTTTTCACTCTTCACCGGTATGTTTTGCTTTATACATTGCAATGCATAGCCGGAGTAGTCAACAAAATTATTTATATAATGTTTAGATTTGGTCAAGGAGACTACAAGTGTTTTTGCTTCGTTGAGTACTGATATTTCAAGTCCACTCAACTTGGAGTTTGATACAGAGTTGCACTCCTTGCGTTTTTACTAAAAGAAACTCCCACATCCTTAGACAGAACGGCAACCTTGACCGGAAACCATAAAAATTCAGTAGCCTACTAACTGTGTACTTGAACTCAGTATTTTCCCACTGGTGTGCTGATTTTAATATGTGTTTGAAAAGGGCCTGCCTAGTTTTTTATTTCTTTTCTTTATATTATCCACCGACGGCGCATGACGCGTACATTCATTCCCCTTACAAGTGTCCTATCAGTGGCTTAATCTCGTACCCAGATCTCCCACGGCCATGTAAAACAGAGTGAGATCTGGGTACGAGATTAATCGGTGGCTAAGATGACATTAGGGAGTTCAAGTAGTGGCCATGGCGTTTTGGACGGAGTGACTCACAGGAAGGGGCGCGTTTTCCCTTTGTAATATATCTTAACGCTGCCAAATTCGTAACGCTTGGTATCTTTGCTCTTATAGAGACGACTTGCTCAAACATTTAGCCGAAACAACTGCCGAATATTCACCGAAAAGTCCACTTCCGGTTAACGTGCGTCGCTGAGAAACATCTTTGTTTAAACTCCCATTGAAGGTACTGAATATTATCACACATCACCTAAAACGTACGTTCTGCTTCTGGTGTCAATGCACCAGCTAGCTTGATTAATGATGATCAGTTACTGCATTAAGGTCTCTGCTCCTACAGCCTCATGATGATGATCAGCCCGTCTTAACAGGATATCGTAGGTGATAATTTCTGGTCTTACTCGACAGGCAGCCGTATATAAGCTACTCCATTCCCTTGCGAAATTTCTTAAAGAGGGAAGGAGGGCTGCCGTATAACGTACAGTCGCACCCAGAAACCACCAATGACCCTCATGTCGTCATCGTTACCTTCAAATATAGTTTATATACGCTGCTGAGTACAAATAGAAAAAAAAAGTTCATTTCATTTCCAGAGAATCTTGATATTTCACGGGGGAGAGCCTTGAAAAACAACCTCGAGATTCGACGGGGAACCATTCATTGAGCCATTAATATTGCCAAAGGAGAAAATCTTTAATGTGCACAGCTGACTAGTGACTGAATAGGCCTTTAATTTTGCACTAAGAAGTCATGTGACATCGTTGTTATGAAAAATGAAAGTTATATGATTTTATCTTAAAAAAACGATGAGTGGGTCAAATTTTAAACAAAATATAGTGATTTTGTTTTTCAAACCAGGACCATTTTTTTAAAAATGAGTAATTTTGGACCTGTCGTGACCAAAATATGATTTTTAAAATTATGAATAAACTCCGTTTCTGAACAAAAATTTTGCACTCGTAAGTAAAATGTTGAAAAGATGATGTGGTAACGTTTACAGCACATCCGAGTGTAAGTATCAAACGTTTAACGAGATACAAGCAAAAAGTAGTTTTGGTCGCCACGTTGGAGGGAAAGAGTACTGCCCTCCAACATGGCGGCCAGTATATATAATATCATACCGCTTTGTTAAAAAAAATCAAAGTACCATAAACTGTATCTCCCTTAAATGCGTTTCCTCTCAAATTTAGGGTGTAAGATAATATTTAAGAGGTTTGAAAATTTTGGCATCAGCAAGATTCCAACTCATTGTTTAAAGGAAGCATTGAATTGGTGACGTCACTTCTTTCTTGATTCAAGTGGACTATTGGGGAGGCCGCGGACTAGATTCTTCTTTTAGCAAGTCTCTTTTTTTAAGTGGAGGGGAGAGAGTATAAAGCCTTTCTAGCCCTTTCCCGCTCCTCCGTACCTTATTTATGAAGGTAAATTTCAGCAATGGAGGATGACCCAACCCCGGGGGGGGGGGGGGGGGGAAGGGTACTCCTTTGAATTCTTGGTGGGAGTGTTCCGCCCGGTTCCCCAAATCCAGACCCTATTTCAGACCAAAAAATGTCATTTTACAAACCCGTTTTCATACCAGACCTCTAAAATCCATACCCGTTTTCAGATCTGGCCTTTAGGCATGAATTATGTCATCATTATTAGATTAGAGTGCAAACAAAACAATTCTTCAAATCCATTTCTAATTCGCATATTTCTCTTTCTTTCTTTCTCATTTGCAATTGAAACGAGAAATACGTTCGTACACTCCTGTAGTTCTCTCGAAAACCATACCCGATTTCAGACCAAAATGGGCAAAGTGTATACGCGTTTTCAGACCAAAATAGCACAAAAACCCTACCCGATGGGGCGGCACCTACTTATATAGCTTATATAAGGGAGTACCCCCCCCCGGGGACCCAACATGAAACCACTGATGTCATAGATCTTACAAAGTTGCCACCTTGGGGACTTTTGGCGAGAAACAGTTATATTGTTCGAGTTCATGTGACCTCAACGTCGGGGAAAAAATTCCAACTACATAACAGTGTCAAATATTTGAACTCCACTTATGACTAAAATGCAAAGTATTTACTGAAATATTAATCGTCAGGCTCCTCGAAATTTAATGGGAATAACTATTGGGCTCAAGTAAGTTATTAAATACGGCTATCAATTTCGACAATCCAGTGGATCTGTGTCAGCTTTCTTCAGTGTCCTGTTTAGCTCTGTTTACAAAGAGGAAGTGCCTGTACCTTTTTCGGTCGTCATCTCTGGCTCTTTTTTTCCTACGAGGTGGTCGTATGTATGGCAGGCGTGCCAGTCACACTAATTTATCAATTAGATGAGCAGTGCTAAGGCTGGAGTCCTGGCGCCAGGTGAAGAGAGCAGTAAGTTTTCAAAAATACTGTGGAGCCTTGACGTTAAGAAAGTGAAAACAAAGGTCAGTTTGCGATACTATGGTAAGCGGCTACCAGAAAAAAAGATTAAGATGGGACGTTTAAAATGTTCCCTCTTTCTTGAAGCAGGGACGTATTTTGTCGAACTTCCTTAATAATAGAAACACAGATAAATTTAAAGAAAATATAAATAAGATATTAAATTATATTCGAGTAAATTAACCTTGCAAGTACCTTGACTGAGTGCAAATATCAAGGATCGCCTTGTAATCAGTTGTGTTGGCACGAGCGAACGTGGGTCTTTTTAACAAGCTAAGCCATGCAGAAATCAGTATTCACTTTCAAAGTTTTTACCATGTTGAATAGCAGAAATAAATGCAAATCGTAAAACTCTATTTGTGCCGATTCTGTTTCTCAGCATCAATTTGCGCCACTGGCTCCAATGTGTTCCAATATATTGCTACTGAAACATTTACTTCTAGATATGCTTCTGGCTCCAAACCGTGAAATGAAGTGAAAAGCGTAGTCTATGAATTACATGCTTCCACGCAAAGTAGCGAAGTCCCGGTCACATTGCTTGAGGCAGATTTGAGAGTAGTCAATTCCCCCGAATATTTCTTGTGAGGTTTTACCCACAGAAACTGGTGGTGATTAACTGAGAGACCCTAAAAGAACTAAGGCAGGTTTTTCTCTTTACTCTTTTGTCAAGAGGTTAGTATTGCACACATGATCTACTTTTAGAGACAGTATTGTTAGTTGCCTAGCAATTATGTTACTGAGAGTAAAGTACCGTAAAAACAACCGTATCAGCTAAATAGTCCCTAAATACTGTAAATAAGATCAATTTTGTAGCTTCGCTTTCTGAGCTAAAACTGCAGGGGCCTTTGAAGATGGGATAATTTGGTTACAAGCCTTCCTCAGTATTTACATAGATAGGCTAACGTTTATTACGGACTAAGGATAAAATGCTTGAGAGTTTTTGCCATTCTAAATTAAATTTGAAGATGTTGATGCAAGAAATTTAGAGCCGGATCGTAATGAAAATAAGGCACCACAAGGCACATTTTGTACTAACTTGTACTTAAATTTTCCAACACCAACAGAAGCTTGCTTTTTACAGAAACTGTCTAAATGGTTTTCTCGCTCGCACCCCCCCCCCGACAAAAAAAATAATAATGATAATCGACTGAAATGTGAGAAATTTTATATCTGCGGCACCCGTAAAAAACACGATATTCACAGACAGACGAAGTGACACTGTTTTTGTGTCGTGCCCAAGCGCATCGCGGATCAACATTTAGCTTTGAAATACGCATGGAATGGAAATCAGCAGTCCACAAGAGTCAGTTTATTACGGATAAAATGGATGAAGGTGAGAAAAATTTAAATACTGGAAACAAAATTGGGTCAATTACGTTGCATAATTGTATGGCCTACGTTACATTTAACGTTAAGTGGCAAGTGCATCGCTGTTTTCTTTTAAAAAGGCTCCCCCTGATATCATATCACAAGATTGTAAGATGCTGATAACAAACGCAGCTAAGTTTGTCTCCTTCTTTCGTTTGTACCACCCTAATTAAAAGCTATCGAGTATTTACGTTCATCGGGGTATCTGAAAGGTGACGGGCTATGAAGTATGCTCCCCAGCCTTTCTTGACAGTTGGTAGCTCAACTTATTTACCGACCACGGTGCACGTGAAGTCCCAAATCAAAAGACTTGTTTACGTCCTCTGTGGTCTAAATTTTTTAGGGTGAAAGAATGGACGGCCCTAAATAGTGAGAAAAACGTTCTTCCTCGAGAATTTAGAATACATTTAGACATATTTCATGACTTTGTCCCAGCTAGCTTTAAAAAAAAAACAGAAGAACAATGCGGGAGGGATCAGTTGCGGATGCGTAATTAGTAGAATGCGTTTTATAAGAAAGACACACAATCAAAATTCTCCATCATAATTTTTACTTAGGCCATGATAGAGCAATATTGATCCTAATATAACATGAAAAGCTCATAAGCTAGTCTTAACGGAAGGGAGAATCATAATTCAAGAGATCTGATGCAGAATGTTTTAGTTTTTATGGCGATTAATTACAGCCATGGTGAGCTGAGAAAAAACATCGAGACTGATAATGATTTTTAAGTTCTTCCTTTTTTTCGTTCTTCTTTGTTACATAAATGAGATCGCATGCAGACAGCCTACATAAATTAATTTACTTTTGACTCTAATTGGTTTAAAATACTTAACAACTTCAGATATAAAAATATGATACAAAAAGGACAAAAGGGAGGGGAGGTGGTGCCCATTTGAAAAAGACGAAGATGATTATTGAACTTCGCCGATTTTGGTCTGAAAAAGGGTGTTGCAACTGAAAGCCAATCATCAGTTTATCTTTTACAAGTATCGCTTAGGATATTACGTAAAGAACTATCTGTTCAAACTCGCGTGACTGGGTTGCATACGGCATTCGATGTCAACTTTTTTAGCAACATGAAAGTTTCTATAGCTCTTGTGCCCTAATTTGGTTTCACAAAAAACCTGAGACGCTCCTAGAGGCGATTTAACCCAAATTTTCCCACTAGCATCCCCGGCCCTTTTTTTTATGATAGTCGCCCCTCCAGCTCAGGAGCATGTGATGCACTTCCCAAAGTTTTGTAGATTGCTTAACCAGTTGAGAAGTCAAGGTTGAAAATTAGGGAATGGCATTCTGATACCGTATACTGTATCACCTACTCAAAGGAATTATATGAAGTGCCATACTTTCAGGTCAAGTGTAGGCGTTACCAAAGTTTCCAAGTTCACTAAAGTTCAAGTCTATACTTCTATCACTAAAAAGAAGCGATAGTTTCTGCCAAACATGTGGCTTGGCGCACTCGTTATGAGTCTGCAAATGACTACAAGGAATGGATCATGCCATTGCTTAATTTTCTATACGTTTTCATCTGAAGAGCGATCCATGGTTGACTTCAGATCTCTGTATGTAATTATTAACGGATTATTATTATGGCAGTACAAACGTCTGGATGCCCAGAGTAAAAAATAAAAGCTTTGGCTGGGCGGCAAATCTTAACCAGCCGCTGCATCGACTAAAATTTGTAGTAACAATTGCACAATAATTTGCGCCAAAAAAAAAAACCTGGGTAAAAATGATTTGATAAAAGTGTTATATAAATAAGTAAATAAATGAACAAGTAAATAAATCCTACAAGCTTTATGGACGTCTTAATTATAAAATGAAAATGTTCATAAGTTAAACCATCCTTCATATAGCTGTCCAACGTCTGAGGTATGTAAATAAAATTTCGATAATGTACAAGATTAAGTATCTGTTATTATTATTATTATTATTATTATTATTATTATTATTATTATTACTATTATTATTATCATTATTATTATTATTATTATGTGTTGTTATTGTTGACATTATGGATACAGAATTTAAGTAGTAACTTTTTATCAGTTTGAATTATTATTTTTAAATAGTTTTTTTTTTTTTTTTATTAACTTTTTGATGCTTTTTAAAAATTTTAGAAGTCTTTAAATGACAATTCTCTTTTTCAAGAAGAAGATTTTTGTTTTCATTTAAACCTATGAATAAAGTTTTGTATTATTATTATTATTATTATTATTATTATTATTATTATTATTATTATTATTCTTGTTATTGTTGTTGTTATGGATACCCAGAAAAATTTTAGTGAATGTTTCAGATGTTCTTTCGAAGGAAATCAAAATCATCGTCGATTTTCGGACAATCTCTCCTTGTCTCCTTGTTCAAAGCACAACCAAATGGTTTAAAACCACTGAACACTCATCTGCACATTTGTTCCCTGATCCCCTTTGGAAGGGTCGGCTTGGGCGTGGATAGGGTATGTGGGAAGTGCAGGGTTCCCACATAATGACCCAAACAACTCCTTGCCGAACTACCCAGATTTTTCCCAAATGCTCCACAATATAGCCAAAACTTGCAAAGACCTGCAGATTTGAAATTCTTAGTAGTTTCAACGAGGTAAGCGGCAAATTTGGTTGAAAGCCCAGTTATTTACTGTACCCAATACCTAACCTGACTGAACCTATCGAGGACACCGGGCCTAGGTAGCTCATTACCAAAGACACTCTTAGTGCCAAGAAAATTGTTTTGAAAAAATAGATTTATCCCAAACGTTTTTTAAAAGAGAAGTATGTGGGATCGGCCGTAATGACAGACCTTCAGTCATAAGTGGACAAAACTCTGCAAAAGAAGATGATCTTCAAATTAAAAAAATCTGCAACAGGTGATCCTCAAAAGCCATAATGGGACCGGTTGTAATGGGACTTGGTAATCATTCAATTCGCTAACTTCAACATTATTTTGGTATAACAAGATGCATGCTGAAGGCAAAGTCTGACTATTCCAGATAAGCTTCGTGGCCGGGTATTACGGCAGTTAGCATGCACAGTGGGGGTGGAATTACCATCATTGACCATTTCAACACTTCAGCGCAGTGAAAGATATCCACAGTGATGCCTGTATATAAAAGCTACAATTGCACTAGCTAAGTGAAGAAACGTTGAGTGACAACAACCAAGAGGGATCGATAATGTAATTTTTTGTCTAAAGAGCTATTTGTTTCTGGGAAACCTAATTCTTTTACTGGTTCATGGATGTGTAGTTGGGCATCGAAGCATTGCTCCTTTTCTCTGTCTCTGCTCATTGCAAGAAAATCACTTCTATCTACGGAAGGTATTTTACAAATAGTAGAAGAACGCGAGGAGCAAACAACTGACATAACAGCATTGTAGAAGCAGTTATTCAATTAATTAGCATCAGCTTTCAAGGTACATGGCTACCGCTTTTCGCTTAATGAATTCCCCTTTGCAAGCTACCCTTCTGGAAAATGCGAAAGTATTCGCTGCATAAATTCTGTGTTGTCAGCAACTGCTTTTTGAATTCCTCAGAAGGTTGCTTTGTTTGATAACACAATGACTGCTTTCCCAAATTTAGACTTAAACAAAAATGTGTACATCTTTAGAACAATCTGTACGATGTGACAGATAGAGTACAATGAGCCTCCTTCAGAATCTTTAGAGCCTCTTTAGTGTTTGAAAGAGGATGGCGATGTTTTAGGTAGAGCATCAGTGACTATCAAATTCAAGTATGTGGAATATACACTTTTTCTTGCTTTCCTAAAGGCTTGATACTAAGTCGAAAGATCAGGTGATTTTATATGATAGCTAATGATGTTACCACGTATCGAATTGTACTGAAAAATGAAAGGTGTTTCCTTTGTTTCCGAAGCAATCAAGGGAACTAATCGCCTCGTGCAGAAGTCTTGTAAACGGGCTATGAATAACACGTTTCTTGACCACCCGGAGAGTTTGTTTGGGATAAGCACGAGCCTTCGCCGCATGCACAAAAAGGCTCAGTTTTGTTACTTACCTGTTCATCAATTCGACACATTTCAAAGTTCGGTCGCTTTTAATCGTCCGCGCCCTCACAAATTTCACGCCTACTAAACAGCTTTGGCAAATAGCCGTGATCGTTTTAGCAGAGCATTCTCACGTCATCCCAGTTTATTAAAAAAGCGCAAGGCTTTCAATGCTAGCGCAGGGGTCACGAATATTTCCTATACATCTTTTGTAAAATCCTTGACGACCAAAAGGGGGGCTTGGCAGCTGGCATGTGGTTCATCCCAAACCACAGGAGTGCAAACTATCCAAACCCACTGGTCTTCAACTGCAAAAAGGAAACAGCTTTTGGTACAGAATTTGGCTTCTTTTATGACACCGTGGAGTTGTGCTATAATAATTCCGGATTGTATTATAAAGCTCGTTAGATATAGAGTCATTCGCCATTCACACTAACTCAGTGTAATGGCCCATGTACTGATCATTATTCTGATCAGATCTGTTTTGCATTTTAAATGTGCATGAGACTCTATCGTCAATTTTTATCTTCCAGAAACCGCAACTGTACACATATAACCGAAGGTCAACTAGAAGCTTTAGAAAATTATGATTTTATCACTTTTCTTTTAACCCCAAATTATAATATGAATAGATCGCCATAAGTGATTAATTGTGTGTTTTGACAGTCATCTGCATAACTTTGAATCTTTTCTTCTCTTCACTAACAGGGCATACTGCTTCATAACACCGCTTGGACGGACGACAATCACAGAATCTGTGATTGATTAAGTGACGGAAAACGGAGACGTGTAGCAGATTGATGTTGCGCGCTTCGGGAATACGTCGCCTATCTTTGACCATCGACAAGATTGGTTTACATAGCAGAGATTAGATCGCAAAGACTGAGCTAAATCTCTCTTGATTAAGAGTGTTTAAAGCAATATCAACAGCTAATAAGCCGGCAAGTCGGTCAGGAATCAAACTCAACGCGTTGGAGGATGACAAGGTTTTACTTCCATTAAGATCGCCAGTAATCAGTTCAGCTATGGAACGACAGGGTTTTGTTGCTGTGACAAATTTTCTCGCTTTATTTATATTGTTTTCGAACTTTTATCGGCGTGATATCAATGCTGTGCTTGCAACTTCGTCTGCTCTGACAAACTCGTGTTATGACGAGTATGGAAGACCACAGATGTGTCTGCCAGAATTTCACAACCTGGCTTACGGTAAACGAATCATCGCTAGTCACTCGTGTGGCAAACCTCCTCGGGAATTTTGTAAATGGGAGCTACGAGGTTACACATGTGATGTATGTGACTCAAGATTTCCAAGCAAAGCTTACCCCGTCGAGTATCTGACAGATCTACACAACCAAAACAATGTGACTTGCTGGCAAGCTGATCCTAAACAATCGAGAGGGAATGTTTCCCTAGTACTATCCCTTGGTAAAACGTATGATATAACGTACATTAGCCTCCAATTCTGTGGCACAAGGCCAGACTCTATGGCTATTTACAAGTCAGTGGATTTTGGTAAGAGTTGGAGACCGTATCAATTTTACTCTAGCTCGTGCAACAGAGTCTATGGAACGCCAAAAAAAGCTTTCGCCAGCAAAGAAAACGAACAGGAGGTTTTATGTACGGACGCACATCTCATAAGACCTCTTCAAGGAGGCAGAATTGCCTTTAGCACCCTGGAGGGACGGCCCTCAGCGAAAGATTTTGAAGCTAACATCGCTCTGCAGGAGTGGGTCAGTGCAACCGACATCAAAGTGGTCTTCGACCGTATCAGTTATTCAAAGACTCGAGATACGAGTAAATACTATGCAGTATCAGACCTGGCAGTTGGTGGACGCTGTCACTGCAATGGCCATGCAGGCAGCTGCTCTACTACTCGTGATGGGAGGCCTGTGTGTGACTGTAAGCACCATACGGCTGGAAATAACTGTGAGAAATGCAAGGCTTTTTTTAACGACAGTCCATGGAAGCCTGCTAGCGAGACGTTTGCCAACGAATGTGTGGGTAAGTTTACAGTCTTACAATTATTTGTAACAGTAGTTCCTCTATCTGCCTAAGTAAAATCTCGAGTCAACTTCTACGGTTTTACGGAGAGTAATTGCGATCGCAGTTTGAAAAAAGAATGGACATTAACTTTTCGATTTAAAATATTTTCCTATTTGAATTATCCCTTTTTATTTTTATTTTATTTTTATTCTTTTTTTTTTCCTGATGTCCGGTAGTTTTGCTTCGACAAATCACAGCGTGTATTCCTTCCCTACTGATATGCACAGGGGAGGATGTTATTTGTTGGCGGTGTTGTTCTATTGACATGACCGAGATTGTTTGGCCTCTTTTGGGCATCCTGAAATAACTGTCATCGCTGCACATTAGGCTAATTAGCGCTCATGATAGCACCAGATAAACCCTAGTTCGATTCGAAAATATTTCATGCAAAATTTTAAAAAAAGAAACTTTGTGGTACGATGCGAACGTTCATAAATAAAATCAAATGGAATTTTCCGGCTTTTTTAAACGTTATTAGCGCTTTGGCAAAAAAAAAATTGTCGGCTTTCTTTGGGGAGACAAAGGATCAATAGAGGGCCCAGAATGTCTGATGTCAAGTTAGTGGACAATAAATGAGGTGTTACCCATCTAAAGACTGCTATTTTCTCTGAACATTAACAAGCGCCTATTGTGTGAAAAATTGCTGTACAATTAAGGCACGCTAAACAGGGTACTGGGGTACGCTAGGGTTTGACAGGGAGTCCAATAGACCATAAAAGGTCTTATTAAACCAAAGGTAGTTCCAACACTGTTCTACGGTTTTTGAGAGAAGATCGTGAAATTCTAACCACCAGTAAGGTTTTACTTCATGTATCCTTCGGCTGTATCTATGACCTGGTTTGATTTTGTTTGATCCGTCTCTGGGCTAATATTTTTGCTTAATAATTAATTATGGAAGTTAATGATACCCAATACTCATGGTACATAAAGTATTTGAACACAAATGGAGTATGATCGAGACATACATGGTATGTACAAATAACACCGTTTAGAAGGTCAATAAACTTTTAAAGGCCATTGCTACTTCCTGTATAAATCAAATTCCGTTTCGCTTAGCCATTCATCATACTAATACTTTCTCAATAGATTACTTTTACAAGGGCCATTCAGTTCAAACAAGATTAAAAGACACGCTTGCAGAAACATGCCAAATTCCCAACTTTTGTTAAACTCAATCTATTTTATTAAACGCAACTACAAAGGGCTTGGAAGTGTTTTAATCAGAGTTGTGTTTTTAAATGCGTCTGGCTGGCGACATGGAAATCAGTTCATCACCTCAAACAAGACAAGTTGAATGCTTCAAGGAACTCAGTAGTTATTGCCGAGCAAAGCTTACGTTTTATTTACTGAGGTTAAGACTCTCCTGAGCCTACGGTGAAAAATTCTTTCCAATTTTACGCATGATAAGAGAAGCTATATGACCGATTAAATGTAGAGCTACTATTATTTTTAGAAAGCAAAAGTAATTGCATGAGATGAAATTGCAAAAAACAATTTTCTGATATCAGTTTTGTTAACCTTAGGAGAGATTAGTAGTTTCTGGGAAGAAGGAAACTAAAAAGAATCTGGCTGATATATACCGGGAAACGGTGCATAACAACTGTCCTACAGCCGGAACCTAACTTGCGATTATAGGGATAGAGAGAGGGCATGAAAAAAGGCGTTTTAAACACTATAGTCACATATTTATCTAGCCTGAGTATCAGGCCTTCCTAAGGGACTAGGGGAGAGGAGATTTTAGGTAATATATATATATATATCTATCTTCAATTGATATGCACAGTTTCAGTCAACGAGTTAACCTGTTTGCGTTTTTCTTCTGGTCGGTATCTTGTGTTTTTTCTAAGTCCTGTTGATAGCCGTAGCTGTTGATGCTAATGCAATAATTTATGGCAGGATAGAGAAATGTCTACGTGCTTCAAATTTTCACACTTTAAGGGACGATTCGTGCAGATTGTACTTGAATCAATAAATGCAATTTTAGAGAGCAAGATTTTTAAGCAGAACGAAAAAGCTAAGTTATCCAAAATAAAAGAAAAAATTTGATAACTATTTTTTTCCAAGCCATTCGCATTTTAAAAATAATAATTATCATTTATGGGCAATGATACTTGACGAGAAAAATCTTTGGGAGTCTCTCAGAGGTCAAAGATGCTCCCTAAGTTTCGAAGAATTGTTCATGCGCAGTAATCGTATACATTACGATGGTATACAAATCCGTCGAAAACCAAAAGTTCAGTTTTATGTATAAATGCTGCTGGTCAAAAAAATCTCACTTTTTGTTTTTGGGCTCACGAGGTGGTCTTTTCATGCAAGAGTCACAGTTTAGTGCATAAAAACCTTCTAAGAGTTGCGTATCCCGTACGTACTCGATATTTGTTTGCTTAAAAGTTAAGCTGTCCTTTAAAGCTTAAAGTTTCTACAAAACTAATGACTTAACAGTCGCGCAGTGAAAACTAGCTGTAAAATGACTGAGTCCTTTCCTCAAACGTCATACGGTCCTCCCTTGAAGCTACAGATTTGCGGATTTCTCTGCAAGTTCCAAGGTTATTGTTTTAAGTTAATTATAATTTCATAAACGGGAGCTTCGCTTTTGGCCTTGGCTAAATCTATGTATAATCTGCATGAGAGGGCTGGCGGTCACAGTATATTCCGAGGGTGAAAACAAGGAACAGACGGCGATGTTTCCTGCAGGTTTTGCTAGTAATCTTTGCTTGATATCGCGCTGACAAATTGCAACAATAGTTGAGGTTAGAGAGATTAAAACCGGAACCAATAAGTGCTAAAAAAAACCGCAATGGCCAGAATTTCTTATATTAAATGATAAGAAATTTCCGCTTGTTTTCTAATTTTTCCAAAACAGCGATTATCTACAAAAAAGTCTGACTTTGATTTATTGATCATAGCGCCCTCAAACCGAGAAATCAGTGTACGAAGTCTAAAATGAAAAAGTCTTTAAGAATATTGCAAAAAATAACTTTATGACAGCTAATGTTGTGTACGTTAAGATACTTAAAGCTAGTTTTCCGCTCGTTTCGTATCTTAAAAGAATCCACAGTGAATACCAAATTCGCTGCCAAAGTTTCGCTCTCAGAACCAACATCAGCCCAAATAGATTTTAGCTCAAATATTCGCATTTTTCTCCTCACTTTCAAGCAAAAAAATTTAGTCGAAGACCTATGTCATGCAAAACTGACCATCGGATTTACGCAATGTGGTTCATCGTCTCCCAAATTGGAACGGGGCATTTTAGTCTTCAAAAAGTAATGATTTAACATGTTTTTTTCTGGTCAGGTAAGTTTACAAAGGATGGGAAGATTGCAAAGTCGCAACCCATTTTACAATTTTCGTAAATATTCGAAACAGCGACCACGGTTCACTTGGCAGCATCTGACTGTGCGTGTCGTAATGTCCTAATTAGTAAAAGTTTTGGGAGCGTACGTTGTTTGTGGTGCATCCGGGGTTTATTTCCGCAACTTTGACAAGTGTTGACCAACTTCAATAGTTGCGTCACGTATGCGGCTCTTTTAAAAAATCCTTCATTCAATAAAATCTCAGCATGATAAATTAGCGTTTCCCAACATCAATGTACCCGGCAAACTGTATTAAACCGCCAACCAAACCGAACAATGTTGCGCCGAATTCTGACTTTGTACTCTCTTGTTTAGCGTAGTCAAGAGTCTGCGAAAGTGCTGTCATTAAAACAGTAAACTTTATTTTAATTGCGAGAAGCAGCTTGTTTGCGTTTCTCTTCTTTAAGGCTTTTCTTAAGTTTAAGATTTACGGCATTTGTCAAATCCAGAATACATGTATTTACTGAAAAGAGTGACGCATACGCGGCGAAATAGACGAGCGCTAATAAGACTGTATAATTAATGAGGTGTTACATCTTGCAGCGAATTTATAGCAAACATTGTCTTGGTCGAGTTAAGATCATAAATCATGACAATTATTGAAGACACCAGGTAAAACAAAAGTACTAGAGTGTTGTTGGCGTATTTGATCGTATATGATTCCACCATAGTATGTGTTAAAGGATAAGAAAAGCTCAAATCTGCGAAAAGAGCCTCCCTGATGATCTAACCTTCGTGGCCTGTGTTCCTCCCTTTTCCCTTTCGAACTTTTCACTCTCACCCTCCCCTTTTCTTTTTTGCGCCTGCGCCAAACAGACTACTGATGATCCGGTCTCCTTCGCAGCCGCTTGGGCTGGAGTCCCGCAATGCTCCCCGCCCCCGTGCCATGCATATGACCGTTCGTGCATGCGTAGCTAGCCGGATTAGCGAGCGAGTTCACATCAGCTTGCGAGTCATGTATATCCCCCGCTACGCATGGGCTATAGTATTCACTTCAACAACTGAATTGACAATATGTTGACTGTTACATGAAAATTCATGTATGTAAGGAAGATTTGAACAAATTATAGCTGATTTAAAAACACAAGTCACTACAACCTCGTTCCCAGGGTTCTCTACTACCTACCTGGGAACGAGGTTGAAGTCACAAGTCAGCAAGTCAAAGCGAAGGATCACAATTAGTTAAAAACTTTCAGTTAGCATAGAATGGTTTCTATCCAGTGGTGTCCCCTTGTTTGTAATTGACTGGTAGTTCTCCATCTCTCACCCTCGTTTTAAAGCCTTCAGGGTGAAGTAACTTTACCAATCAGTCAGCCTCAGATTGATAACCCGTTCGTTCTGCTTTTCAAACTCTAGCAGTATCTTAGCCCGCAAGCAAGCTCTTTATTTCAAATAACGAGTGAATTGAGCCGGGAGAGAACGCGCGAACAAGTTGCAAAGCCCATAATGATCTAACCTGGGACCAAGCTCCGCAGTGGGGAAAACGGGAAAAAACAGATACTGCTAGTCTCGCTTCGCTCGCCAATTTCTCTCAGTTCGCTTTTTCCCTCGAGCGGAGCCTGGTCCCAGGCTAATAAGGTTCCTCCAAATGGAAATCTTGAACGCAGGCTAGCAGCAGTAACTGACTCTGATAAGTAAAAAGATCAGTACAGGGCCCAGGAGCGGATTTGAGTCCAGGGGCCTGTTACATTAGACGCCCTAAGAAGTTGTAGCTTCAAAAACAGAAGAGAATTCCCTTCGATTAAACCCCTTTATACGAAGTCTACTTTGATGTTATCATTTTCTTTTTCTTTTTGCCTCAGCTTGTAACTGTAATTTGCACGCCAGTGCATGCCTGTTCAACATGGAGCTGTATAAACTGTCTGGAGGCCATAGTGGTGGGGTCTGTATCCACTGTAGACACAATACAGCGGGAAGATACTGCCATTACTGCAAGGAAGGCTTCTACAAGGACCCTACCAAGGATATCACACATCGTAGAATGTGCAGACGTAAGTCAGTATTTCTACATGAAAGCTTCAATGAGATAGAGCCAAGCGCCCATATTGTAGTTAATTTTTTATTTCAGGTAATTTTTGTTTTTCTTTTGTTTTTGGGTTTGGTAATGTATGCCAATGAAGTTGAAACAAAAGAAAATATAAAAATTACCTAAAAAAAAATTAACTGCAACATATCCATTTATCACTGGTTTTATCACATCATACAGCCAATAGTATTTTCAGGAGTGAATTTCCACTCCGAAGGATTCCCAGCGGAAGTATCTCCGAGTACACTATATTACTCGTCGCGTCGCGTCGCGTCGCGGTTGTAACCATAATCAGTGCGAAATGATAAAAAAATATTCCCGAACATTTACACTTAAAATAGAAAATAAGTACTTAACAAGCCGAACACAGAGAGCGCCAGAAAAGAATCAACAGATACGAGCACAATGGAGGGAGGCGTTTCCGCATTCAACGTTCGGTGTGTACTAGGAAAGCACTGCAGAATAAAGAGGAGCAGAGATATTACATTTCTGTCCCAAAAGGCGTCTAATTGATGTCTTTTAACTGATGCCACTATCTTGACTGTCTCCATTAACACTGATTAGGGAATTAAACTAATCCGCTAATAAGATCGATGGCACGAAATAAAAATTAGGACGATGTGATCAAATGACGGAAGACATGTAATTACTTCTTCGCATGTTGTATCGTTCAAACACAAAGAGGGTCTCCTGATCGTTCTTAATTCATAAAAGGTTGTCGTGTCTTGCTTCTGCAATACACTGCGACCTTATTCAGCTTGTTGTCTTTAAGCCCTCTAAATGTTAAATGAAACAACGGCCAATATAAGATACTTTGTTCAAATTATTAATGGTAGCACCTTAAAACTTATCGCACGTTGTTATCGCTGTTATTCAAGTACTCAAGGTGTTGGTCATTATATTTCCATTCCAAATAACCCTAATGGCGAAAGAGCGTATGATGTTAGGTCACATAAACAGATTATAGAATTTGTAAATCCAGTAATTGTTTTTATAGCCAATTGGCAGAAGAGACCTTAGATTTTGAAGGCGTTCAATTCCACTTAAATTTAAAATTTGGGGTCAATATGTGATAACCTTTAATGAGATCAAAGAGAGTAGTGGTTGCCACTTCATGCCAATAAGAAGTATTTGTTATATTCAAAACCAGTTTAGTTTGAGGAATTTCTTTGGGGGCGGGGGGGCGGAGGAAGGGGAGGCTCCACCCCGCAGTCCAACCCTTACCCTTTTAAATGCCATTTTTGATCGCAAAGGAAACAATTTCGTATACCTTCCATTGTCAAAAGGTACCCCTTTTACATACCTTGTTTAGAACTTTGCATCCCTTTTAACTGCTGTAAATGCACTGTCTTAACAATATGAATATTTCACAAAACCAGAACATTTTCATGACTTTTTCACAGCCATGAAATGTATCTGTTAGCCCTTTTGGGCTTTTTTACAAACCGAAATGACAGGATTTTGCTACCCTTTCATATAATTCAGCTAGTGAAATCACTACGTACCCTTTTATATACCTGAAGCCTGAAAAAGTTAAAAGTTACCCCTTGCGGGCGGAGCCACCCCTTATAGGCCATTATAGGGATTTTCCTCCTGAGGGCAGAATTAGTATTCTTGTCCATCATCAAGGGCAGGATTAAGTCTTAAACTAAAGACAATTCTAATAAAGGCGTGACTTGGACCGAATTAAAAGTACATCTCTCTTATCTTTTTAGCATGTAACTGCCATCCGCAAGGATCCATGGGAAGGGTATGTGACCAAATCACGGGACAGTGTCCATGTAAGGAAGGCGTGACTCGAAGAGCTTGTGACAAGTGCGCCGCTGACTACGAAACCACAAAGAATCCTATAGTCCCCTGTATAAGTAAGTATTTACTTTTCTAGGCCTGACCGAAGTATGACGTAATAATTATTTGTTTTTCCGACGACAAACTGCATGCTCAGGGAACAAACTACGAATCCAAAGAACTTACTACCAAATTAATGTGCCTAATTAGGTCTACATTGAAAATCAACAGACAGAAAAGAGTCCAACTGGTTCACGTGGTATTTTTGCTTAATTCTCTTTCCAGAAACGCCCAATTCAGTTATGTCCATACAGCCCAAGGATTCAAGTAAGTTTATTTACTATGGCCGAATATCACCCGTAGTTGACCGAACAGCGTTTCACTGAGCAAAATGATAGCTTTTTGATAACAAAAAAAACCCGAAAAGTTACGTTGGCTTTGAATCTTCATCTCAAGTGAAGAGATGACTTCAACTCAATAATAAGAAAGATACAGACATCGATACAGACACAAGTTCACAAAAAGTGAACCTTGACATACAGTGCTGATTACAACTCAATAATGAGAAATAGAGATTACAATATATAAGCTCCTTTAAACGCTAATACCGCTCCCTAGATACCGTTACTATGCATGGTAACTTGTCAAAAAATGCCAATAACGTGTTAAGCATGCTTTCAATTGCCGTTACGCCAACTAGAATGGACTGGTAGTTGTGATAGTAGTATTGATGTAACAAAGGAGAATTGCTGAAAAAAGCTGAAAACTGTTGACAGCCTTTAAAAAGAGGACGCAGCCGAAAGGCAAGGTCTGCAATGCGTCACAGAGGCAGATAAATCAGACACAAAACATCAACGTTCAATATAAAGCTCCCTTGTCACTAGACTGAAAGAAAAGTCATTTCTAGCTGTGTCCCCTTAAATTCACTTTAACTACGCTCTGGTTCCTACCTGGTGACTTTTAACCATGTGTCCAAGTTAATAATCTAATATTTTTTTCTTTTTCTCACTGCAGCATGTTCCCAGTGCAAGAAAGTTGGGATGTCAGGAAAGAAATTTTGTCGCAAAGATTTCGGTGAGAGGAGTTTCCATAAATATGCGCTTAAGTTCACCTTTGAAACGAAAATTTCTTGTAGAATCCGCCTCAATCTGTTTTCGTTTGTTTCTTCCTGGACGATGTTTTTAATCTACTTCCTTTCCGTTTTCAATTCAGCTATGAAAGTAGCAGTTCTTGGCTTGGATAAAACAACAGAAGGGGAATGGGTTCGAGTAACCGTAAACGTCATGACTCGATTCAAGAGGTCATTGGTTCGTGTGAGGCTTGGAAATGAATTCCTTTGGATCCCACGCCGTGACTACAAATGCAAATGCCCCAAACTGCGACCAGGCCGCCATTACTTGATTGCGGGTTCAGTCAGATCAACTCGACGAAAAAAGTCCCTTGTGGTGGACCACCGTAGCATGGTGGTCTCGTGGAATGCAAGTATAAACAGAAAGTTGGAGAGAATTAAGAAAAAATGTAGGAAAAAGAGTCAGTGAACCGTTATACTTAATCCAAGCAACAATTGTAGCCTTATCCTACACGAGAACAAAGTTAAACAAGCCACACTGCCATTGGGGGCAAAGGGTGCAGGAAATACTTTACGAGCGTGCAAACGCTGCATAAATAGAACCTTGGCGTGTGATGTGTGCCACGCTCATGTCTGGTGTAGTACGAATTCGACTAATACTAGAACTTCCGAAACGTACAAGCTCGCACTGAGAGAAAGGCCCGGTTCAGACGCCGAACTTTTCATGAGCCGAACCTAATTCGAATTAAGGCCGACCCAAATTATTTAGACCGGCTAAAGTGATTCAGACACCGATCTTAATTCCAGCCGAACTAAATTCAGAAGGCGAAAAATGAGCATTTCGGTCAAACTGCTTACAAAATACGTTATAAGAATTTCTGCATTTGGTTCGGTACATGAAAAGTTCGGCGTCTGAATCAAAGGCGTTCCAAAGTCGATCCAAAGGCGAAAAGAACGGCTGAGCTGTTCCAAATTGAAACAGGCGTTCCTAACTGATTCAGACTCCGAACTTTTCATGTACTTCATTCAATGTATTAGGTTCGGCTCATGAAAAGTACGGCGTCTGAACCGGGCCAAAACGCATGCAATATCAAACAGGAGAAAACGTGAAATATACTTGGAAATCACATTAAATAAATTTTATGCGATGTTCAGAAGCATCTCTTTCTGTTTCCTTAAAACCTGCAGTGCATACAATCTCGTACTTAGAGGCTTTTGGTCAGCGGGGCAATTCTTTGCCTGCGAAAAGCAACCTTTCCTCCCCGCTTTTCGCCACGAGGGACGTTTGGAGCGAGGAGGAACGGCTGCTTTGGCAGGCTAGGCAATTCCTGTCGTTGGAATGCTGACCAAAAAGCCATACGACTCTTGGTACGAGATTCCAGTGCAGACAAAGAGAAGACAACCTACTACGAATCCCTCATACAGGCGTTATATCTTGAGAATCCTCAAGTAATTTTTTAAAGCAACAAAATGGTGAGAACTCATATTTCAGAACATCGTATCTTTTTGTCGCTACAGATACTTGTAAAAAGGTCTTATGGGAAGCATCAGCTTTTAAAGTAAACACCCATAAGTTAGAACCTACCTGTTGAGCCTAACCTGGGAATACAGTGCTGTATGTAGGTTCTTACTCGATGGTTTTAATTGCATCCTGTCCAATAAAACCAAAATTTGGCACCACTGTGACGTAATTTGCCAGCAAACTTGGCACTTTAGGAGGATCTGTCTCAAATTAAAAATTTGCTTTCGTATTCCCTTGCCTCCTCTAAAGCCAGCTTGATGATCACTAACTTCCAGCTCCTGTTTTAAGCGCCTGATAATAATCCTGAGTGTTACTTTGCTTAACTCACAAATGTGGTAGATGGTCCGGTAGTTACTACCCTGTCGTAGGTCCTCTTTCTTCGGCGTGGTACAGACTGTCCTTATCCAAGCAACTGGCCATTCTCCATTTCACCAAATTTTCATACAGCGCAGACGTAGAAGGATCACACACCAGCTGCTCTAAGCAACTCCGTACGCATTTCATCCACTCCACACGCCTTGCTATTTTCCAAAAAGCAGCCTCTACCTCCGATGTCATCGGCTGAACTTCTGCGTGAATTTTGATTTCCGCGTGAATTTCCTTCTTGTTGTTCGGCGAGAGAAGTGTTCTTAATTGACTTACATTTGTTTCCAGGTCTTTCCAATAACGTTCCTCGTTTTCCTGCGCTTTTGCTTCTACTCTACTCAGAGTCCACCACTGCACTGCACTTAGAGGTTCATAAAATTGGTCTCTGTCCTCTTCGCAAGCAAATTAAAAAAGCGAGGCATTTGTAACGTCAAAATAATTGAATGTACGCACATAATAAAGGCAATTCATGTGCACGATGTTACATCACTTTCTTGGTCAGTAAGAAAGCAGAAACGAAGGAAGGAAGGAAACAACATGTTGGATCAGTATCTATATTTCAGCTTCTCAGTTTTGTTATTCAAACTTACAAAAATATCACCTATCACCTTTCTCGTTTCCTTCGATAACCACATCGATACAATTTTAAAAATTGACAACGCATAATATTTAAAGTGACTGAGTTTTAAAGAAAAAAAATTATCATTATTCCGTTCATTTTTATTAATTTGATTCAATAAAGCAATAAAGAATTTGTAAGAGGTGAGAAAGTGACCTTTTGTCTCCTCTGTATTTCTACCCTAAAGTAAGTACTAGCTTCTAGCTTTTATACTAAGTGATTTAACAAAATTATTTACAATTACCAAATAACCTGACGATTGCTCTGTTTTGTTTGTTTCTTTGCTTGCTTTTCATTTCTTTTTTTTCCAAACTTGCGTCATCTGACGCGAAAATTAATTAATCCAATGAAGTATTTAAATTAGATATGGACAAATTAATTCGAATAATATTGTTTTCTCCTCATATACTAGAACAAATGGTACACAAATGACGGCACCAGTGGAAGGCTAGGGATGGGAGGGCACAAATCATCTGAAAGCGAATTTGGATTTGTTTAACTGAAATTGCTGCTGTTGTTTCAACTGAAAATAATTCTGTGATTAACAAAACAATGCCGGCAAAATGTAAGCTTAATTTCTTTTTGTTGATAGACGACATATGCGAAAAAAAGGTCTACACCTGGAGCCAGACTTAACTAGAACGTAACCGCCAACCTATATATCTAGCGTTAGCCTTACTGCACAAGGCCACTGAAGAGTTGCTTATGGGAGGTCACATGGAATGTATTTCAATGCTGTCCTCACAAAGAAGAACCATTTCACCCGATTAACCGTCTAAATTAACCGGCTCTCAGGGGTATACAAGTAATTACTACAGTGGAAGCTATTCTAACGGACACTCTCGTACGTGGACAGTTCTACCTTACCTCTAATTATCTTTGAAAAGCCTTGTATTAGGAAAGGTAATAAAGGATGTATGTATGTACCTACGCCCACCTTCACAAAACCCTGTTTTTCTTAACTCCCATACAAACTCTGTATTTTACATTCCCGTAAGCGGCCAGCTCCAGTAGCGGACTCCTTTTTCGCGCCCCTAGAGTGTCCGCTTACGAGAGCTTTCACTGTAATAACAAAACACAGTGGTAGATCAAGGGAAGGGGCCCGGGACCCCCCCCCCTTATATTTTTAGACTAAAGTGAGGCCCGCAGGGCCGAAAAAGAATTTTGACGACCGGGCTGCACCCGTATCTCAGGGTCTGAATTTGGCACTTAAACATGGCAGAAATTGTCCAAATTGAACGTGTCATGCCATGTCACGCTCCTACTCTACCCTCTTGAATTCATATCCAAAGATACCCTACTTTCAGCTTTTCCTAAAATAGAGACCTTTAGACTCTAGGAAGAGTACGAGTACGAGATTTTCTCTGTTTGATATTAAGTAAGTAGTGCGCGCGCTTGAACAAGCGTCATTTTGGCGGGAAACGTGATAGCCGTCGTCATTCTACTGGCGAGAATGTCGTAGTGGCGGAAACAAGTTATCAAATGTTATAAGTTTCAGTATCATTTTTCGATCGAGCGAGGGCTTAACTTTCTCCAAAAAAGATAAAAGTGCTATCTTTTCTGGTGAAAAAAAATTACAATGAAACATTCGGCGGGGTCTATTTTTTGACAATACGCGAAAGAACTTTCAGTCAAATCTCGTACTCGTAGTCGTTCTCGTCTTCGAGTCTAAAGGTCTCTAACGATTCTAAGACAGAGATTATTTGGAAATTCACTTTACGTTATGTTTTTCGTCGAAGTGAAAACTATGGTTTAGGGACAACAGCCACCACAATGATAACTATAATCAACAAGACAATAACCACCAGCATTCCTATAAAGACAAAACAAAAGAAGCACCATCAAGAAAATGCCTCACCAGAAAAACCTTCAGTTGAATTTCGCTCAACACCATGCAGTTTCAGTACAGTTGAACCTCTCTACAACGGCCACTGATAAAAGTGGCCATTGTAGAGAGGTGGCCGTTGCACAGAGGATGAAACAAGAGTGAATGTACATGTATGGACTGTCCGCCGAAAAAAAAAAAAGCCTTTGTAGAGAGGTGGCCGTTAGTGGCGGTACGACTGTATGCATGTTGTAGCTAAAATCCGTTCTCAGATTAAACCATAATATCCTTTGTCTCCTGAAAATCAGTTGGAAAATTCTGAATCAAACAGTCGATTATTTGTTTAACCTACAAGCACATGGAATACAAATTAAAAAGAGCCACTGTCTCTTAACAGACACCTGTATAACGTACCCACCTCCCTAAAGAGGACACCAGTATCTGGTCTCTCTCGCTCCTCAGTCATATCGTCTATAATGTGGACACCTCTTTGAGGCTTGAGAGTCCATCTCAGGTTATGTCTATGTTACTGGTCAAATTTGATTTCAGGTTATTTTTTATTTAAACTCGGTTGATTCTCAATTTCCCTTGTTTCCTATCCCTAATTCATGAATAATTAGATCTAGGAGACAAAGGAAATTGAGAGTCAACCGAGGTTACAAAATTTAAGCTGAGATCAAATTTGTATAGGTAATAACATGATTTGTGGTGATATTTGGTCATAAATATCACGAGTGATATTTCGAAATTGTTATACGTAATTTCACAAGCCGTTAGGCGAGTGAAATTTGAGACAATTTTGAAATATCGCGAGTGGTATTTATGCAAAACATCACGTACAAATCATGCTATTATTTGTTTATACTACTACCCGCAAAAGGTTTGTAATTTTCACATGTAAGTATTTCAAATTAAGCTGAAATACCACTGCTCTAAGACCAGTAACTTCTACACCATACCGGATAGCTCTAGTCTGCTACACAGCCGTTTTTAGTGTCGTCACGCAACGCTCCTTAGCATTGCGTGACGACACTAAAAACGGCTGTGTAGCAGACTAGGATAGCTCTTGCCCTGGAACGATAACCGTGTCGGGTAGGGCTGACGTTCACTCATAAGAACGGCTATTTCAGCGCGGTTTCCGTAACGTAGCAAAGCTGCGCCGCGCTGCGCCGATCTCGATAGGATTTATCCGTTCACTCATAAGAACGGCGATTTCAGCGCGGTTTCTGAAACGTAGCAAAGCTGCGCCGCGCTGCACCGCGCTGCGCCGATCTCGATAGGATTTAACCGTTCACTCATAAGAACGGCGATTTCAGCGCGGTTTCCGTAACGTAGCAAAGCTGCGCCGCGCTGCGCCGATCTCGATAGGATTTAACCGTTCACTCATAAGAACGGCGATTTCAGCGCGGTTTCTGTAACGTAGCAAAGCTGCGCCGCGCTGCGCCGATCTCGATAGGATTTATCCGTTCGCTCATAAGAACGGCGATTTCAGCGCGGTTTCTGTAACGTAGCAAAGCTGCGCCGCGCTGCGCCGATCTCGATAGGATTTAACCGTTCACTCATAAGAACGGCGATTTCAGCGCGGTTTCTGTAACGTAGCAAAGCTGCGCCGCGCTGCGCCGATCTCGATAGGATTTATCCGTTCGCTCATAAGAACGGCGATTTTAGCGCCGTTTTTTGTAACGTAGCAAAGCTGCGCCGCGCTGCGCCGATCTCGATAGGATTTATCCACATAATCAAATGTTACAACTACATGAACATGTACGGCAGTAAAGGGATTAATATGAAATATATTTATCCCTGACATGCGAGAACTTAAGCTACAACTTACCACACGCTGAAGATTTTGCTGTTATTCTCTTCACATGGTGGGTTTCTTTTATGAGGCGTGTGTTGGCTTGATCCATTCGACCATCTATGTCATCGATTATTTCTGCAACAAAAACAACAACAAAAATGTATGAGAATGATGTTATTCAGTCATGTCACAGGCAGCTCGAAGAAGAAAAATCACTTTCCATTTAATTTTCAAGGCTAACAGGGAGAATTACAACATCATCATCATTATCATCAATACTCTTCCTTCCCGATGTAGCATAGGGCTTTCATTCATGCCTATTTTAAGCAGTGACTTTTGCCTCACGCCATGTAAGTCCTTTCTCCTCTATTGTGTCTCCTAGTGTGTCTGGATCTCTCTCTCTTACGCTTTCCCTGTGAGTTTCGTTCACGGGCTGTCTTGGCCAAATTTCTTTCTGGACTCCTCAGTGTGTACAGGACATTTGCTCAACAGGATGATGCCACAGCAGTTTCTGCAGTTGCTCACGTCGCCATATTTAGGCAGCTTGATTAACAGACCCTTTTTCCTCTTCTCCGGTACTCTTTCCTCGTCCAACATCCGATTATAAAAGTCAAGGAGAACCTCCTCTGAAACTTCACCAGCAGCCTTGATTGCCTCTGGTGATATATTGTCGAGCCTGCTGCCTTCCCACTGTTGAGCTTTTTTATAGCATTCTTGATCTCAGTAGGTGTAATGGGACACGTCCTGATGTTCAACTCGTATTCACTGGATTTTTCTTTAAAATGCTATCAGGTTTTGTGTGTGTTACTCAAGTAAGATTGATCAAAATGAGCTTCTTGTGAAAAGATCTGTTCTCCGGGGGGGGGGGATACTGCCATATATGGTCTATATAGGTATGTGCCGCTGTGAAGGGTATGGTTTTCAAGCAGTTTACTCAAGGATAGGGTATATAAATCAGAGCGTTTGGGTCTAGAATAGGGTATCATTTTTCAGGAAACTGATCAGTTGGTTGAAGATTTTATCTAGACTAGGGATTGTGGTATAAGGTTTTGTTTTGGCTAGACTGTGCTAGTGACCTCAGTAGTTTCTGGAAAACAGCTACTCTAGGATAGGGGGTATTTGGGGAGTTTACTCTAGTATAGGGTAGCCAAATTCAGCTGAACTAGCTCTGGTATAGGTTAAGGGTTCCAGGGTTCCAGGGTCCCAGCGGCACATCCCCACCCAGAAATTCCTACAGTACCCCCCCCCCGGTCTGTTCTTCCTGGATTCACCACTAACCGACTGAAATGCTCAACTTAAAGTTACACCTTCATGAGTTCAGAAAAGGATAATCTGCATCGTTCCATATGAAAGGCGTACGACCAAACAGGTCGCTAAAGGATTTAGAGATACTAACCATTCTGTGTGTCAACTTCTTCAGAAATGGCGTGTCCAATCATCTTTTGTCTTTGAATAATCCCTGACAAGGCCTCCAGCCCTTGATCTTGCTCTGTTCATGGAACATGAAAGGCAATATAAGAGAGGCTTCAATTTCTATAGAGATGACAAATTTCCTTCTATTTATAATGATAACAGAGAATGTACCTACTATATAGAATTGCCCTTAAGCTCTGTTAATAGGACACTTTTGCAGTAGTGGAGTAGTAGTAGTCTCAGTGTTAATGGCTGGCTCAGGGCTGTAATTTATAAGGGCCAGGTCTATGAATGCTGCCTGGCTATTAGGATACTTCATTGATAGAAACATGACACATTCATTTGATGAAAATTTCCCAACCACTTCAAAAACTAGCGACAGCCCTACACTACAAGTTTTCTTTTATGTCCCCTTGTCTGCATAATACATTGACAGTACATGTACATGTACATGTACTTCTCAAACTCATTAATAATTCATAAAGAAAATTCAAAGGAAATTAATGTTTAATGAGTGTTTGGATATCAGATGAAAAACTGCTCATTTTTGCATCCTTAATTTCTCCTTCAAAAATGATTTTGTTTGAGAAGAAATATCAAGAATATCACCAGATGAAACACCTCTAAGTTCGTATTTTCACAGTGCTTCATCATGCATCTCATGTTTGATATAAATGAATGTCATTACAGTGTATGTTCCATTTTGTGATGATGGCATTACATATTGGTATGTTGGAACAGTTTACAGCTGTATGTATAAATGTACTCGAAAAAAGTTCTGCTCTTGCATAAATTTTGCAAGACCTATGGTATCGGGGCTGTCACTAAGATTTCAGGTCGCCGGGTAAATACAAAAGTAGGTGGGGAATCAAACAGCTAGGGATTTCTTTTGATTCTATTTTTCTTCTGTTTTCCCATAAAAGTAGCCTAGGGGCCACATTCTTAGCAGCAAAGGGAAATCCCAAGTCCTCGCCTCTTAATGACAGCCCTGGGTATGCTGTTGTGATGCAACAAGTACAGTTGTTATGAACCAGCCTCAGGAATTTTACAAAACAACACCATAGCACACATTATGAAATAAAGCAGTAGCACCCTTAACCCTTCAAGTCCCAATGGTGACCAACACCAATTTTCTCCTAAAGATATCCATACACTGTCAAGAGATTAGGTTATGAGAATTGATAAAATGATCACCAAAGAGAAAATGCATTGATCTTTTATGAAATTCTCTCCACTAATTCTTTAAGAAAATGTATAGAGATCACTTTGGAGAATTTGTATGTGGATATTGAGACTTAGAGGGTTAAAACAGAATACTTAAGTTAAACACCTGCAATTATTTGTTGTTGCTGCCTTCTCATGTCATCAATGGATACATTACTGTCAGGGTAAGGTTCTGGCTCATCAAATGGATTGCTACTCTCTGGCCTTCTAGGGTCTGCTGCCAGTAAAGAACTCCTATAATTTATCACCACACAAACAATAAATTAATTCTTCAGATCCATTACTTTCATCTGAAGAGTTATAGAACCTTGATGAAAGAGAAAAACTCAGATCAGCTAGGTACACAGTGTAAACATGTTGTTGTTGCTGTTTTTCTGCATGCCTTCAGTGAGGGAAGTAGTTCCTGTTATGGGTTTTCCTGTCAATACTTGTAGTCTTTTGTATTGCAAAAACTATTAAAGAATGCACAGACTAAATAAAGCGACTGATAATATTTGAATCTAGAAATTGAATTGTTACAATGCGCTAATTTTATCCCACGTAAGTAATAAATTTTTATCGTCTGGAGATATTATTGTACATTGTTATGTTCTGGTTGTTGCAGTCTTCAAGCTGATAAAATGAAATAAGCACCGCATTTTGTTATAAATTTGTCCTTAGCTTCTTTCTCAGAGAGCATTCTTGGCGCATTCAATTTTATCCTTGGTTAAAGTTTTATTTCCTCTGTTTTCGGATATGGTGTTGTATGACAGTAATGAGTTTGAAACCAATGAAAGTAAAATTTGAAACAAGGATGAAGCTGAACAACAAGACATAAAAATCACATAAAATCCCCACATCATCATTGACAACATCCCCAGATCATGGCCATCAACAATTTTGCCTTCTCAAGTTCAGTTGGCCCTTACAAGGAACCTATTAAGGTGATTCTAGTAAAAGAATCATAGATTTAGATGAAATGGTACACTGATGTAACAAGTCAAGAAGATGATTTTGGGGGGCCTTCAAATAAAGTTCAAAAAAAACAGCCCAAAACTAGACAAAAAGGAAAGATTTTTTCAATGATGCATGTGGTATAATGTATTGTTTATCCACTTACGCACCAGAAAAATGCCTTCTAATGCCCTTGTTTTTACTTTATGCTCAAAAGTAGAATTAAATTGGACATGTGCTATTATTAACATGTGATAGCTCAATCCGTACAATTTAGTAAAATTACCAAAAAACTGAACATAGAGTCCCAAAAATACAGTGTCCTTATTAAAAATGAAATAAAAAATGGGGGTCAAAAGAATTGGGCACCAAATGCATTTTCCTTGATTTTTGAGAGAGGACCAAGTTTTAGAATTGCGAAAGGGGAAGCGTTTTTACAGAATTTAGCATTTAGGACAACCGTTTAAATGAAAATCAAAGTGAATAAGCACAAATTAAACATCCACTATCGAGGCTGATACCTTACCTCAAGTGCACATTCCCACCACATTAAGTCTCTCACCGGCAAGAAACAAAAGCAAAATTGCAATAGCGTTTCTCTTGGTCAACTTCATTTTAATAATGTTACTTTACATGCTCTTTTTACAGAATCTTTGCATGAGTAAGAGATGCGCAGTGCAAAACCAGGGAATCACCAAGTGGCTGCCAGTAAAAAACCAGTCTTATGGGAATGATTCTTTATTGCAAACTAAACTGTTTTGAGTTATCTAAAAAAAACGAAACTAAACTGTTTTGAGTTATCTAAAAAAAACACCTTATTATTTAAACATGCAACAACATGAATCATTTGTCCAAACCTCTCCCACCTTCCAAAATCCCCCTGGCCAGCTTCCTGCTGAAATGCAGCATTCATTTGTTTCTCTCTAGAAAAATTTGAACCAGAGCAAATAATAATATTATTATTTTATAGTAATAATATGCATAATAAAATACAGTATAATTCATCATAGACTCACAATTTAAAGCAGGGGGGGGGGAGAGGGTCTAAGGCCTGTTTCGTCGTGCTTCTGCTGTGCCAAACTCAGTTGATAGAATAAATTTGAAATCATTCAGTTTAGCAACCTGAATTTAGTGCTACGCGGACGACTTGGTTTCAAACGTCACGCTATTGCCATGCCAAACTCAATTCATAAATTATGAAAAAGTATATGTTTAAGTGTTTTGACTCTACTGCTGTTGACTGCGCATACTGTAGCTGACTGTGGGCTCTGGGATGAGAGTGCGACAGAATGGCAGAAAAACGGCGAAGTAGTTTAAGTCCATACACAATCTCTACTTCTGAATTTTCTGATGAAGAAGACACAGTTTCACAATGCTCTTCACCCAGTAGAGATATTTGTGAATCAAAAGAGGAAGACTCTGACCAAGAAAGTTCCAACACAGAGAACAGTCCTGAAGAGAGAAATCAAGAAGACTCGAAGCGGCCTTGCATGAGAAAGAAAACAGTTAACAAGAACGGACAAAAATCTAGCTGACATCTTTCTTGCTTTCATTAAAGGAAATTAAGCAGAAGGAGAGCAAAAGCAAATACTTTAAGAATTAACCTTCTTGCAATAAAATGATTTAAAATGGACTGCTACATCAGCTGCTGTCTGGCATTTAAAATCATCTTCAGCAAAGCAAATTTCTTCGATTGTGATCTTCCCTTGCGTTTCTGTTCGCCACTTTGGATGGATGGAAGGTTTGTATTGACGTTTTCTTTACTTTGAATTTGGCACGACTGAATTAAATTCGATGTTTGAAACCACTCCCATGCCATTGCCATGCAACTGCTACGTCAAATTCATTTAAGTTTGTTACGGCAGTAGTGCGACGTTTGAAACGGGCCTAACCTAGTAATTCATCCCAGTGTTTCAATTTTAAACGCTGTTCTCACTAGTGACGGAGTCAGAGTTGAAGTCAGAAGCTAGAATCTTACGATCTAGAGAAAACAGCATTCTGATTCTTCTGATTCTGTTTACGACTCTGCACTTATGACTAAGTGCAAACTGGGTCATCGGAGTTGCAAGCAGAAGCAGAAGAACTAAACCAATCACAAAGAGTGGGAACGCACATTGTGATTGGTTTATCCTTCCATTTCTGCTTCCTACTCCAACAATCTGGTTTTCACTAGATCATGAGCGGAACGTAAGCAACGGAGTTGTAAGCGGAGTCAGAAGAAAACTGGAAACATTCTGATTCTTCTGACTCTGATTCTGTCACACTTATGACTTGGCTGACGACTCCAATTTTAGATTTTCACTTGGTCATAAGCACTCTTACAACTCCGCTTAAACAACTCAGACTCCAACTCCATCACTAGTCAAAACAAGCCTTAAGGAATAACAAAAATCATACTTTGTTATCAGCTGATCCAACATGTTCTGTCTCCTATCAATTTCTCGCTCTGTGCTACACATTTATTAAGGAATCAATCAATGAACAATAAAGGAAAAGCAGTAACAGTCCACAAATAAATATGACATCAGCAAAGGAATAAGAGAAATTCCTCCCAAACTAGGTCAGTTTGGCCCGCAAAGCTGGTTATGACAAATTGGCCAGGAGATTATGGACAAATCTTGCATGCATTAGAATAATGAAAAATAAATAATATTGTTGGGAATAACAGCTTCCAAAAAATCTTTCCACTAACAGTTGCCTGACCAACTAACTGAAGAAAAAACTACCCAGGGACACCTTATGTCTCCAACTGGAAATGATATCCATGCACACTAACATGTATCTCACATTACTAGACTGTTCCTTAAATGGACTTCTAAAATGCACTTGTGTCAATGTGTTTAGCACAAACGTACCAAGTGGGGGACACTATTTTTCACATCTCCAGTTGGAGAGAGGACGACCAATAATTTATGTGGTCATTTACGCCATGCAAATTAAGGTCTAGCCACTCACAGGGAAAAGGAGGGACCTTTTATTTTTCAGTTATTTTTAGACCCCGAGTATTAGGCAGGCCCCTGGAATCCAACCCATGACCTCCTGCTCTACAGTCAACCGCTGTACCGACTGGGCTAATCCTGCTGGGGATTAATGGATTAATTGAGCAGCTTTATTTAAAAATTGAACAAGGATACACATGGTAAGAAGATGATGCTCGTAACAGCGATTGCTTCAAATTACTGACATCTCTCAAAAAAGTCTTCAGCATTATCCTTACATCAGATTGCAACTAAGAATACATGTTATAAGCAATACATTTTCGAACAACCAGGCTCAAATCCAAGAGGTATAAGTGTTACAGGTCAAAATTAAATTCAGGTCTAAACTTTTACCTGTGTTGATTCTCAATTTCCTTTATCTCCTAGCTCTAATTATTTATGAATTGGGGCTAGGGGACAAAGGAAATTGAGGATCAAGCTACGCTAGGTTAAAAAATTTTAAAAGCTGAATTTAATTTCGACCTGTAATACCAACAGTACATTACAACTAGCATCGATTCGAGCATTGACTTACTAAGCTGTTTGCCTTAACTTGTCCCCTGATACAATGTACATGTGCACGCTGTACATCTTAACAAAGTATAAATATCAAATATCACTTTGTGTGGGTGATAAGATCCACCATTGTGTGAATATCATTTCCAGTTCTTTCACATCCCACAAGAATCAGAACAGTGAAACAACTGACAGGGCCTACCATTTTTTTGCCCTTATCCAAGAAGATTAGATTTTCTAACGACTGTAGATATCACAACAAAGGCAGCACATTCTCCTCAGTTATTTTAAGACCCTGAGTGTTGGTCCAGCCAAGGTTTGAACCCTCGACCTGCCACTTGGCAGATCAGCACTTATCCAATTGAACTAACTACCGGCAGGTGGCAAACCACTTTATCCATTAGGTGGGTACAGACAAGTTCCACCATGCTGGACAGTTAATATTTTTGTTTTCAAAATCAGGTGGGTGTATGATGGTTTGGGGGAGGGGGAGGGGAACAGTTAGTAAGAGAGAATTTTGTTCACCCAGTAACATCAGATGGTTAATTTTCAGTCTTAAAAAGCCTGGACTCATTCTACCTGCTTTCGATTAAAAAAAAATCTAACAAAAAAATCATGATACATGTACATGCACAGATGTAGTTGGAAAATTTAAAAAATCCATTTCATGGCCAAATACATTGAAAAGTGTTATAATATTATTATAATTATCCTCATGTTTTACAAGCAATATCTATTTCAAACACAAGAAATCCATCCTTGGACAATCCCATTTTAAAAAAATATTCAGGACTTTTCATCCCCCCTGCTCCCAACCTATTCAATTGCACCTCTCTGTCTACATTATACAGACCTGAAAGGATAGAGAAATGTACCAAGAAAAACATCTAGATACAAGAGATTTTAGTACTAAGCAAATAATAAAATATTTAAAATAATTATTCTTTACCTTGGAATAATTTGCTCCATTTCGCCGCAATTTATTTCGCTCATTAATTTTCTCCATGATATCCTGGCCATATTTCTCAACAGTTTTAAACTCACTCAGCCTGAAGCAAAAAGGAAAACCTAGATATTTCCTCTAATTGAGGCCAAGGTTACTTAAATAGGGAAACGAATGAAAATTATCACCATTTAGATTATTACAAATACTTTATAAATCCAAGTCTGACAAGCCTGTTTTCCACTATGCATTCAGACTGTACAAAGCAACAGGAGGAAGCAATGCAAAGACACTTCAAATCTCCCATTTTACAAATATTCTATAAATAATTTCATAATAACTTCATTAGTTTCAAAGCCATTATGCAAAGAGATTACGAGAGAACTGACGAGCTTCCAACATGCATACTCCTTCCCAATGTCAGAATCAACAACGGTAATATTACATGCTCACAATGAATGCTACTACTGGTCAATCAGAAAATCAGAAAGTATGCCAGAATTGATGTGTAAATTTCTAGTACGCCCAAACACATTTTTTCCAAAAATCTGACAAGTCTTCAACAACTGTCCAGTTTAGAAATCATTCAAATCGAAGCATTATTTTAACACATAAATTTGACATTTGAAAAATTTGGTTCGATCCACAGGTATCCGGAAACTTGTAAAAATGATAAATAATAATATTCTTTTGTCTGTTTTCAAAAGCATGTATAGCGTATTTGATCCATTTTTGCACACCTGCATGAAAATGCTACAGCAATGGAAATAGTCTCTTACAAAGCATTTGCTGTGCATTGCATGACATCATCACATTTGCAAACCTTTGCTTTTATCTGTCAATATAAGAAGCATAAGCCAGTGTTTTCAAAAAACCCATTCCCACAACCAATTTTCAAGAAGCCTACATTTTTGGCACCCAAAATGCCTTTACACGTGGATAGAGGCTAAAGCTCTGTTTTCAAAGATAATTTCGAGTGGAGCGAGATTTATAATCTCGTCACACGGGAAGCACATGCACCCCTCATGACTCCCATGAGGATAGCAAGGTAAGCGTGATCGTCTCTTTGCTATAAATCTATCAAGTTTGGTTGGCGTCTGCCCTGACATCATCGCATTGTTGGTTTCCAGGCAATCGATAGGCTTGCTTTGCAAAGAGTGTCATCTTGCTTGCTATCAGGTTGTTTTTTTTTAGCGCCTGTTTTAGGAGTCAATAAGTCCTTTTTTCGATGAATTTCGAAGGCAAAAGTACTTTTACGAGAAAATGGAAGCAATTTCAATCATTAGCCTTAAGATATGAGTGAAAATCGAGGTGACAACACACATGTTTTACAAGTTTATACCATATCGGCTTTGTTGGGCATCTCTTCTTTAAATGTGATGAAATGCATTTAAGTTTGGTTTTATACCATAAAAACACCATAAGTCCCTAAAATATAGCTTTGAATTTGTGTTCAATAGGTTTTGATCAGCTTAAACAGGGCATGCTGGCAAAAGTTCTAGAGGAAAGGCTTTAAATAAAATATTATCATCTCTTTTACAGTATGTTCCCACGTGACACAGTGCTAACAATGTGGCCCGGCGCGTAGGAGGTCCTGAGTTCGATTACGGGTGGAAGAGCCTCTTATTCTTTTTGCTCTTCTTTTCTTTTGTTTTTTTCTTTTCATGTAGTATTTTTTTTAGTTATTGTAGTTTTGTTTTTTTTTTTTTTTGGACAGCTTAAGTTTTTTTTAACATTTATAAATTTTCTTCCCTATTGCCTTATTTCCCTTTCTTCCTAATTCTTGCCATTCCCCCGAAGGTCCTGAAATTCACACATTTCTAGTTATCTAGATACGTGCTGACAGGGCTTAAACCATTCACCCCTGAACCACCCATAACCACCCATGTGAATCCTGGTCTCTTCTACCACTCGTGACATCATCAGTTTCAATGTTCAAACACAACTTTTTCCTTTTAAAGTGTGCCGGGTGAAGAGATTTTCCAAACTGTACCAAAATTGGCGCGATTCAGTCAAGGCCGTCAGAGAAAAAGGCCAAAAAAAAAATGTAACAATGATGCAAGAATTCCCATGAAAATCTTGTTTCACTATCCACCTACAATCCCTTTCAACTAATCCTAAGATCCTAAAAGCTTTCCCAAAAACTTTTCCCGTTTTTTGGCAAAATACCCAAGAGTGAATGGCATTTACCCTTTCTTACTTTGTCTGGCAGCAGCTGAAAGTACATGTGAGTTGATGATCAGATAAAAAAAGACAAAGTCAACATTTAACCAAAAGATTATGTCAAGATCGATTTAAAGAGAGAACTGTGTCTTTGTATCAAAGGAAAGTTTGATCACATGATCGCAATGTTCGACAGTGTAGTCTAAGGTAAACATCTAGATCTACAGCAGAAACAAAGCATATCCAAAGATAATAAATGCCTCTTACGTTATTCGTGGACTACGAAAGTGAAATTCACAGTAGCACAAGTGAACAAGATAAAACTGTTAAGCTTAAGCTGAGATTTTGTGGGACGGTCGCGAAGGAATGTGAAAGTCTTGAGAGGTGAAAAATACTACTACTGAGGTTAAAATGAGGTTATTTCCTTCTTGACCATCTCTAGTTACATTTCCATTAAAAGGAATTCATCATACTCAATTCCCCAGCAAAAGAAATTATAAAATGCTCGAACTCACCATGTATCGGTGGGCGCCATCTTGGATATTTGTCCCCTCCAGTTCCCAGTCTTTTTTAGCAATGATGTCAACCTCGTCCTCAGGGCATTTACCGCGTTTTGACGTCACAAGTTACAAGGGGTTATCGCCCGTGTTCCAGCCATGTGGCCAGAAAAAACGCAAAAAAACTGTAAAGTGGACAAGAAAATTCCTATAAAAATCTTGTTCCACAACCCGCCCAGTCATACTTTCGTCAAACTATTATTTCACGACTCTCAGGGTTTTCCCGCAAAAATCTTTCCATCCGCATTAAGCCTAGTAACTGGAACTGACGAGCCACAAAAAGAAGAAAGAAATGCGAAAGAAGCGGGAAAAGAATTTGCCTTATGCGCATGCTCAAGCTTTGGAAGCTGAAACTAAGAATCAGGAACGAAAGAGGAGTGACCAGATATGTCACCAGCAAACTCCTATTGTAACTTCAAACGGCATTTTCCGCCAAAATTCCGGAGGCGAATGAAATTGATTAAATTGTGTACGTTCAACAACCCAACGGTGTCCCCGCTGAAAGTAAAAAGGACGCTACAGGAACAAAATCTCAACAATATTATAACATATTTATTATTACAAATTTATTGTTACAAAAACACTTGATATTTTAAAATATAAAACCAATGTAAATCTCATATGCCTATTTTCTATAACAAGTTGCTCAGCAAGTGCGCGTTGAGTTATACCCAAACACGAAAAAACTGAACAAACTTTCATAGACTGAAGTATTAAACTGAAAAAAGGTTTCATTTCATCCAAGATCATGTAGTTTAAAAAGGATAGTTCTTTTCCATAAATCAAAGTTCTAAAGCTGATGAGGATTTGGAGAGCATTTTAAGAAGAGTCGACTTGATTAAACCCCACGTTTTCGATGCTTTGTTCCTCGACCTCCTCACAGACAAACTCGAAAGCAAACGAAACTGACATTCGAACTCGACGACGCCTTCTGCCTGTTGTAAAGCAAGCAAGTGTGCTGTCGATTAAACTTGTTGTACTTGCTACAACAAATTCAGTTAGTCGGCTTCTCACTGTTCCTGTGTTGGAAATCGTCTCCAATGCCTCATTTTCACGAAGCATTGCCTTAGACTTATGAACCAACATCGTTTCACTGGCTAATAAAACAGGTGCCTCAGTGTGGCGTGTCCCTCGGTTTCTTGGCTTTTTCTTCGATGCTCGAGTCTGGGTTTGATTCGTCGGTTGCGCCGCGAGCTCCATCGACAGGTCCACAATCTGGCATTCATTCTCAGTCACAGAGGCGTCTCCGCCCACTTTGTAATCCTGCAAGAAAGAAAAGAAAAGCAAGATCGTCAATTAATAGAATTTTTAGTTAATTCATACAGAAAAAGAATGCAACGTTTGTTTTTCGACGAGCCAAACACTGCTACAATCGATCGAAAAGGTTACAAAAGATAGGTATACAATAATTTATAACCTTTTTAGCATTTCACTGAAGGGTTTAAAAGGGTACTTTATGTTTCTATTTTGTGTTGTTTCTTTTATGCATGGAATAAAGTGCATAAATTCAGGTCTCCTGCATGGTTATAAAAATTTACTGTTTGTGATTGGATGAAAATCTTGTATCGTTTTCTCAGAGTTGCCCAATCATAAGTGAACCTAAAAAAATTGGCTATTTCGGAGCTGCCCAAAGCTTCTGATTCAAAGCGAGGCCTAAGTACGAAGCCACTGATATGAAAATGATTTTTTATTCCCAAGAAAATAAATCGCATTTTTACAAGAAACTGCACTTAGCCTCGTTTGGACTAGACAGTTTTTCGAACTCGGAAATGACCTATCGCGACTTGCTCGATACGTTCTCCAACTCTTGAGGGCAGTTGCATAAAGTTGAATCGAGTTCTATGTTTTTTCTCTTTTTTATGCGGACTGTTTATGGCTCTGTCGTTTGATTTCTCTTACCGGTATAACTCTTTCTTCAGTGTTGTCACTCTCTCTCTCGCCGCTACATTTCCGTGTTCTGTAAATATAAAAGGCGGCTCCTGCTGCTAATCCTAAGCCAAAGAAAGCTGAAAACATATTTATCAACTTCCCCATGATTTTGCTGATCAATCAAATTTGAAACGCACAAGTCTCACTGCGAGAACTAGACCTCAACTACTCTTGGAAACGCTTTGCAAAAGTGTTCAATGCTTATTGTGACGTCACCTGATTAGAATATGAAAGCGCGCGCTGAGTCCCTTGGTCCCAGGAACTTGTGCGCTCTCCTGAGAAGTCAGCGGCGTCGATAATGAAATCAATAACAAATTAATGTTGAAGATACAATCTTAGGCCTACTACTGAAATAATTAATGCCTTGAAAAAGTTTACATCTATACATTTTTAGTTCGCAACGCAATTTTCTAAAACTCAAGTTCAAGTCACCCCGAACAAGACATTGTTTACGCAAAATGATATTACAATGTCCTCACTAGTGTAAAAATATAGCATTGTAATAGCTTTTTCCCAACAGCGCGTGATCTCATAGGTTACTTCAAGGTCACATGACATCTAACAATGAAACTGTTTCCCGCCAAAATCTCTGAGCTGGCAACATGGCAATCTATGACGTCAGTGGGTAACAGTGCACTGTTACCCGCGAATGTTGACCGACGAGTGCCGTTACAACGAGGTTTAATGAATTACCAGCTTCAAAATTTCCAGCTATATAACAACTCACTCGAAGACTTGTCTCTCGGGAAACATTGAGATTCTCGGGAAACAAAATCAACTGTTCCTTCCTGGACCTATAGCTCCCATTTTGAATCGCCATGATTCCGCACATATTAGAGAGTGAAATGGAGAGAAGCTCGAATGGACGCCCAGTTTGGCATTTTTTTTTCTTCAAAAGGACGAGGCTGCTGTAATAAAGGAAAAATGAAATGGAAACAATTTCAAACTTTAATTTCCGGTCATTTCAACTTCACGCCAATTTTACGTTAGACCAGGAGCATATCACTAGACGGAATTACGTTACGTCAATTTTTACAACTCTGAAGAATTTCGGTTGGATCAGATAGAATTTGATTATTCAGAGAATAAATATCGCAGTCATTATTAAAAAACACAATGTCATCTTTTGATTTGTGTCCTTGTCGAAGTTGTCTTGTCCTTTGAATCTTCAAGTCGATGATTTATATCGCGGTAATTTCCAATACCTTAACTTAATAGAGCGTTAATTTCCTAAAATAAGGTTATCTTGTCCTCCCTTCTACTGTTTATTTCGCATTTCGTTCATGATCATGTGATGTTACCCTCATCATCTCTCTTGCGTACATACTTGTTGAGAATCAATCAGAAGAATATTGGAGACAATAGTAAAGTTGCCCCCTTTCTGCATCCCACGTGTTCGTTGCCCTTTTGGTTCTTTCCTTCTTATCATATATATGGACCCGTTTCTCGAAAGTCCCGATCATTAACGGGCCCGTAAAGCTGCTGTTGTTTACATGCAAGATAGAGGTTTCAATGGTTTTGCATCTAACGTGGTAAAACTATCAGTCATGAAACAAAATGGAGTAGTTCGGTAGCCAGGACCCGCGCTCTTATTCTTTACAACTCTTTATATTTTGATTTGAATATTTGATTTCGGGCCCGAAAAGTTGCCGGGACTAATTATTCATGAACTTTCGTGTTAGTACTATTATTCTATTCATTTATTTATTTTACAATTAATTTTCGTAGTATTTTCAATATTGCTTATCAGATTAGTATCACATAACACATAAATGGTGGTATTTCCGTATTTCTTGTCACAGCCGCTCTTTGACCTTCAATAAGCTATCTCAGTGTTTTATGTTCCATTTCGTGATTTAGACCATCAATATTTATTTGCAAAAAAAATGTTTTTTATCAATTAGAAGTCGTGTTTAGATATCGCGGTTGTTTCTTTTTAAAATTCCTTAGTTAATTTAATTCAGTTGTTTCGTAGCAATACCATCTCTCTAAAACTGTTGTTGTGTAACGTTTCAAAGGGGAGGGCGGTTTAACAATATAATGGAGGGGTCGAGAGGGGCCTGGTGTTGTTTGAGAGACACTACAGCAAGTGCGGAAAGATATCACTAAATGACGTAATGGAGTTTCTGCAGAAGAATTACCCCTCAAAAAAGGAATATTCCCTTTAATTCCGGTTTGACTTTCAAGGTCCCCCGTTATTGTTTTCCTTGTTCAAAAATTAACTTAATCTCAGTTTCCTCCTCAAGAGACAATTACGCGGGGATTGTATGTTAACGTCATGTCTGTGCTCGCACTCGTTTGCTGTCACGGAATTTTGGGCAAGCAAAGCAGGACAGCACTGCTTTGCGATACTTCGGCAGTCTCCAAGCATACACAAAAGGATTCATCGCGGAATTTAGGAAAAGAAACCTAGATAATATGATCTCCAGCATTCTGAATGTCAGGGATCGTGCACAAGATTGGCACAAATGTAGCACATGTAACGCAATAAACTCAGGTAAAAATGTCATGTAAAATAATGCAAGTATTATCAAGATTGTCAGTGCCATCCGTCTTTCTCGATCCAAAACTACTTTGCTTCTCATATCCTTTGTGATTCCAGCCTCCTTCAATTCTCGTTTTCGTTTCCCTAAAGCTCGGAACACTTTAATGTACATAACTGTTACCACTATAATAGGAAGTGAAGCGTGGGAGTGTGCGTAAACAAGCGCTAATATTTTGGGGGGGATTTTTATCATTGGAATAAAACAAACGGATAAAGAAACTGTCCACATTACGAGGATGAACAGCTTGACTCTTCCCCTTGTTACCGTAGACTTGTATTTTAAGGTATGCATCACCACAAAGTAGCGATCGTATGATAAAGCGATGATTGTCCCACTGCATACAAGCAATGTTAGAGCAAGAACCAAACGAACAACAGGATCGAGTTTATCAGGAACTGGGCGATCCTGGTAACGGTACACATCCTTCAAAGCTACGAGATTCCCAGCTATTGATCCCACCATTAAATCAGACACGCATAAACTAGTGATCAGCAATGATGGGGGAGTTTGTAGTAGGCGGCGAGTGTCTCTAAATATTGTCAACAGCAATACAGCATTTCCAACAGTAGTAACTGCAGAGAGAAGAAAACCAACAACTGCAAGAGTCATGAAGAAAGCAGGGTCCTTCACACATACGGAATTTGGTGATGGTTCAAAATAAGTACCAGGATCTGCCATCATCGAATTGTCGGTCGACAAAGTGCTATTCCTTGGTGAAGATAGCGTCTGTTCCATACCTAGCTGTATTTTATGGTTACTGATCTTTTTCTGCTTTGTCGTGATTTGTAAAGGAAAATAAGGCCAACTGAGAATGCAAAGTGTGTTGATCAGATTATATTATCGCATAAACCACACAGTCTGGTCCGTGTTGATTAGAAAAGCGATCCAACGGACAAATACTGGCCCCATCAGTATTCTCTGTAACAAATGAAGCTTATTATGGTTTTCTAAACAAGCACATGCACAGAAGGCTTAAATCAGTTTAATGGACAGGAAACAATCCGGCTGTCACTCTTATGACGACTTTTTCGCAGTGACGTCCACCTCGTTCCCAGAGAACCCTGGGAACGAGGTTGAGTGACGTCATCAAATTGTAAAGTCAAAAAGCGCGGTTTACGAATTCTTATTTACACTAGGTTGAAGATAAATAGAAAATAAGTCTTTCTACCACATTCCAGCCCCGAAGCATGTTTCGAAATAATAACACTTTTTTTTTCTTTCTTTATACTGACGATTGTGAAGTGATTCAGATCTTAATCGCATTGCAAAACGAAAGGATAAGTTACAGATTACGAATCTAAGGATAATAAAGAAGGACTGTTGTATCTTTAAGGCAAATAATAGATAATTATAAGAAGATTAAAAACAAAAAATATTTCTAGTTTGCTGTACTGCAGATTGACCTCGCCTCCGCCTGTCATTATACCTCGCCGGTTGGCTGACAAAACGCATTTTTCTTTGGCGCGGTCTTTTAGAGTAAAACACTTCGACCTCGCCGCTCGTTATAAGAGGAAATTCATGAAGCAGAAACCTTCTTTTTATTTCATGTCCTGAGCAAGAAATTTTATGTCAAAGGTAAATCAGGGAGGAGGCTAGTATAGTCTGGGACGGGGTATTTTAAAAAATGCTACTATTCTATTCAGAAAACCATGAAAACTCTAAGCACATAAACTGATGCAACAGCTCAGGGTCATCTGCTACCCAAGTGATACACCGTGTTTTTCAAAGTTGACCAGGATCCAACCCGGAACCTTCTCTTACGACATCTTTTCTTGTCAGTACGTTACTCTTTACGCTGTGTCAAAGAAATATTTTACTGAATCAGAGAAAACTCTTCAAATCAAAGCAGGACAAAACAGCGTGTCCGTAAATCAGTGCTTTTCCCTTTATAATTATTTTTTTTTTCAAACCTCTGCTTTTTTGGTGTCGAAATCGGCATTCAGGCAGGCTTCTTTTGAGGAAAATTAAACTGTTTTTTCCTCCAATCTTTTTTTCCACTCCAATTGGCTAGGCTTTTGTACATTATGCTTTTGCTTCCCTACTAAAATGCTCCACCTTAATGCTCCTTTTTTCCCACTAAAATGCTCGGTCTCCTCAAAAAAGTCACTAAAATACTCGGATAATGCTCATTATACAAGCGGTTTTTTTAATTAATTTCTTAGTTTACACTTACAAAAACGTGCAAGTGTTGCAAGTAACAACGACAACGTGTACAAGTTCATAAATACAGCCAAAAAAACCAGCTGTATTAGGTTTTTTGTGAATTTTGAATTTTAGTCTTCATTTTGTTTAAAAAAGAAGGAGCCCATGGGGCATGAGCTCCTGAAAAAAGTTAATTTCTATTTTATTTTCACGGAAAAATTAATTTTCCGGGGAAAATGCCACTAAAATGCTCGAATAATGCTCAATGCTTTTGCCTCACTAAAATGCTCGAAAAAATGCTAGCATAATGTACAAAAGCCTACAATTGGCCCGATCTAACTGCGAAACTCCAAGAACTTGGGCCTGCTATTCTTCGGCACAGAAAAACCCGTTGCAAAAATGGGAATGTGGAATACACCAGGTCAAAATGGCGTGAAATCATAGAAGTGGTTCAATATTGCAGATGATTGGCCAAATTTCGTTTAAAAGTTTGTAAACACTTCAAAACACTTGGACAGAGGTAGAATACCGCTAACACCATTATCACATCGATAAATGACCAAAATCTTCCAAACCCCTAAGATGAATCCTTTTCCCGATTCCAGTTTTAAAACCTATGAATCTTTCTGATAAGAGCAGCTTGTAACACCGGTTTTTGAAAGTCAAGACAGCAAATAATCTATAATGTTTACTATCAGTCATGATCAAAGATCACAATCCCGCGTGACTGTCTACACACAAGCGAACAGTAAATTCCTTAGTTGTCAACGCAGATCAGATGTGAGCCGACTAATCCGAGAGATCAAGAGGTAAGTTTGTAGCACTATAGACAAAACCATAGTCAAAAACGCTGGCCAGGAACAACATAATGCTAAACTGTATAACCACGCATGAATTACTGCATGTTATTGGTCATCACGTATGTACTGGGAAATTGTTTTACATGTCCTAATTCGCCCAAGTCTTGTAGGTGACATGACCCAAGTTTACTCAATGCACAGTCTGACAAGAAAATTTCGCCAGGTCTTTGCTTTTTGACCTCCAAATTTCAACGCTTCACCGTCAAAAAATGTTGGTCTTTACTGTCCAAAGTAGAAAAGAAAAAAATTATTTTGTGCGGAAGTTTGGCTGTCTGAACGAGAGATAAGTTCTTCCGCGATAATTTTCCTCTTACGGCGTTCCTGTATTTAATGCACGCGCTAGCTCAAAATGAATTGAGTATTAATCCTAGGACCTTTCTCTAAAACATATTCTAGATAGCAGTTTTTAGAACTGCTTTCGGCAGTCAAGAAAACGTAAAAGAGTTATATTCATCTGCAAGAATTCCTGACTAATAACCTCTGTTCAATAAATAGCTGCCTGCTACTAGCATGAGATAGTTGGCCGCTTACATAAACAAACCTTTTTGAATAACAGAATGTTATTTAAAAGAGGCAGCAAGTGGTATAATTTGTTGTTATCACGGATGGATTGACATTCTCTCTTCATCGATGCTTTCATTAATTTAAATTGATTCCTATAACTGTTGTATTGCTGATGTCTTTATTTTAATTAGAAAATAACAGTAGCCCATTTCTCTTTAAGATGATTAATGGATTAGTTATTTCCTTTCATTAATGTATAACTAATTAACAGTTGCGGCATATTAAAATTACTCACCGCCAAATTATAATAGATCTCTGGATCTAAAAAATACGTTTTTCCGTCAGAAAATAGCCGCGACTGTTTCTGATCCTAACTAATTCACAAACGTGGAAACTAAATATTTCAAAATACATCTCCTCTTTTATTTTGGTGCTCCCTCGTCGTACACCTCTATCAGCCGTCAAGTATCAGATTCTAAGCAGAGTTAGAGTCACTTGATTCTAAAGATGATTTCCGCACAGGTTGAAAGAACCATGAGTCATTGGCAACAACAGTCCTATTCAGGAGCTCATTTACCCAGACAAGTCAGACAATTCGAGGCAGAACAAATATCAGTAGTTTGTGATATAAAGCACAGCGTTTTCGTTGTTCCCTCTATATAAAAACGTTTCCTAGAAAGACGAACCCCGAACGTCGAGGCCTTTTTCGAACTGCTCCATTCATAGCAGTTCGTCACAGTTACAGTAATTACTTCTTTGATCTTTGCAGAAAATCCGCATTTCATTTCACATGGAAGAAGGAGACACTATACGCCAGGTTCGATCAGCTGGTCGCATGTCCCAACGAACGTATTCAATAACAACTGTGACTTCTATGGACGACAACATTTCACTTAGTTCAGGCTACAGTTCGGGTTTAAAACGATTTACACCTAAAACGTCGAGTGTTGACTATTCGGGCGTACGAGCAACTGCCGGAATTTCCCGAGCAAAACATGGGCGGCCTCGGAGGGGTTCGGTGTACCCCACTGACAGCAGCTCACTATCCGAAACGGCTTCTGCCAAAGGCCGAAGAATGAGCATTTACACATTGAGCGATTTAGCGGAGGTAGGAGTGAAAATGCGCAGGCGCAGAAGGAGTACCATGGACTCTTGGGGTAAAAACAGGACACCGGGTGAAAGGCAGTATTTTGACAAGGTAAAAAGGATCTTATAGAAACCTCAAATTTAACTTAGAGCTACATTTTCACTGCAATGCAAGATTGAAAGCGCATAGCTGAGTCTCTCTCAAAGGTATCAACACGTATCACGCTCTGATTTGTTTCCAAGTAGTCATGAGTTCACTCTGCACCTATAGTTTTGATTTTTAAGTTTTTAAGTTTTTAATTTTTGTTTTCAGTTTTAGATGTTTTGCTCCTCTTACCCTCTTTTCAGCCATATAGATAAAGTTAGTTAGAGTGTTCTTTCGGGGTAATAGTAGAATAATATTGAGATTCATAATTACTCGTACAAAATTCAAGCTGTTCAACCATCGTCACACTTTGATGCAATCTTTTTGCGATAGGTAATTTTCTCTGTCAACTCAAAATATTTTGTTTCACTCGACCACTAACCCAGCGCCACAGTTCTTTAAAAACTAGCCTCTTTTTTCTTTTGTAGCAAAGAAAATAGCTTGAGTTTGTCACGTCTTCAGTAAGGGTTAGCGGAAAAGAAAAACGCCCAATGCCCAAGGCTCTATTGATCGTAGTACTGTAAGGATCAGATCTAGAGAGAATCAAGGGATTTGGGGCTGGCGTTGTTTTTTCACGAAGTCCTTGATAAAACTATTTTTGTAAAAAAAGCAGGAGATTTGAATCTTTCTGTGTAGGCGATCTCCCTTTTCCTTTTTCGTTACTTCGACAGCTTCTTCCACCAGAGGAGTTGTTTCGTCGAGCGGTGAAAATCGTTGAAATGTCTGCCTCACTGTGTCAGTACAAATACGAAAAGTAAGTCTGGTGCTCTTTTTATTTTCTCTCTGGGTATTCATCGAATAAGTTATAGTTTGTAACCCTTTAAGTAATCTGTCTACCGGTTTTCTTCGAATAAGCGTCCACCCATAGGCTAAAATATCAGCAAGCGCCCCCTACCCTCCCCATCACTTTTTTTTAATAGAAGGGATACAAGGAAAATCTGTTTCTATTGCCGCTTTATTGATAACTCTGCGTGTAAACTGTATAATGGGACCAATGCCCGCTTGATTACCACCAGGAGAACTTAATAAGCTGTTCCTCGCTTATTCGAGGAAATACGGTATTTGGAAATGGTGAGGGTTGAGGTTCACACGAGTGATCCGCGACTATATTGCCTTTATTCGTGTCCTCCCAAAATTGGAGGCATTTCAATACTCCTTTCCGATAAAGGATATGATAAAGTAGATAGTTTTACCACTATGTACCACTATTTCCCCATATTAAAAGTCGAAAATTGGTGCCTTTTAGCTTCTCACGATTCTAAAATGGACAGGCTTTCCATCCTTATCTCAAGTAATGAGGCTTCAGTCCATCAAATAAGACAGCGACATTTATTTCAAGTTAATTACCTCCTCTGAAAAAAACATTGTAGCATTTGTGACAGTTTTGTGACAGTATGTTTTGTTTTGTCTTCTATTCTATTAGAGAGAACGAAGAACAAAACTTAGCTCACACCGTGTTCACACAGTATATCAACGAAAATGAAAACCAAATGGAAGCTGAACTGGCCTTTGACGCGTCATTCTTTAAAGCTAACAGAAAGGTACCTGGTCACTACAACTTAAGCAAAATACTGTCACGTAATCTTAAGCTCTTGATTGCGCAAAAATGAAAATTTATTTCTATTTGGATAACACTCGAGTGCATATTGTTTCTCACCCAAGCATTATGTTCACCATAAGTTACGAACAAAGCTCGAAGATTTCTAAACACATTTCTACTTTATTGAATCACATTGCACCGGTGGGTTTTTCTCCCTACTCCGACATTCCAGAGATGCACTTCCAGAACTAACATCTCTGGAGGTCACCTGACTTTCCGCGCTTTTATTTACACCTGCTACGCTGCCGAGCAGTTCACCGGAAGCTTAAATAGCAACCTATTTGTTCTTTGTAGATGAGAGTATCAGCAGAAGTGAAGCTTATTTTATCTGTTCACCCTGGACAAAGAACAGAACAGCAATTAGCGAAGGTTAGTATTTCCTTCCTCGTCCTTAAACGGGCGGACGCTAGAACAAAACAAAACTCAAGTAAGTCGCTTTTGTTTTCGCGACTCAAGCACGTTTTCAGAGCTGTCCTCTGATTCAATCGGCTTCTTCAAAGTGTTTTTTCAAATTACTCTTACTAATGATACATGTTTACCCCAAACTGAATGCTGTCAGGTGTTTGGCACAGACGAAAGGTGTATGTCTCTTTGAGGCTGACAAAATACGGGGCCGTTTATATGGAGAGAGGAATTTCGTAGCACCAGGAAGATCAGAGAATTTTTACATGCAGGAATTTTAGTCCCGTGTGATCACCATGTAGGAAAGGAAAAAATGAAGGCTGGCGACAAAATCGAAAATGCAATTTGGGCCCCTCTGCCCTGTTCACTAACGTTAATAACTACCTTTCAGCAGTAGATGGCAGTTCACGAGCTGGTGGTCGCCAAACAAAATTGTCGACTTTTATTGCCGTGATTACTTTACGGAACAACCCACCGCCATTTTTATCTGGTTTACACCTAGTACTAGGTTCTTCCTGGCAAAAGCAGTGTACATAGTGCTAGGATCTTCCTGCCTCTTAGCTAGGAAGATCCAATCCAAGTATTAGGAATGTACGAGCTCTAGGAACAACTACAACCCGCGCGCGTTGCATGTAAACTGAATACAGAAAACATATGGCACTAGGATTATCCGCCCTCTAAGATGTTCCCAGTGCTAGGGTCTTTTTCCTCCATGTAGACATTCCTGAGTCTGTGGACAGGTGCTCAATGGGACAATCTTCCCGTGCAGTGGGACAATTGTGCGATCGAAATTTCACTTTAACGTCCTTTCGAGTACCTGCCACGCAAGCCATGATAAATCCTCCACTTTCGTTGTTTTGTGACGAAATCAGTTACTTATAGTCATATTTCTAAAAAAGACTAGTTAAAAAAGAATAATTTTAGTACTTGACTATTTTTGTTTTCCAGGTTCTTTTTTCTTTGCGGTCAATTCGCTCGTTTGCTGAATATCCACAGAGAATTCAACACAAACTGATAAAAGTTGGATGGTTTGAAACGTAAGCCTCCTTCTCATGTTTTTAATCAACTTTATACAACTACAGGAATTTTTTCTACTGTGTCCCCTCCTTCCCTTCATTTTTGTGGTGTACGAACTGAAATAAGTTGGTTTGAATCCGATTATGTAGAGATGTGGGCATTTTTTTGGCGCGACTGTTTTAGCTAAATGATTTATTGTAAGTTACGGAATTTATTTGAATACAAGCACTTCGTTGTTGACCAAGTTTACTGAATGTTTTATGGTGTATTGTTTTCCGTCAAAGGCACCAAGCCAAGAGAGCAATCCTGAGACAAGGGCATATACCACAGGCCTTCTACTTCGTGCTGTCAGGTTCAGGTTAGTCGGGCCTGTTTACTCGCAGTTCCAATCACTCTCCTGAGTACAGATAGATAGACATCAGTGTTCGAGACTACCGTATATATATCATTGAAAAAGGACTTATCGTACCCTCTGGTTTCGACAAAAATCCCAATACCTCCTGTGTATGGAAACAAATGGCAGCGGGAATGAAAAGGCTCTTTGCCTTTAGCTTTCCCCGATGCGCAGATGTATTTGTTCAGGCGTTTTTGCAGACGGATTCGGCTGCCCAACGCCCATTGTGTCAAAAAAATCTCGGAGTTGTCGTGACGTAGTGGTGATGTGTTGGACTCAAATCTTAGGTCTACAGGTCCTCTAAAAATTGTCGTATTTTCCCCACATTCGGATAAGGCTAAATCAAATTTCGGCAGAGATGATCATCTGACAATCCACTGTGGTGAGTCATCTGATATGAACCCATACGTCTGTGATGTAGGGAGGCCTCGTCGTCAGCTCTTTCAAGGCCTTGTCTCTCGTTAATATCAAACATTTTGCAATCACTTTCTTTCGTGTGCCACCTTTCACTTTCACATTGGAGCTACTACGTACGACACTTTCCTGGGTGGTAGGCATGGGGATTTGTTTGAGGATGGGGAGTAGCAATATATCAGTTTTCAGTGCATAGAATGGCCAGACGGTCAAACTTAACTTCACACAGGTAAGTAACATTAGGAAGTTAAACTTCTTAATATACACGACCTTGATAACATGTTTTCTATCTTCAGCTGTCGTTACAGTTATGGAAGAACACGAAAACTTCGCCCGAACAGTTCACTTTTTACGCCGTGGAGATAGTTTTGGAGTATGTACTGTTAAAATTTAGTGGCTTGAGATATATTATTTTATTTTGCTAAGCTTAAACTCAAACGCTTTGGGGGTTTTTTATTTGTAATTACAGCAAACTCTTGCGTCATGTACTGAAGTACGTTTTCCATCTGGAGAAAAAACTGGCAGCCGTATGGCGAATAGACTAACAACTCAAACATTTGACAGCGTTGTGAACAGGCTGCAATAAACACATGTTGGGCAGATTTTTTTAAAATAATATGCTCATTGATCCTTTTATTTCCTCTCTTGTAGGAATTGGCCATTCTTCATGATACTAGGCGCCAGTCCACTGTAATCTCAAGGGAACCAATTGAACTTTTGGTCATTTCAAAGGAGGTTTGAATGAGAGTATATTTATGCCTACATTGACCATTTTGCTCGTCGTTACCCTGGACACCGGTGTTTTGCGTGCGGCAGGATGCTTTAGGGTCGGCCGTAGGCCGAAGCCCAAGTGGCGGAACCGGCTTCTGCATGCGATCATGCCTTTTTTCCCCACGTAAGACATAATAGAGAAACAGAGAGGGCATAATATCACAGGCTATGGGTCACTAGAACGACTCGACCGGAACCAGAAACAGCGCATGAAGCTGAGTCCCTGTTATCCAGACTATCTTGCTAGTGACCTACGATATTACGCAGTAAACTGGATAAGATACACCTTCAAGTACACTGCTGTCTTAATTTCTCTCCTATTTTAACAGGACTTCGTTGATATATTTATGCTGGCAGGTGGAATCAAGAACATAACTGACCCTGATCACCAAAAGTTTATTCAGTAAGCTATAATGTCCTGATACATTGTTAGTAATAAAACCAGTTTTTATTACAATACGCCTCCATTGAAAATATTATTATCAAATAAGAGACGTGTGACCTTTCATCAAGTAAGAAACACGGTGAGTGCTTCTGCAGGGTAAAAATTACAACACAAATGCACTCGCTAAGAGTATCTTTGCATATCAAGGTTTTGGTGTACCTTAAAAACATGATAGCTACCTTAATTTCCAAAAACCTCTCAGATCGGTCTAATGAATGTAAAAGGAAAACCCCTATTCAAATAAGATCATTCATACAAGTCTTCTACCCTGCCTGAGTCAAAGCTGAGTGGTTCTGTCTTTTAGGAACATTGATTTCTTAAAGGGATGGCCTGTGGAGCTTATGGCTAGCAATCCAAAGAAATGTCTCTTTCATTTCTTCAGGTACAAGAATTCGCTTTTGTATTTATTTATTTATTTACTTATTTAATTGATACTCCACAGTTAAACGTATAGTTCGCAACCAAATCTCATATACACCCAATAAAGGATAAAGGAGGTACACCCAAAATAAAAGAGGTACACCTTATTTCTGTCTAACTTTCTCGTAGGAGTGGCTCTGTCCTTGTGAAAGACAGTAATCATTCGGACTGGATTTACATCATAAAATCGGTATTTATACATTTATCTTGTTGTTGTCATCTTTAGTTTATCGTGGCCAATTTTCCTTTGTTATCAACTTGAAACGACCCATTGACGGACTCAAGCAAAACTTACTACGAAAGAATGACTGGACAAGCGACAATTTGACTAACAATAAATGACTGCCTAAATGTGACAACAGACAAATCAACACGCACCAATGACACTCTGCCGGAGTCTTCATAGCCAATGACATCACTGCTTAGCTGACAGACGACCAATAATATCGCGACCTAATTGACCAATCAGGTCGATAAGCGAAGTTTGATACCATCAACTGACGTGATACAACTCACTTTGACTCTGAAGATGACTACCGAACAGGTTATCGAAACGTCAGTCACTGTCAAGAACAGTCCTATTCAGGTGGATCAATTTAATAAAACTTTGAAGTGTGATTTACACTGTGAAGTTATTGTTTTAGAGTCTGAAAACAATAGGTACACTTGTAAATTACACTTGTAGAAGTTTTATTAAAAATTGACCGTCCCCAGGACTACGTTCGCGCGGACGATCATGCTCAACCTACTTATGAAATGATCCCTGGGTTCAAACCTCTCACTATATCAAGAAACCTTGACAAGTGTTTTACTGGATTAAATTTGACTGACTAAATCCAACCCTTTATAACCCTTTATGAGCTGCTATCTCCAGACGTTTTCTTAACAGCGTGCTGCGAGTCACAGATGAAAACTAGTCACAGTTTGCATGGTCGTGAACTGCCTATAGAGTCATAGCTATGAGTCACCTTTCTCAGTTTTAGGCCGCCAAATTGGACACATGTTAAAGAAGAAACGCTCTAAGAACTTACCATCCGATCAGAAAGGAGACAGTTAAAATATACTTTTTCGCCCTTTGAAATTGACGAAAAAAAAAAAGACTTCGCCCAACGTGGGGCTCGAACCCACGACCCTGAGATTAAGAGTCTCATGCTCCACCGACTGAGCTAGCCGGGCGCACACAGATTCAAAGGGTCACAGCGTAAAACTAGTCATGGTTTGGTCGTGAACTGCCTATAGGTCATAGATATGAGTCACCTTTCTCAGTTTTAGGCCGCAAAAGTGGACACAAATGTTTAAGGAGAAACGCTCTAAAAATTTACCATTCGAACAGAAAGGAGACAGTAAAAACGTACTTTTTCGCCCTTTGAATTTTTCGCCCTAATCATGGTTTGGTCGTGAACCGCCTATAGGTCATAGATATTGGACACAAATGTTTGAGAATTTACCATCCGAACAGAAAGGAGACAGTAAAAACGTACTTTTTCGCCCTTTGAATTGACAAAAAAAACGACTACCGCCCAACGTGGGGCTCGAACCCACGACCCTGAGATTAAGAGTCTCATGCTCTACCGACTGAGCTAGCCGGGCGCACACAGATTAATGTATTTAAAATATACATTTGTAGTTAGACCGAATTGAAAGTCTGCTGAATAATGAATAATTAAAATGTACTTTTTGTTGACACAAATGTTTAAGGAGAAAAAAGAACTTACCATCCGAACAGAAAGGGGGAACTCTTTTTCCTTTGAAGTTGCTCGGAACCCACGACCCTTGCCACAAATTGATGTATTTAAAATATACATTTGTAGTTAGACCGAATTGAAAGTCTGCTGAATAATGAATAATTAAAATGTATTGTTGACTAGGGGAACTCCCCTGCTATTGCCACGATGGGTGGTATTGCTGCTTGCCTTAATTCGTCTACTTTCAGCGCATCTTAGGGAAAACATGTCATTGTTAAAAATAGACAAAGCTCTATATGCTTAGACCGAAAACGTTTAGGAATGTAAAGCCACATTTAATTGCTTTTTACATAAAAGCTTCTTTGCATATTATCGTTGCTATCGCCAGGGAAACTTAAAAAAGCGGTTTTTAATTAGTGAAACACCACACATTAAGTAGCAATAAAGGTGGTAAGGTAGTGAGGCGTAGTCCCGATCGTAGATGTACACCATGTCTGCGATGTTCATCTGATTTTAAATTTGCACAGAAGTTCAATAATTTATTTTTCTTGATTTGTGATAGGGAAGTTGTCAGGTGTTGAAGAAGTTAAGACATGTAAAAAGCTGCCTTACACAACACAACGACAGAGTTGTAGGATTCGAAAATGGTACGATTTCATTCACATACGTAAATTATACTTGTTGGTTGGTAATTAATTTAATCTTTGCAGTTAGTGAATCTGTTATTGACTCTCTTCGCTATTTTTATTTGTAGTTAAAAGCCAGGTTCCCAAGGCCTCATCACGTGACAGGCTAGAAAGAGTTAAAGCAAAATTGTCAGTAGTGACGCTACTGTTACCCAAGCTACATCTCAGGACGGGTTTGATCACGCAAGACAGTGACGCGGATGATGATTTTGGAAACGAGGCAAACTTGAATACCGATATTTCAGCCATTGACAAAGTCGCTGCTGCGCAAAAACTGTTCGCCACTCCAGAAAAATCAGACATTTCTTTTGAAGAGGGCTCGATCAAGTTAATTGACTTTCGGACGCCTTCGCCGCCGACCGGTAGACGAAGCGGTGTGGTCAGTGCCCCTAGAACGTCTGTTATTATGAATTCAGTAGAACATACAGAAAATCTTAAAAACTTGATGGTTTCAAAGAGAAAGGTTTCAAGAGAGCAGGGATTACGAGATACATTTCGTGATTCAGTCGAAGACGGAGGGCAGACAAGAAAAGTGTCAGGTTGTGAACTGCCCAGGCGCCTACAGAAACGATTAACCCCAGATCAGAGAGAAAGAAGCAGCAGCAAACCACCTTTACCAACTGTTGAAGAGGAAACCCATCCTTCTTCGGTATTGATTTTGATACTTAAAATAAGAATTATTATTGTTGTATGTGTAGCTCTCATTTTTATATTCCTTTAGTTAGTTTATATTCCTAAACCTAGTCTCATTCCATGAAAAAAGGCATGCAAATGAAATTGGATTTGCATTTGCAACATGCGCTGCTATCATTTAGTGATCATTTTGGGATTTGAATAATCATTCAGGTCCCACAGTTGTTCAAAAAGAAACTACATAACTATCGATCCTACTGAGATTTTACTTTCATGATGTGTTAGAGCAGCTGAAAACTAATTTTCAAGCAAATTTTCGCTTCAAAAGGGTTCTTGGTTTTGTGATAGAGTACCCTTGAATTTTTAAGCTTATGCGTGACGTTGCATTTACATGACGGCCGGGAGAACTGTTACGTAGGTTAAAAAAGTGATGTATTTCGGGGAATTTTACTACCTAAACATTTCATTGATTAGAAAAAGTATTAGGTTAATGTTTATGAGTTCCTCGAGGAATAAAGAAAACTCGGTCACAGATATTTTTGTTGGTTTCCGTCCGCCCTGTTGGTGCCCATACAGGTGGGCACCAGCATGGCGTCTCCATACAAATCTCTATAAATGTGGGTAAAACATTTCTTCGCATATCTTGTATACAGAATATTCTTGTGACCTGAATTTTGGCGAGGGTCTTTGCATATTTACCTCCTTTCATTTCCAAGATTCTGGACTTAATCTATTGAACGGTTTTGATTTTTATTTTGATCTTTTTTGAATGGCTTAACACTGAAAACCAGCAATACTTATCCAGTAGACAGCGCTATCCAACTTTTGAAGGACAGAACCTGAAATCAGCAAACTCAACACATACTAGCACTTTCTATTCAGTCATCTGATTTGTTTTCAGACATTGTCAACACCACTACGTCCTCGATTCAGTTCTTTGCAAGCTGAACACGACCAGAGGCCTAGATCCGAATCCTACTCTCGCCCTAGGGTTCACTCACAAAATTCATCGAGACGAATCAGCAAGGTCAGGACAAAATCGACAGTGACGTCCCCAGCAGGTAAGCAGTATGGATAGAAAGTGTTCTTCCCCCAAAATTATTTACATTAATTAGATTAATCGGATGGCTTAAATTTGTCGATGCCATTTCAAATTTGCTAAAATCTTCCTATTCTGTTATAATACTACGCTATTCCCGAGTTTGTGTCAAAACTCAAGTGAAAAGTAAAAGCGACTGTATTTCGATTAATTCAAAACTAATGTCTTTTCAATTATAACCATGCAAGTGATAATCGATTTATCATTGTATTTCAGAGGACCTAACCGAAGAGGAAAAGAAACTTCCTTTACACAAGGTTTCTGTTATTGACGAGGGCGAGCAAAGGCAGGTCAGCATCATGAGCAGTCAGGATTGAGCTCTCTATAGTTGTGCATTATGCAGTCAAAAGTGTATATGCAGTATATGCTTTCCATTAGGTGGATATCCGTGTTTAGTTAAAACTCTTATTCTTAAAAGGGTATTTAAAGTGATGTGTTACACAGACGGAAAAAACTGTAACATTTGACACGAGAGCTATGTAAGTCATTAACTTCATCCCATGTAGTTTCCAGTTAGACTGCTACGGAGAGGGGTTTGGCGTCGCATTAATTCTCCCTCTCGTCCCTCCATTTTAACGACTGTTACGTACACAAATTTATCGCCACTATTCCATCATGCCACCCACTTACAACCGACCATGAAACTGAGTTGTTCCATTTTCATATTATCATTATTATTATTAAAATATATTATTACTATTTATTATTATTTATTTTTATTTTTTATTATTAGACTGAAGTTCGCATCACAGAGGCCGATTTATACCCTATGTTTGTTCAAGTCGCTCTTCTTCAAAAAGGAGACTGTTTTGTAAGAATAATTGCTAGATGTTTACATCTTTATTTTACTACACTGTGAGACCAAACTAGTCTTCTTTTGATGAGCAAATGAAGATTGTTCCGTTGAGACAGCAATAGGAAAGAAATCGTTATTCTTAGACCACGCAGTTTTTCAATTAAATGTCACCAACAAAGAGCAATTTTCGTCCTAGTAATTATTCTAATGCAATCCCGTTAAGCACAATACGATAGTACATACTTCATAATCAAGTGAATGAACTAAGTACAAACTAAAGTAACTGAAAAAAGAAAAAAAAGTGCACCCAATGTACCTTGCTAATCATGATCTCATGATTCATCACTTTTATGTCCAAGTGTTTGCATGGTGTGAAGTCAGGAGAGCTTTTGTAAAAGTTAAATTCAGTGCAAAATGTTTAGTGTGGTCTTTCAAACATGGTAGAGTGCAGAATAATTCCGTAAATGTTCAACAAAGATTGTTCAGTTGATGTTTCCATTCATTGTACACCTCTTTTGTATTATCTCCTAGGGAGTGTCATCCATGGTATTCGACGAACAGCCCAGCTTGAGCCTGGTTAGTACTGCATATATGCACAGTTCTTCTCAATCCCCTTCATATCTCATTCATTGTGATCACAATGATGTCGTTTTACTTCTTTTAAATTTTCTTGTTAGGTCAGCAATGGGGCAGAATGTATTATGATTTCCAAGAAATTTTTTCTCAGCCACTGCTCTGACGCGGTAAAGAGGCGACTTCTAGTCACGGTACGGTAAAGAGTATTTTCGTTTTTATAACTGAGCCATTTAGCGTTCGGTTTTAAATGAGCAGTCATGATTTTTTCGTACTCAGACTCTAAAACCCTTAAAGCACATCGGAATGAAAGAAACCCTGAAAATAAAGTTTGTCTACTGATATACCTCAACTACAAGATAATAAATGTCTGTGATGGCCAGGATGGAAATTTAATGGGCCTCCTTTTCAAGTCAAACTCCTATGATGGCAAAAAAATAGCTAAAAAAAGGTTAAAAACCGATCATTTTCAGCCAGCATAATGACCGAGCGCGAAATATGTGAAAGTCACGTGATAACATAGCCCCTTTAAGGAATGGAGTAAACCTAAACCCGAAGCAGTCACTCTACTAAATCAATTGCAACGCCCACAAGAGGATCTGATCAGAGCTCGATCGAAGCAAATACACACGGGCAAAGTTTGATGAATTTAGAACTGACCCCAGGCGTTAAAAAGGTGAATAGCGCCATTCACCGGATAAATCTCTATCCAGAGGGTAGCCTGTTCCAGAGTCCAAGATGGTGGGCAGAACAGATCGAAAAAATGGGCAAAAAGCCGCATGTGGACTGGGGAGAGAAGGTGAGGTGGATCTTCCCGCCGTTTTTCGGTCGTTCACACTGACCGAGAGCCTGAAACAGGCTATCCAGAGGATAACGCAGTTAGTTTGTCTAATACGTAGATGGATGGTGATTTATCCAGTGAATAGGGCTATCCAGCGTTTGAACTGACAACCGGGAGCTGGACGATAATCAAACTGAACAAATCACATCATGAGTTGAATATAATTTAAAAGCGCGAGAGAAAGTGACAGGCGCGGACTCCCCAGTCCTCCGGGCGTTTGAAGAACCAGCCCTTCGTTAATTAGAGAGAATCACATAGGAGCCCCTACTTATCTACTCGGCGCTTATGAACAAATTAATTTATAAAATAAGAACTTCAAAAATCACCTCAGAGCTCTCTCTCTCTCTCTCTCTTCAACTGCCATTACGACCTTTCGAAAAAGGATTTCTTCACGTAAAATGGAATTCGGATATTACAGACCACACGAATGACTGAGGAGCTGGATATTATCATTATGACGCTGCACTCTTCAAGGAAGTAATTAGATTAATCTACACTTCCCATGCATCACAATGTAGTTGTGGGATGAAAGTTGAAAAATGTTGTACCCGGTGGTGGATTAATACTCAGCTTCAGTGTGGCACTAGATATTTTCATGGTTTTGTGCATGAACATGGATTCTTTTGATATGGGCTGTTAAATCCCACGTCTCTACTTGACTAGCCAGTACTTTGTTAGATTTTGTTTGAAGTTAACTGCATGTCCATTTGTTGAAGCTTCTCGGACACCAGAACCCTAGACCCTCGAGTCAATGATGGAAACATGTAAAGTAGTTCTGACGTAATTTTAAAGTTTAGACGAAATCCTATAGTACAGTGTGACCATTCGAATGAAATCTCTAGTACATTACATAGCGCTATTTATTACTCTGTATAAACTGATTCTAAATCTTGAGTCAGAGGATATTTCCATGGTGCAACATTTCGAATGAAACCTCCTTAGCAGTTCTTTTACATGGTATACTGTTTATTGCGCTGTTCAAGTTAAGGGAGTCCTAACTTTTTTATCTGTGTGTGAAATCCTTTGAGGTGACCATTCAAATTAAACCTCTCTGGTGGTACTTCCACCGCGCCTAGTGCTAGTTAAGGCTCGTGCTGTATAAAGTGGTTCAGTAACTTTGGGTCTCTAGGTAAAAGTACTTTCACATCGTGGTATTTTTTTGAAAGTTGCTATTCTAAGTTTTGAGTCTGTGGATGAAATCCTATAGTTTGACCCTTTATTTGACGGACCTCTTCAAGCAGTAGTACTATTACGTGATACTATAACAACTGCTCCATTGACAGACTGCATATTAGTTTTTTAGTGAATTGCCCTAGTTGTGTTAGACCACCCATAGATATAACGGCACCCCATGATTTACTTGGTAACTTTGTGTTCTGTATTACAGGAAACTCCTTATCCAAATGACGACTTACTCCAGAAAAGTCTACAAGACAAAGTTAACTGGGATGCTTATCGTCGTAAAACTATAAAAACTCTTATTCGTGAACTACCTACAAATTCCAGAAGAATGGAAGATCATATGGTTCATAGAAAAACCAAACGAGACATGTCTCTCGGAGAAGACCTGAAGGAAGCCATTAGAAAAATGCAAAGAAAGAATGATGATTCCTATAGTTTATGAAGTCTTTGACCTGACGTGGTCAGAAGAGAAAATCAAGTTACTGTACGGATTCAGTCACCCGATTTTCCATTTGAGTGAGGAGTCACTTCAACTCTAGCCTACGTGTAGCCGCACCCTCCCCCCGTGGGAAGTGTGCGGCTACACGTTGGCTACTTCAACTCATTTTAGACGAGGAGACCATGGGTTACTTACCATTTACATGAAAAAACCGGAAATTCTGGTTGGAGAATTAAATGGTGTGGAAACTTTCAGAAATATGAGCTGTGATTTAAGGCGATGCATTTTTTTACTCTTTTTAGTCTGTTCAGCTGATGTGGAAATACTTTTTGGCGTTTCGTTCTTCCACCACGTCATTTGCAACGAGACTATAATGCACCCTATTTACCCCCCCAAAAGCTTGCATAACCATTGTCTTCGATTTCTCTTGGGACGACTGTAATACCCTGGTGAAATTAGAAACAGTAGTTATGCAAAATTTTGTGGGGTAAACAAGGTGCATTATTGTCTCGGTGAAAATGGTGAATAAACAAGATTTCCAACCGGGTGGTTTCTGTAAATGGTAAGCTCCGTGACTGAGATGAAAGCGGCGAGGTGTAGAAACAAGGCAAAGAGATTGTCAAGGTCGTGTGGTTGGATGGCTGGAAAAGCGATTAAGAGAGCTGAAAATAAAAAAGAAGTTTCTGTATCTACGGGATGTGAACAAAGTCATTTATTTAAGAAGGTGTGGAGGCGTCCGAGTGGCACAGCTTTTGGTGAAACGCAACAAAAGGAAAAGGACCTGAATGGTACTAGTAGTTGTATATGTTGTGGTTCAATTTTATTCTTGGTTTAAATTTTATTTTTCTTTGTTTCAAACTCATTATCTTACATTATTACTATACTCCGAAAACAAAGGAAATAAAATTTAAACCAAGAATAAAATGGAACCACAACATATACGCTGATGGATCCAGAGACCTGATAAGTAAGTGTGTCGTTTCAAATGATCATACTCTCGGCTTGATCGTGTTGAGTAAGTGAAAGGCAGGCTTTAAACTGACACAAATCTGGGTATAAAAATGAATTACAGGTGTATTTCAATTTCTGCTTTGAAAACTCATGAGGCAAATAAAAGAGAGTCCCTGGAGACTAGCTTTTTCCTTTTCTGCTCGTTTGTCGCTCCAGTTTCCCTGTGCCAGGTTGCTCCGTTGCCTTACAATAAAAAGAAGTGTAATATGTGCCTTGAAATGGTATGTAAATAGGTTGGGTAAAACCCACAGCAAGAGCTACATTTCAGGGGCACCCAACGACGGTTTCCTCCCAAATGCAACGAAAACACTTTTTAGGCTATCCAGAGTACCGTTTAGAGCTCTCTAAAAATGTATTTTAAGCGGCGCTATAAAATTTGTATCTGTTCGGTCATCCTGGGGAACTTGAGCCTTTTCGAAAGTACACGGGTTTTAGTGTTATTTTCCCGAAAATTTTAGATGCAATTTAGCGCATTACCAAAGTGAAATTTTTTTATTCCTCTCTCCATCACATTTTTAATCCGAAATGCTTAGGTTTCCTTTTTCCTTAGAAAAATTGCCTAACCTGGGGTGTGAAACTATGACGTGAAAAATGAAACTTCGAATAATCGTAGGGAATTTATTAGATTAGCTTCGGAAATTTTACATGAATGCAACGTTCGATCATCTAGAAATTTTCTAGGCAATGTTTGCTTCCCCGAACAAATATTTTAAAGAAAACAGTCGTCCGGTGCCCCTGACATATTCAAATTACTAAAATCCTTTCGTGAGCATCGTGGAGACAGCTGTCTTGCTAAGAACAGCTGTATTGACTCATCGTGAGTTACTCGCGTCGATCACCCATGATAGTTGAATTAAAAGAACGCTGAATGCTGAGCAATACCACAAGGCGACAAATACTGAAATGACATCCATATAATCCAAGCGACGGTTTGCAAACTGAACGATCAAGGAACAAATGCTGTTATTAGGATCGACGTTCTGTACACTGGTAACTCTAAGACGCACTCCTATATGGAACAGATTGCATTACCATTATTTTGAAAGGGAACTATTAGATATCTTAGACCTCACTTGTACTCTTTTTATAGAGTATATTTTGGTATTTAGTTTTTCAAATTGTTGCCGATAGTGATATCGAAAGTTACGTGGTCGTCGTTAAACTAAATCACCCTCCCGAAAAAACATCACCGGCATCGTTAATTAGGTGATCAAAGGGTCCTTCTCTAGCTCATTAATAAAAGAAAAAGAAAATAATTTTTTACATGCATGCAAATCAAGAAACGGATACAAGAGAATTTAATTTTGACATGAAAGTGTTCTTGTGTCCGACCACTCTGTCATCAGGAAGTTATTGGTTTAATCCTCACTTACTAGGCGTCATCATTCACGTAGATTGGGATCTTACAAATATTGCTCTTTCTTGCCAGATTATCCACGATTAAAAATATTGAACGGTTACCTTAATTCCAGAATTTACGATGTTCACCAGTAAACGTATTTTGGCTGAATTTTGACAAATGTGTCATCGCCAAATTTAGCAAATTTTAAATTCGTTGGGGTTCTTTGCTTGTTTTCGTATGACTTACAACAATTGTTCAGTGCAAATCGTGTTCACTGACGAAATTGTCTATAGAACTTTATTCTCGTATAACACTGAAGGAGATTTATTCGATCGGTCGCTTAGAATGCTTAAAAGCGCTAATATATTTATGCTATAATCCTTTTTTATTATTCTTAACAGCTACTTCTTAGCCGCTCTCTTCGCTCTCATCAGTCGTAATCAAACATTTATTTAGTAATTAGCTTGATGAATTAGACCACATGAAATTGAAAATGTCTAAACGCGTAACCAGTCAAGAACGGCTTGGGGATCGCTCACTTACAGCTATGATCAGCTGTTAATTATTATTATTATTATTTTTTTTTTCATCCCAGCTAAAGAGTCCTGCGAAAACTGATCTAAGTAGGCTTTTTTGTCCTAAAATGCCTCTCGATGACTGGCCATTTAGCCCTTAATTAAACTGGTTCACTAATATAAGGCTATTGATTTTGTTTTTGGGGGCGGAAGTATCAGGCTTTGATAAAATTTCACTACATATCTGTCATAAATGTTTTGTTTCTGCTAGATCACAAGGGAGGCTAAATCAAGTGATTTTTTTAAGATTAAAAGCTTTAGGTGGAATTAGGCAGTATCAGTTAAATCTAAGACATGAAAATAGAAACACCTGGGAATGTTGACTTACTATCTATGTCCAAACAATATTTAACGCATAGTTTTGTGCCCTTTTTTATTTTTATAGTCATTGGAAGGAAATTGAAGAGAGTTTTAAAAAACATATATATAGGTGAATAGAACTATCAAAAGGCAGACACTAATTTCAAGTGGCAGTTCTCCGCTATTAAAAGACCCACCATCCTCGTAAACTGACAAAGATGCAATTCTACAAGAAAACAGTTTATTTAACACTTTATCACATCAACAAATAGATGAGGCTTGATAGTTCCTCAATTCTAAAAAAAGGAAAGACCAGGGTAATTATCTATATTAACAAAAACAGACGAAACTGTATTATCGAATGCCGTCATACCTATGACGTTTTCTAATGAGCTCTTAATTTTTCAGACTCGGGAATCTAGCGATTTTCATGATTTCAGATGACTTTCTCGATCGTCATTTAACTTTGTATATAAGAGTTGTGCTTCTATAAATCAGTAAATCATCTTGATCTTAACGAGCTTTATCGGTCCGGCCTGCGGACATCGTTTTCGTGGTGCGTTTTAATTTCAACTTGTCGGTTTTTCAACGAAAACGTCCCATATCAAGAATTGTTTCGGAGCGCTTCTAGTGAGCTCGATCAACCACAACGTTGACGATGGAAACCAGGAAATGAAAAAGCAACAATTGTGGTAAGCAAAACAGAAACTCTGAACATGTATTAGCCTTTTGTCAGATTTCTCAAACTTGATACGATCGTCGCCTTAATGTACCTCGAACTGCCTCAGACTTCTTAATGACACCGTCGCGACTTCGATTTATTTGAAAATTCCCATAGAGAGTCTCTTTACTCTTATATGGTACGTTTTTGACCGGACTGTGCTGTACACTGCTTACAGACTACCAACTGAACGTGCCGTGGAACACGGCAGCGGAACCACCAGGTTAAACCGGCCTGTGGATCTGCTGAATTGTGCTGAATAAATTATAATAAAAATAAATACGTTGCAGTATATACAAATCAGTTTAATTAAATTTGAAAACCACTGAGAACTGTTTGCTTTGGAACGGGTATTGAAATCAACTTCTGAAACTTCTGGTACAGTCTATTGTGGCCATCAGTCTTTGAATGATGGTTCGTCCATCCCAGCTCTTTCCTCTTTTTCAAACTATCTTGGTAGCACAACCAAGGTTCTAAAGAACCACCTTCCAGGTCGTGTTCGTATAAGTTTAGCTCAAGGCTTGTTTTCTCTATTATCGCGTTTCGAGGAGAGCCTTTTCTTAGCTCTACATATCCAGACAAAATCAACTTGCACTTACACCCAACATACTCGAATGCGTGTATGACCTTGTAAGGAATTATGAACTGCGGCCTTTGCTAGTTTCGTGCTACGTCCTAAAACTGGTAGTGAGTTCCTTAGGTGTGACTCAATGTTGTTTCAATTCGAACCTTTTTCCAACTCTTTGCAGACAAGTTGTGTCACGGCTTTACGACTGACGCAATTCATCTTCACCTCACGCGCGGCAAATCGTCAAGAGCGCGCAGCACAGAAAA